GGGTCAGACCTTCGCCGACGAGACCGGCGACGTAGTGGCAGTACAGCTCGTACTCCTTGACGGTGTTGACGCCGTTCTCGTTGAGATCGGCGTTAAGAGCGTAGTCGGCCATGCCGTTGCCCATCTGCGTCGTGATGCTCTTGATGATGTCGTAGTATGGCTTCTTGAGCTTCTTGAGCTCGACAATGACGTCGTCGAAGTGCACCAGAAGCTCGCGGTCCTTCTCGTTGGGGCCGTTTCCGGTGAATGTCCAGCCATCTTGCTCCATAAGGGTGTCAAACTTGCGCAGCAGAGGCTCCTTCTCCTTGATGTCGATGGTCATGTCATCTTCGATGGTGTCGAGGCCGCGCAGGACGAGGTAGAACAGGGCGACGGGGACAAGCAGCTCAGGGTTGAGCTCCTGAATAACGGCGGAGAAGGAACGACTCGTCTTGTTCAGGAATTCGAAGCATGATTGGAGGGTCGGGTCTTCCTTGGAGGGGTCGCGGCGGTGGACGGGCTCGTGCCAGACTTTCCTGCAGGCACGTTAGCAAATGCGGTGCGAGTCGAGCGCATTGAAGAACGCGCAACGGGTGGTAGGGGAGTAGACGGTACCATTGGATGATGGAGCGCAGCTGGTTGGGGTGGAGGACGTAGTAGAGGGCGCCCATGATTGCAAGTAGTCGTCGTCGCGATGGACGGTGGTGGTGTCAGTCGCTGTTGCAGGTTTCCGCAGACTTAGGTCGGACCAGTTCGCGAGGAACACGGAGGGTTCTTATAGAATCGGGATGAGAATCGGAGTCAGGGTCAGAATGCAACAGTCGATCTGATTCACCGGTGACGACGGGGCGGAAAACCAACAAACAATGGAAGACACACAAGGTACGAAGGTGAGGTGAGGTGAGGTGAGGCCAGAGGTTCGGGAGAATAGGAGGAAAGATTTCTCCGCTGTCACTGGCAACGAGCCAATCCAATTCGACGGGTAGGATGGAAAAGAACCTTGGTGTAACGGCGACCCCAGCTGGGCATGGTGGTGCTCAGTGCCTGGGCAGCTCAGGTCCCCAAATTTGCCAGAAATGCATGCAACGATCTGCCAAGCTCTAGCTCCATGCTGAGTGCTCCTGGTCCGTCTGGTGCGCTGTGGAAAAGCTGCGGTGCCACTCTCCGGCGCTGTCACCCGCGTTGCCAGTTGACAGCCAGCGGCCGTGGTTGGCTGCTGTGAGTGGTGGACCGGCGCGGATGGGCGGCGAGCGGCGCCATGCTACAGCGACACACAGCGCGCGGGCACGCGGCGCGTGAGCCTAGAGGTGAGAAGGTGGCCTCAGTTCGCAGTCGAGGGTCCAGATGGGAAAAAAGGCACCAACAACATCGCACTCTTAGCTCCCATTGGGAAGGCGCTGCTGCATTGACCACCCACCGGTTCGGCTAAACCTAAGCGAGCCAATGGGACGGACAGTCTGTGGTGATTGGCTGATGACAGATAACTGTATCCATATTGAAGATACGTACCTTTTGGCGGGGCAATTGCTTCCTGATGGAAGGTGCAGATGATACGGACTGAGCTCCCTATATTTTCAGGGTCCCTCAGTCCATGGACATTCGGTTGGATCACTTCTTTCAGTCGTGTTGGCCAACTCACGAATCCGGGCTGCAGCCATTGGCTTCTTGGCATCATACAAAAGGCCGAGACCAATGGAATTATAAGTAACCTGCTTTCCCTCCCATCCTCTGCTGACGCCGCGTCAATCGAGGTGTGGGTGGAGAGCCATCGACATTTCACGCATGCAATTCAGTTCCAGTTCCCAATATTTGCAGCTCAGCCTCCCCCTCTACGACCCGAACATCCGATCCAGTCACCAGTCCACGGCAATCGTCCGGTCCTCTGGATATCATCTCGAAGTTCTGCCATCGCCAGATCCCACGTGGCTCGGCGGCCAGCATTCCTCGCAAAGCTTCCGAGCTCCAGTCCCCGTCTCCAAAAGTCAGGTCTCGACCGCTTTTCCCCTCCACCGCTCGCCACCGACTCAAGGGCGCACGATGCGGTGTGCATCTCGACGGCAATGTCTCACTCGTTGCATCCCCAAGGGAGCACACTGAGCCCGTCTAGCCCCCTTCATCTTAGGCTCTGGGATCCGCGATACTCGTGCTGAGAGCCTCAACCGCAGCAGTAGCAAGTAGCTACTTGCTATCCAAGTCTTCCACTAACAATACTTTATTATTCTTCCATGGCCGCCGTGGCGCTGCTCCGGTATCAATGCTTACAAACCCTGGACCCCGCCAGCTAACTCACTCCAAATAGCTCTGATAAGGCGCGCCATCAACATGGAACGTAGCTCCTGGTAAGCTTCGTACTCGAGGTACGTAAGTTGCGCTGCAGGGTCTCGTGGTCGTCAACAGCTCCCTCCTGTCCTTTACAAGAACAGCCGTTCAATTGGGAAAAAAAGATGGAGTCCTCAAGTCCCGAAGGTGGGGGTGGAAACGACATGAACACCTGCCGTCGAGTGCCGGTGGCAGCTGCTGCTCGCTGCTTCTCTTTGAATGTCCGTATCAGGAGAAGTGAGAGGAGTCCCGTCTCGAACACGGGCTACGGCGACACTAAGAACTGGCAGTTACGACTCGTACCTGAGATGAAAGTTTCCGGTCCCTCTCCCTTGGGTCGCACTTGCGCTGCCATGCTTACCCCAGATAAATAATCCCGTCTCACGCCTTTCCTTTCTCTGTTCGTGTTGCTATCTTGTCTTACAAATTACTCAATTTGTCCTCTTCTCGTCCCTTTTCTTCTTCCACCCACGACCTCATCCCTTGCCAGCGACAAACATATAAGGCGGCCTCCATTGACGTCCGCCTGCCATCGCAACTTACACCATCCCAGCTTGTTGACACGACTCAGCCAGCTCGAATAACGTCCGACCACACCGACGATCCCACCCGATAACGAGACAATCATCACGAACATCACAATGGCCACCAACGGACACTCGGCGAACCGCTTCCTCATCTGGGGTGGCGAGGGTTGGGTCGCGAACCACCTCAAGGTTCTCCTCGAGAAGGATGGAAAGGAGGTCTACACCACCACCGTCCGCATGGAGAACCGTGAAGGCGTCCTCGCCGAGCTCGACAAGGTCAAGCCCACCCACGTCCTCAACTGTGCCGGCTGCACTGGCCGTCCCAATGTCGACTGGTGCGAGGACAACAAGGAGGCCACCATGCGATCCAACGTTATCGGCACCCTGAACCTCACCGACGCCTGCTTCCTCAAGGGCATCCACATCACCGTCTTCGCCACTGGCTGTATTTACCAGTACGATGACAAGCACCCCATCGGCGGTCCCGGCTACCTCGAGACAGACCCTGCCAACTTCAAGGGCAGCTTCTACTCGGACACCAAGGGCCACGTCGAGGAGGTAAGTCGGCCTCTTCTCTGCTCTATCCCAGACAGCTCCAGCTAACTGCGTCGTAGGTCATGAAGCACTACAAGAACTGCCTCATCCTCCGCCTTCGCATGCCCGTCAGCGACGACCTGCACCCGCGCAACTTCGTAACCAAGATTGCCAAGTACGACCGCGTTGTCGACATCCCCAACAGCAACACCCTCCTTACCGACCTCCTCCCCGCCTCGATCCTCATGGCCGAGCACAAGGACACGGGCATCTACAACTTCACCAACCCCGGTGCCATCTCGCACAACGAGGTGCTCGCCCTGTTCAAGGAGATTGTGCGCCCCGACTACACCTGGAAGAACTTCTCGCTCGAGGAGCAGGCCAAGGTCATCAAGGCCGGTCGCAGCAACTGCAAGCTGGACACTACAAAGCTGGAGAAGAAGCTGAAGGAGTACAACTACACGGTGCCCGAGGTGCACGACGCATACCGTTCGTGCTTCCAGCGCATGAAGGCCAACGGCGTGAAATAAATGTAACAGTTTTGGGTTCGGCGTATTTGGGAGCTGGTCATACTGGAAGAAATTAAAAGAGGATTAAAGCAAGACACGATTTTGGTGTTCGAAATGGGAAGGCAGTCCAAATCAAACTAGCAGCACAGCATGAATCGGACAATTGTCAGGCGCAGGTTGATTCTCCATCGTGAGTCGGAATGGCCGATGCAGTGAGTGATAGTGTCGGTTTTGGCCGGTCCCACCGGCGACGTGTAGAATCTGGCGGAATGGATGCCGAAGATGCGCTGTCAGTCGGTGAAGATGGACCGGATGACTCGAGGTAATGAGCCTCTTTGTTTTGCGGTCGGCTCGCTAGATGCTACGCATAAACGAAGACAAGAAAGGGATTGTCTAAGAGCCCTCGGCAACCACAATGAGCTTGGTCCCTCGCAGCTGACAATAAACAATGTTTGGAAGAAAACAACGAGTCCGCCATGCATGCAGGTCCGTCATGGTGTTGTGCAACGTCATCCCTGTCATCAGGTCTCTGTCCGCGTAATCTCCAAGGCTGAAGGTGGTGGGCTTCGCCAGCTTTCGCCGCCTGAAAGAGTGGCCAGAACGAAGTATCTGCACTCAGCCCAACAGACTGGATGACTGTACATGATACCGTCAAAGTACCGTCGTAATGAGTGCAGAGCTCCCACCAAAATTGTTGCCCAGGTGGGAGATCGGCCTACCTTAGCACCAGGTAGGGGAACGACGTAATTTGGCGGGGCACCGCGAAAACGTAAATCCACCCAAAATAATCGTTGCGGCGGGCACGGCACCTGGCACCTGCTTGGCCTTGGGCTGAAGTGCCCTCCACTGCACCGCCGCTGCGACCTGCGGCCTGCCGTTCCGTCGGGTGCGCCTGCTTGTCATCGCACCACAGTTTTTCCTTGTGATTTCTTGCTTGAATCACTATCGCAGGTATCCCTACCCTCACGTCACCCCGCGGTTCCTCCTCGCGACATCTTCGCCCGCTCGTCCGTATTCTCCTTTTTTCTTTTTTTCTCACTATTCCACAAACTTCCCTATTCCTGTGCGGTTTTCGTCATAGATCTCTCTTCGTCATTCCTAGATACCCCTCACCACCCAAAATACCTCGACCATGGTCGTCGACACCGCGTATTACGACACGCTGGGCGTGAAGCCCGCCGCCACCGATATCGAGATCAAGAAGGCTTACAGAAAGTTGGCCATCGTTCACCACCCAGGTAAGGATGCCTGCCGACGCCATCTCGACCTCTTTTCCCCGCGCGCGCATCACTGACGCCATCACCCACAGACAAGAACCCCAACGACCCCACCGCCCACGAAAAGTTCCAGGAGATCGGAGAAGCCTACCAAGTCCTGTCCGACAAGGACCTCAGAGCCGCCTACGACAAGTATGGCAAGGACCACGCCAAACCACAGGAGGGTTTCGCCGACCCCGCCGAGTTCTTCACCTCCATCTTCGGCGGCGACGCCTTCGTCGACTGGATCGGTGAGATCAGCCTGATGAAGGACCTGACCGCAACGATGGACATCACGATGCAGGAGGGCGAGGAGGGCGCCGAGGGTGCTGAGGCCGCCGATGGCGAGTTCCCCGGCACCGAGGATGCTAAGAAGGAGAGCATGAAGACCGCCGCCGACGGCGAAAAGACCGACGCACAAAAGGCCACCGCCAGCGGCACCACTCCCGCTGCCCCTGCCGCTGCCGCGCCTGCTGCCGGCGCCGCCGCACCACCTCCCGCCGTTGTCGTCGAGGACGAGAAGGAGCGCCTCAAGGCCCGTGACGCTGCCGAGGCCGCTGCCGCCTCGTCTGGCACTGCCGATGCACCCCCGCCCGCCTACCAAAGAGAACCCTCGCCCAGTCCTTCTGGCACCTCCGCCTCGAAACGCACACAAATCCCCCTCCGGCCCGCTCTGATGGATCGTCCCTCCGAGGAGGTCGCTGGTGTCGAGACCGAAGAGTCGTTGCGCAAGAAGGAGAAGAAGAAGGGCCTGACTAAGGAGCAGCGCGATCAGCTCGCCGCCTACGACAAGGAGCGCGCCCGCGTGCGTCAGGAGCGAGTCGACACCCTCGCTCGCAAGCTTCTCGACAGAATCAGCGTATGGACCGAGACTGACAAGGGCCCCGACGTCACCAAGTCCTTCCAAGAGAAGACGCGCCTCGAGGTCGAAAACATGAAGATGGAGTCCTTCGGTCTCGACATCCTCCACGCCATCGGCCAGACTTATGTCGCCAAGGCCTCCGCCCTTCTGAAAAGCCAAAAGTTCCTCGGCATCGGCGGCTTCTTCAGCCGAGTCAAGGACAAGGGCACTATTGTCAAGGAGACTTGGAACACCATCAGCAGCGCCATTGACGCTCAGCAGACCATCGAGGAGATGGCCCGTATGGAGGAGAAGGGCGGCGCCGAGTGGTCCGACGAGGCCAAGGCCGAGTATGAGAGGCGGGTCACCGGCAAGATTCTGACGGCAGCGTGGCGCGGCAGCAAGTTCGAGATCCAGAGCGTCTTGCGCGAGGTCTGCGACGCCGTGCTCAACGATAAGAAGGTGCCGCTTTCCAAGCGTCTGGAGCGCGCCCAGGCGCTCATGCTGATTGGCGAGATCTTCTCCGCCGCGCAGCGCTCGCCCGAGGAGGAGGGCGACTACCTCGTCTTCGAGCAGCTCGTCGCGGAGGCGGCCATCAAGAAGGAGAAGAAGAAGGGCAAGAAGCACGAGCACGCCGCGGCGGCAGAGGTGGCCGAGGACGCGCCGAACGTTCCCAAGCCTGAGAAGTCGTAGTAGCGTTCTTTTAACTCTAGACAACTGAAGCCCCCCTTTATTTTCTTTCTTGCCTATTTTCAACTCGATTGTTGACGAGCCTGTTGGGAGTTTTTCATGTATTGTTTAATACCACGAGGTCAATGCATTCGTTCTGGTGGTGGGATTCAATGAAACAAGACGATCTGCCGGTACCGTCGCTTTCCTCTCCAACGTTCGTTTCTGGCCCGTGAGTGATGTTTCTGCCCGCCTACCTATATTTACTCTGCGCTTTAACCGACTCGATTCTTTCCTTCCAGCATTGTTTGTTGGGTGGGCGAGGATGGACTGTGGTAAGCCAGTTCTCCGGCTCAAAGACTCTACGGTTCCACCTGCGCGGCTTGAAGAGGCAGGCCTTGGTCGAGAACGGTCGTTTCTAACGTATACATCTTTGGATTACATCAAGGAGGAAGACGAGGGGTGAAAATAGCATCGTGAAACCAAACGAATTTCTCCGTCGTCGCCCCCCACGCGTCGTCGTGGTCTGCCCCAGTGCATCAGTAGCGCACATTTCCTCTCCCAGCAGGTCTTGCGCGAAGAAGATTATCACAGCGCAGACTTGGCTCTGTTAAATAGGCCGTCTGAACCCGGACTCTTTATTGGCAGGGACGTAGAATGTCAAACTACAGTGAGCACTTGAGTGAAATCTCTGGGTTCTCCTTTTTTTCATGCGGCCTACCTTGAGGACATTAACCTTGGTGTACCCAGACTCTAGAGATCTAATTTTGACTCTCCGTGCCGTAGCCCTCTTTCGCCACGACAAGAAGACACAAGGGTCACAACCTGAAATCTCTTTCGAGAGGATAAAGCCAGGCCACCCCCTCGCCTCGCCTCCCACTCCCTCTCCCCTCTTCACGTCCCAGTGTCCACTGGGCCAGCAGGCGCAACCACGCAGACGCCCACTTCCCATTCAACTTCAGCGTCTGGCGTGGTATCCGGCGCGGGGTATCATCGATTCAACCTTCCCTAGCTGGGTTTATCGCGACGGAACGCCATCTTCCAAGTGGACAGTCTGGGGGTGCGTTGGATTGTATGGCGGTTGCCTCTGTCTCCGGGTGATTCCGTCGAGAGAGGTACGGTGTTTCGATGAACCCCGAGGAACATCGTTCTTGGGCAAACTCATCTGGATCGGTCGTGAATTCTGGGGGGCATGCCATTCGCAAGCGTTTAGTGCCTCTCTGGATTGTTTCGGCGGGTGGTCCCGTACGAGAGAGGTAGCGGACTGTGTGAGCGTGGTTGGGTGGCTTATTTGTGGCTATTGCCCGCTGTAGACTCATACGGCGAAAACTCAAATCAAGCAGTGAGCGTGGTTGGAAGAACGCCTTGAGGATATTGTCCTTGAGGAGGTGTGTTTCTTTTGTACACGCCGAAGAGAACTGTGATGAAATGGCAGGCGCCACGGTATCCTGTTCTGCCCAGGAGGTCTTCTTTGGAGGCTAGTGGACGCTGGTTTAAGTTGTCCGAGGTTAGTTACGCTTCTGAGTTCTCTGGCGAGGTGAGTGTGGAGATTGGGTTCAGTTGGCGAGTGCTGCTGATATATCAACATGGACTTGGGATCTGTTGTACAAGCTGGTTTAGATGTTCGAGCACGGTGTTGTTCTTGTGTTCCGAGGTATGTGTGAGGATGGGTCATTCAGTCAGCAAGTGCTACTGATGTATCGAAATGGAATCAAAATCTGGTATGTGACTTCGTCTAGATGTTCTTTTGAGAACAGTATGCTTGTCTCAAGGTGTGAAGACTGGCTGCTGGTAGTTACAATGTAGTTAAAAGGCCTGAAGTCGCGCCCAAGTTTCAACAAAGGTCTTACGAGTGGAGTATTCCTGAACTCTGCTCGCGTCTGTATTTGGCTGAGGGCAATGACGATACTGAAATACTGCGCATGAGATGATAACAGGGTCAATCAGAGCAACGCAAATCAAGTTTTGAAAGGGAAAGTTGGATCTTGATCCTCAAGGTCCAACCAGCCATCGTACATCGTATGACTCGAAGCTTTCCCATAAAATAATATCGCATTGCGTGATCTAAACTGAGGTTAAACAGTAATAAAACAAGTTGTGGTGCTTCGAATACATACAATTGCCATGATCGGGGTCATAATCGAACTTAGTACCGGCTCATGCTAACCGATATTGGAAGGAGACTAATGTAAGCGATCTTGAAGTCGCATCTCACGTGTGGCTAAAGAGAGACAAAAAGTAGACTATTGAGGCAGTCGTGCGGCTCAGCGGAACATCGGGCCAGCCCGTGGCAGGCTGCAGCGCTTCGATTCCTTGGTAAACCCACTCACTCATCTGCTGATCGAGGTCTCAGCAGAGGGAACATCTAACGGAGTGTTTTCCGGTTGTTTATTAGCACTTGTAAGACGTCTTACTCGCCGCAGCCTCGACCACGCGAAGGATCCGACTGAATCAGAAGAAATTGGACCGTCAGATGGGACTGCGACGCTGCGGCTTACGGTTCCATTGGCGCGAAAACCCTGGGCATTGTCTGGTTTTCTGGGGACTAAAGTCCCTCCTCGTGAACGTAACATTATAAAAGGAAAACATGATTGGGGTGTATGTCTTGCAGCGACTCTTATAAAATGGCAGGCAGATCTGCTGAACACTGAACACAACGATCCCTCTTGACGCCTTTCTCACTTCGGCTCCAAAAGTCAAACGGACAAAGAACCCGGATCTCAAATCAATATGCGCTTCTCAACCGTCTTTGCCGCCGCTACGGCAGCCCTGTCCGCGGGCGTCGAGGGATACCTCGTCAGGGTTGGCCTGCCCAAGACCATCAAGCTCGGCGACGTTTGGGAGGCACGAGTAAACACGGCCATTCAGCAACCGAGACAAGACCTCGTGGTTTGGGGTGCCAGTCCGGCCGGGTCCACCTACCCGGGGAGCATCGGTATCGAGTTCGCGCGAACGAAACTGGACGGTATGGCCTTGTTCCATCATGATGCCGCTCAACACCAGCTCTCACATGAGAAAACTCTCTAACTTATTTACGAAATACAGATGCTCTCTCGGGAGGTTACAACGACACCATCCCCGGCCTCACCATCCCCGAGGGCTTGCGCATCACGCCTGGAGAGTGGTCGATCCAGGCTGTGATTCTTCAATGGGCCGGTGCCGCTCAACAGCCGTCCCTGGAAACGTACTTCTGGAATGTCACGATTGGAGATGTCACGAGTGAGGAGCTTGTATGGCAAGTGGCACGCGGTCCGCAGTCAACGAGATGTAACCTGCAATGACACAGACTGAGAGTCTGTGATATCGGAGAGGGACCACTCAAAGATGTTGGCAAAGTTTTACACAAACCAGATGGCCTAATACAAGGCGGTTTGCCGGAACTTGTATGTATGACAGTTTCTATAAGATAGCTATTTTAACCACTTCACAACCTAAATATTACAAGAGTTGCATGTCCCTCTGGGTGTTAAGGCCATTGCTTCCCACCATCCGAGGCCATCAGTGTACTTGGTCGAGTGGCACGGAAAAGGCAAAACACTGAAATAAAATATAGAATGCCTGTATGGCTGCTCGTGCGGTTTCCTGCGCCTGCTTCCATTCAAATCAGAAGACCCGTGACAGAGAGATCAGGACGGGCGACCACTTACCTATAAACATGCTCTGGGGTATCCCTCAAAATCTTTCTGAACTCGCCCTTGGCGTTGTAGCACCCGTCGTTGGTACACCACAAGACGTGTCTGGATATCTCATTCCACCGGTAAGACCTTGGGTGCAGCAGGAGCCACAACCGGGCCGGGGCCGCGCTCTTGGGCATCAAGCTGCCCCAAAGGATGTAATGGCCTTCGACGTACGTCTCTGCCGACTGGTTTTCTCTATGCCAGTGGTAGCGAAAATCGCACGTGGTGCAAACCATCACGCCCTTGCGCTCGCTTGGCCAGATGCCCTTCCGGATGTCTGCCCAGGTAAGATGAGGGCAGAGAATGTCGTCGAAATCCTCACGTAAGGCGGCGTTTCTAGCGAGGGACAGGGGAGCCTTCCACGTCAACTCCAGCGTGCTGGGCGCCTCCCGTTGTTTTCTGCGCACGTATCGTATCTCGGGTCTCTGGGCCCGTGTCGACAGGCGTCCCGGGCCAAAGCACGATGTGCATGCGAATACGGTGCTGTGGAAGCCATCCGCATGCCCGCTTTTGTCGTTGGAAGCGATGGAAGCCCATTTCAAAACATCTTTCCAGGTAAACTCCAGATGAGGACACATCTGCACCCGGCCTTCCCAGGTAATACACCTCAGTGCCGGGGCGTATGGCCCGTCTGGTTCCGCCCAGTCGACTGGAAACCACATATGTGGATGCCACGCCTTACACCCAGAGCACCAAGCCTGTTGCATGTTGAATCTGCAATGCTCCTTGAAAGTGGTCTTACACCTCCTCTCCAAGCACGGCTTGCAGAGAGCACGCTTCACCAAAGTTTCCCTGACCTCTTTGTAACATTCGCATGTGACGAGCGGGAACTGGAAGTCGTGGTCTCCGAACATGAACAGCCGGCAGTGCCACGAAGCCCTCGGGTCCGCCCGTTCTTCGTTCACTGACACGTAAGACGGTACGCGAAAGACTCTGCTTGAAAGACGAGGCGTCTCCAATTGCACGGCGTTCCGGCCTCCCGTCCAGTGTATAGTACGCGGACGTGCGGTTTTGCGTACGGAGTTGCCGTAGATTGAGAAACGCTTGGTGTGAAAAATGCGGGAGAAGAAGCGTGATACCTGGCGAATGAAGTATAAATCAGCTGGACGCATGTGGGACATGATCTCGAGGATGATTTCTTCGGGAAGGCCACATATCCTGCTGTTAATGGTATTCAATCTCTCTCGCCGGATATACATCTCCCTGATGCCGCGCATGTCTTACGCCGAGACGAGAGAGCCGTGATCGCTCCCGGATTCTCTATAACAACGTTGTCTTGTCCTACTCTATGCTGTAAGATGTTAATCTATGCCGGTTCTGTGTTACCTCATAAACTTACCCAGAATTCGTTGGTGAAAATCTGTTGGTCTTTTACACAGAGTGTGCAGCAATTAACGCGAACTTTGATACAAGAATTTCTCGGGAAATCAATGAGGAATACTGTCAGAACACAAGGAGAGACCGAGAAACGCTTTTGCTGAGAATAGTTGTAATCGGGACAAGTTAGTCAGTCACAGTAAGAATTATGGAAAAGGTGACGTTGGAACGGATGCCCGTCACTGCTGAAAACTTTGTCATCAACTGGCCCATATAACTGTGAAGAAAGACAACCTTGATGCCAGAAATCAAAAACTTTCCCAGTATCTTGTGAGCCTTCATGGTAAATGCATTATGCAAAGTCTGGACTGCATCGTGTATAGGCGAAACCGTCTCCTAGTTGATGACCATTAGTTGACGACTATGTTTCATTCCACAGCGAGGACTGAAGCGCAGTGCCCCAGACTAACACTGTGGTTCTGCGAGACAAAATTTCCAAAATGCATGGTCAATCAATAGTCCTGCTGGGTACTTGAATCTCTGCGCAGCCGCTTCATCTCTGCCAGAATGCGAGTCTCTACCACGTGTTTCTGCATCGGGATGCGGAGTCGACATTCCTCCTGTCCCTCATCGTCAGTGGACAATACCAAGAGCAAACATATGCGGGCTGGGCCAAATGCATCAGCGTTGGAGCCTTCACTCCTGCGGGGGCTCCGGTTTTATATGGACTTGGCACATTCGCTTCCAGTTGGAATTCGTTGTGGCATGCTGGATGTACCAACAGCAGGAGACCTTCCAGACACAGTTTAGCATATGCGTTCTTCGGGTCAAACCATTTGTCGGGGAACACGGAAGACCGGGCTCCCACTTTGATGCTTGTCGGTTAAACCAGACCCTGGTCTTCGAAGAAATCGTTCGACGTGCTTGCACCCCGGACCAACAACAAAAAGAGGAGTTCTGCCGCAGAGCCAGCCGTAAACCTACTTTCCTCTCTCAATAGTCATATTTCCTCATTGAAGTTTTCTCGTTTCATTTTGATCAGCTTCCCCGCCAGAAAGACGCCATCATGGTTACCGATCCGACAGCAGACTCGCAACTGGCCCCGGCTCACCAGGCCGATGTAGACGGAATCGCTGCCGTAGGTTACCTACATTGCTTGAATTGTGATACATTCTCAACGGGATGCAAAGACTAACTTAAGAAGGACCCCGCTATTGAAAATGATAACGGAAGTGAGGCTGACGCAGAGAGGTGAGTTTGGTCTGCGATGGAACAGACCTCGATGCTGAAATGTGCCACCCACAGCATTCGCACATCGTCGACTGCCTCGCTGAGTGAGAGTATCACTGAGTATCGCCGGCTTCTCGGTCGCACGTACACGCAGAAAGTTGAATACTGTGTCCCGAATGACGAGAAACAAAATGAAGGACTGGAAATCGCGTAAGTCGAAATTCCGATCTCCTTTGGTTGTGTCTCATGATAGTATAATTGACCGAATTACCGCGCAGACACTACTGGGAGACGCTTTTCCTCGGTGACAAGCTGTTTCTCGCCCCTGTGCCCCAGGACGTACAGGTAAAACATATTCCCGATGCGATCAAGCATCCCGATCAACTGTAAATTGACGAGTCGCGAAGAAAGTACTTGATGTCGGCACTGGTACCGGAATCTGGGCCCTGTGAGTATCATTCGCCACTATTTGCCATTCACTTAGCCGCCCATGCCATGCGGAACTGATACTCCAGTACAGAGACTTCGCCGACGAGTTCCCGTCCGCTGAGGTCACGGGCGTCGACATCTCGCCCATTCAGCCCGGCTGGGTCCCGCCCAATTGTAAATTCCAGATCGACGACGTCGAAGAACCTTGGACGTGGCCCGCCGATCACTTCGACTTCGTACACATCCGCCACCTCGAAGCCGCTATCTCCGACTGGCCGAAACTATACGGACAGGCCCTCGATCACCTCAAGCCGGGTGGGTACATCGAGATCAAGGAGCTCGATGTCGAGGACCACTCCCAAAGCCTCGGCGAGCTCCCGGAGAGCCACATCTACAAGCGATGGGTGAATGTCATGTTTGAAGCCTCTGAAAAGCTTGGCAAGTCGCTCCGGCACTCACTCGACCACGGTATCGCCAAAGACCTGAGGAAGGCTGGCTTTGTCGATATTGTCGAGAAGAGCTGGCATATCCCAATCGGCAGCTGGCCCAAGGATCCAAAGCTCAAAGAGGTCGGCGCGTGCAACCTCGAGTATCTCGACCAATCCCTCGAAGGATTTGGATACTACCTGCTGAAGGAGGTCTTGGGGTGGGAAGTTCCAGAGGTCATTGTGTTCATCGCTGAAATGCGGAAGGCGTTGAGAGATCCCACTCTCCAGACCTATTACGGCTTGTGAGTACATGCAAAACCCGCTAAGAGCTCACATTGAGATGCTCTTGCAACCCAGCAGATCTTGTTGAAGGCGACTGGCTGACTTTTAAAAGGCACTTGGTCTATGCGCGTAAGCCTCTGAAGGAGTGAACAACAGCTTGGCTGAGCCGAAGCACACTACATCATAAATGGACGGGCGGACCCAAGTTGGTTCCAAGAAAGAGCAGGGATGATATCTTCAGGGTGGCCTTCGGAGCATACGGAATAGCAGAGAATGTGGCGTGCTCTGATGGGCCAGCATTTACTGCCCTAATGAATTCTCGTCTATGAGATGCGTAGACTATTCAGACAAACCTTCCGTTCCTTCTCTCCTGTTCCAAAGTATTTTCTTTCTCTGCAGTTCAACCCTGAAGGTGGTTGGCGACTCTCAGCTCTCGCACATTCGTCATGTTCACGCCAACCAACTTCCAAGCAAGAATACCCTCCTCGATGTTCCTCTTCTCGTGGTCGAGCAGGACGTAGCTCATGACGGGGTCCGTGAACTCCGCCTCCTGCCGGAAGTAGGCGTCGTCCTTGTTCTCGATGAAGAGCTGGGTGTTGAAGTTGTAGCGCTCGTGCTCGCGCATCATGTCGACGAGCCCCTGGTCGAAGAACATCTGGCCGGCGTGGGTCGCGACGTTGTTCTGGACCGTGTCGTTGGCCAGCGCCTCGGTTCCCTCCGCGTGGGTCATGATGTGGACGTGGGGCGTGCGGTTGGAGTAGAAGCCCGGGAAGTTGGTGCCGAACCAGACGGCGCCCTCGGCGTTGGTCTTCTGGATGCCGCGGTGGAAGGTCGTGAAGGCGTTGTCGGGGTCGTCTTCGCCCGCGCCGTTGTAGCCGGAGATGACGCCGGAGTAGATGCCGGTGGCGTTCGCGTCTGCTTGCTGTTAGTGAGTACTCAGAGAAGTCGAGTGATGATTACTTACGCCAGACTTCAACCCATATGTCGGGAACGGGCTCGCAGGTCTCGGTGTCGATGATCTGAAGGTCCAGGTACATGGGGATGCCGGACTCATTATCCCAGAGAGCCCAGCGGACATGCTCTCCTTCGACGTCTATCATCATACAGTCAGTATAAATGAGCCTGGAATGGTAGAGGGCTTGAACTCACAGAAAGGACCCTCGGTGCTCTCCGCACTGAGGACGCAGCCATCGTCTCGAGTGGCAAAGATCTCGGCATCAGTAGAATCCCAGTTGATGCTGCCGTCAGTGATCTCATGATTGGTGCCGAGAACAGCACCGACGTTGCGAAGAACAAGCTGAGAGTACTGGTTGTACTTGTCGATGCGACGCTGAGTAGCCTGCTCAAGGATGCCACGCTTCTGGAGATGGGCAGTGCAATGTGCGAGGTTCATGGCGTTGGCGAGGGAGTACTCCTGACGGGCAGCAACCTCTCCGGCAACTTCAAGGGTTCCATGTGCCCAGACACCCTTCATGAGTTTGAGATATCCCACCCAAATCGCCCAGAAGAAGAGGAATAGGGCGCAGTACTTGAATAGGAAGAAAAGTAAGAGCTGAGACCAGGGCATGTAGTCTCTGTTCTTGTGGATTCTCTCCTGGGTAGTGCAGGTCTGGCACAAGGTCTGCCCAGAGCCGCCCCAGTACTCCTTGTGGTCGTTGCTGAAGATATGCCAGGCGATCTTATACTCGGTGCACCATGGTCCAGTTGGATCATTCCGAAACTGATGCGGAAGATCAAAGTCGCCGCAGGTGGCTGGGGCGTAGAAGATGCGCATTCTCCTGCGCTGGTCGAGGTCCATGGTGAATGAAGCGAATGGTGAGCGATATTGGCGTGTAGCAAATGAATTGCTGAAGCTGGCAAATGGGTGCAAAAGAATGAAGAGGAAAACAAAACTAGAAAGCGGTGCAACTGAGCTCACAACGCAACGTTGTGAACGCAACCAGCAATTTGGGTGTTGTTTTATGGTTGTGGCTCCTGCCTCTTTTATCGACGGAGGGAAAAGTCGCGATCCAAGTTAGCCGAATAATAATTGATTTTTTTCTGAGCCCTTCTTTGTGGCCCAAGCTTTGGAAGGCTGGCCAGGCGAGATAGATGGAAGAAGAGATTTCTATTCCTTTCAAAAGAGGCAAGAGCGTGACTTGAGGATAAGGTAGGTAGCTAAGGTTTTGTGCCTGTGAGCATTTATCACCATAACTTCAGATGAAGGTTGATCTTTCGTGTTGCATTCTAAATAAGATCTTCACCTCATCTTACAAGTTGAAATTCGTGAAAGGTAAGATGTACATGGTAGTGGTAGCCACAAATCTGACATGAGCTTATCATAAGAAGGCATGCATCCTTGTTTCTTTATTCAAGCACAAATGAGGAATTAAAGGTAGAACCTCATCATATTCTTTCATAAGCGAAGCATCATTCCCATGATATTACGAGGCCATAAAGTGATATAAATAAAGATGGCATGTGTCGATGCCTGACCTGCTTCTTGACGATTCAAATCTTGACCTCAAATGAAGGCTTATCCTTGATCTGAGAGAACCACTCCCATGACTTCTTGGCAATGTTATCGGGATTCCAAACCTCATGATCGTGAGAAACCGGACCTCCGACGTTGATCAGGCCAATGTAGACACCCTCGTTCTCGTAAGACATGCGCAGAGTCTGGACGAAGTTACGCTGGGCTGCCTTGACCAAGGAAAGAGAAAAGACAGCAGGAATAGGCTCCGAAGGCAGTAGCGAGCTCGTGACAATGATTGCCGGCGTTGACTCTGGACTCGACTTGGCCAGGGAAGTGAGGTGAGGAACGTAGCGCTGAGCGGTAGCGTACAAGGCGGACACGTTGATCTAGACAAGTCGAATCAGCCGACCCCGTGTACGCGGCAATGTGCAAGCCATCTGTTTACCTTGAAGTCATATTCAATCTCCTTCACATCCAGAGCGAGCATCTCAGACGGTGCCACCCGTGCGGCGTTGAAGAAAACACAAGAGGGCTTGCCGATTTCTGCGTCTGCCTTCTCAAGCACTTTGCTAAAGGCCTCGGTATCGGTAATGTCCACGGCGTAAGTCTTGACCGTCGCGCTCGGTGCAGCCTCCTCCACGGCCTTCTTCTCGAGCCGCAACTGCTCTTCCCTTCTTGCGATGAGGGCAATTTTAGTGTAGCGCTTAGACGCGAAGAGAGCTGTTACGGAACGCCCAATGAGAGGACCGGCTCCGATGACGAGGAGGGTCTCTTCTGCCGTGTTTGCTGCCATGGTATGCCGAGTTCTTTTTAGGACGATGACGATGTTGGGATCCTACAGTTTCGGACACTTGGAAGTGGACTTGACGACCTTTTAAATAAGCGGTCACTCCCGTCCCGTCTGAATCATGACTGGTGGTTGAACTGCTTCCGGATGCTTACGCTCTCCCGCCCCGCTTCGGGCTTTGTAATCCGGGGTGGGTCATCCCACATATCTACAAAGGCACCCCGGGACAGCGCATCTTGGCTACTTGTCTTTAGTTAATTTAAATTTCCCAGATGTTTCTAGCTGTGGTTGCCCGCCTTCTGATTCTACCAAGATTCGGCAAATAATTGAGCGACGGGGCCTTGTTTTTACCTGATTGAATTGGTAATCACCTCACAGTTCGCCGGAATTTGGATTCCTCAGAAAATCACTGCGTGTCTAACACCACGTACGCATCATTCACTACACCACTTCTCTTGCAACCTCAACAGCGGTCGGCTCTGATAGCCCAAGCTCCATCGGCCTCTTAAACGTCGTCACTCTGATTCAAGAATGGTCAATTGGGTTCAACCTGATCAGCGCTAGTACCTGTCGCCAACCCAGTCCGGCGCTGACGGCATCAGCAAGAAATCTACAGGATTCTGATTGGAAGAGACTCACGTAAGCTTTACCTGCCGAGCCTAACAAAGTCCCTAGTTTGTGATTTCACAACTATTATGCCATTGGATAAACAAGACTTTGGTCGCAACATCAGGAATGTGGGGACCTGAGGCTGTTTATCTGAAGACCCGAAATCTGGAGTTCTCAGAAAGCAAATTCTGCTGCTGCCTCACTCAATATTGTTTAAGTAGAGATACGAACTCAAGTTTCCCTGGTCGAGCTAATCTGATTGCTGGTTACTCCATCCCCGGTTCCCTCCACCACTTCGATTTATGACAAACAAGCCTTGCCGTCGTTTCCTTCTCGAATCGTTCGCGCCACCCAGACGGCATAACGCCATGAAACCTGACTACTTGAAGATTCTTCAAATCTGATACGATACCAAAGAACTCGTCATACTTCTTCTCAGTGAGCTTGGCTTCCCAGCCCTTGGTGCTGTTCGGCCTCGGTTCCCAGTCGACGACGAGCTCCGACAGATTCTTCGCTCGCCGCGCAACTTCGCCAAACATACCCAGCCAGCGATTCCAGTTAGGATACTCCATGGCGACGAGGATGTACAGCCGGCGCAGGCGTTCGAAGCGAAGCGTGCCGTGGACGGCGAAGCCAATGCGCCGGTCGCCCCAGCCGGCCGTGTGGACTCTCATGAGGGCGTCGGAGTGCACTCGTTGGTGAAGTTCTCGGTAGCCGCGTTTACAGGTGAGCATGAGCGGCGGGATTGGCTTCGAGTAACCCCCTTGCTCGATGTAGAGGTGCAGCGGCCGAAGCGTGTCGCCAAAGTCATTGTGGTCGAAGGATAGGTAGTATTCGTAGATGCGTTCTCTGATTTCCCAAGGAAGTTCAAATAAACGAGAACCGTCGTTCATGTTTGTCGTGGTCGTCTCATGTGTATCCCTGGGGATGTCTGTCAGCATTGCCCCACATGCCGTCAGGGGACGGAGGGAGGGTGCTTAGGCTTACATGTTGGTCATTGCGGTGGGTTATGTTGGAGGAGCTGGACCTGGTTCGAATGAATGCTCAGCCTCGATCGAGGAACTTTAATGCCTTTTTGTTTGGTGCGTGAAAATGGCAGCCTATTTGGCGATGTTGCTGCCTGACGACTGCCGGAAGTTCCGTCTCACGTCGTCGGATGTTGTCGGATGTTGCTGTTGACCCGCTTCCGGATGCTTACGCTATCGGCCGCCCCGCTTTCGGCTCCGAAACATGGCGGGGTCACCCCACACGCGCCGAATGTCCCCCGGAAGCTTACAAAAATGGAAGCAAGACCGCCAGAAAGCTGTCCAGAATAGACAGCGCATCTGGAGTACTTCTCTTGGGTTAATCAAACGCTCAAATCGATCGAACCGTAGTTATCCGCTTGCCGATTTTTCTGAATTTGATCAATGAGAAGGATATGATTGAGTGGTGATGAGTGTATTCGCCAGATTGAAGATATTACATGGCGCTGAAAAGTCTGGATCTCTCAGGTCAGGAATAGAATATACACGACCAAAATCTCCAAAAACCGCTCTAGTCACATATCATACACTATGCTGCTTCTTTCGGGACTTCAACAGCGGCCGGCTCTAGCGACCTAAGCTTCTTCTCTTCAATCGTCTTGACCAATTCTTCCATTTCATCCACGTTGGTGAGCCACCATTCACAGCCAGGCGGCGCGTCCAACGTTAATGCATCAAACTCCCTTGCGGCCTCCTTCGGGCACGGGTGCCCCCGAGCGACCCGCTCCGCCAGCCGGGCCATGGCCGGCGGTGCCCAGATGGCCAACAGCGGCTCGCAGTCCCCATCAGTCGAGCGATAACACGTCACCGGGACAGAGTCGCGTTTGACCATGAGGTGGTAAATGGCGTCTGGGGGAAGAAGAGGATAATCGCAATTGACCACAACCCATGTGGCCCACGGGTCGTATCGGTAGGCGGAGAGCAGGCCGGCGGCCGGTCCCGCGGAGTAACGAGATCTGGGTGGGTGTCTGTCTCGCAAGATTCTGACTTTCGGCTCCTTCAAGTCGCCATTTTCACTCTCATTCTCAGGGGTCGGGTCGGATTCGACGGCGAGTAAACTTTCGAGATAGTCATCCGTCTCAGAACCCGGCGCCAATGAGATGTAGATTGTGTGCGGCTCTGGGAAGACCGCCCGGAGAAGTCGCAGTTGGCGCTGGTACAGGGGTGTTCCATCAGGCATGCGGAGAAGGTGTTTAGGTGTGCCCGTCCGAGTCGGTTTACCCCCGGCTAGCAGCAGTGGCCTCATGGGCGGTAGTCCCATCGCTGCTGCTGGCTGGCTGCCCACCACCAAGTAAAAACGACGTGTAAGTTTTGGGTTGTGTGCGTGGATTGTTGTCTCCCGACGAGTTCTCCTTTTTCCGGGGTTCGATGATACGATCGGTAACGGTATTGATGGGGACCTTTTTGAATGGTGTTAGCCCACCACTCCACGCCTTTGACTTATCAACTCTTGGACGTCATCATTACGCTATGACAGCAGGTTTGAGCCTGACAAAGCCACTGACAATAGGCACAATAGACCCGAATTGCCGGGAGAACAAAGTCCATCTGAACACCCCGGCAAGACAGCAGACAGGCATGAATGAGCTGCGATTCAAACCATTTCCATTCTGGGCTGATGGCAGATCTTGGATCTCCTCGGGGATGCAAGCCGGTGCATTAACCTGTACTTGCCCTCCTCTCCCCGTCCCTTTATCTTTATCTCTCGAGTTCAGGAGCTGAATCAATGCCAAGAAGTCAATCATCGATTTCGAGACACCCATCTCGACGGCTGCATCATACCTCATCCTGCAGGGTTTCTTACCTTATTCCAAGCTCCATCGAATCAATATCAATATGCCCCTGGGCTCATGTACTAAGCCCCCGAATGCACTACCACCAACCAGTCCCGATCGCCGCGAACGATCTGCGGTGCGCGCATCAATACGCAACTTCACCTCCCAGTGGTTCCTGATTCCACAAGGAACCGCAATCCTAGCTACGCTTTTGAAACAGCTCGACTACCGTTTCAATGGCCTCACAATTATTTCCTATCTCTTTTGGGTGACAGCCATCGTACTGCTCTTTTCGATGGTCAGCTTTTACCTCCTCCGGCTTACACTATACCCACGGCGCGTTTTCCAAGCCCTCAAGCATGATGAATCCGAGCTCGCGGGTTTGTCCAGCGTCTCCATCGCATTCACTTCAATCATCCAGATGGCTTCTTTGACCCTGGTCTCGGGCTGGGGCGGGCCGTGGAGCAAGATCGTCTACGTGCTGTGGTGGATAGCGTTCTCGTTAGCTCTCGTCATCAGCGTCGTCCTGCCGTTCATCTTGATCAAGGTCTACCCTTCAGGCGTCCCCCACATCTCACCCGCGACACAACTCCCGTTGATCGCGGCCCTGACGGCAGCGGCCGGGGGCGGGACGATATGTAATACTGCCATGCTCAGCAGCCAGCAGCAGATCCCCGTCATCATCGTGTCGTACCTGCTCATCGGCATGGCGCTGCCTCTGGCTTTCGCCCTGGACGTTTTGTTCTGGGCCAGACTGTTGGGTAACTACCAGCCTCCGAAGAAGAAGGCGTTCCAGGACATGATCCTCTGCGGGCCCTGGGGGCAGTCTAGTTTCGCCCTGCAGATGCTTGGGCGGTCGGTTGTTGAGGGTAGCTTCGCTTCGTATGCGAGCGGCACGTTCCTAACGGCGGATGCCGCCGCGCCTGTCGGCTACTCCAGCATGCTTGCGGGCCTCGCTGCTTGGGGACTGGGCACGTTTTGGTGGTTCTTTGCCATCATGGGAATCGTGCACGCGTTGTTCGAAGGGCGGCGGCCGACACGCATGCCGTATACACTAGCTGGCTGGGCACTGGTGTTCCCATGGGTAAGCTGCTCTTCGGACTGTTTTGAAAGTTTGCTAAACACCTTGTAGGGCGTATATACGAACGCTGCGATACAGCTGGGCAAACTACTTGACTCGAAAGCCTTCAAGGTATGGTCGACTTGCCTCACACTCTTGTTGGTAATCATATGGTCTTTTAACGTCTTTATGACAACGAGAATGCTGGTATTAAAGCTGCGTACATCTGTACGAACGAACTAGTACTCACTGGGTTGATTTGGGTCTGGGTCAGGCGTAAGAGGAAAGGATTGGAAAAGCATCACTCATTAGGCTTGAATTTAGGACGATGTAAATCGAATAAGTCTCGTTGACAATAGTAATGTTAATAATTTATCCGGCTATCGGATTTCTTTTCAAAAGATGCCAAGCTGGACTTAACGGCCCTACACGGCGAGAAACTGCAACGGCAGTAGCAATATGTTAAGTCCGGCTGTGTCGGGAATCACGAACGAAGTGCTGAGATAACTCCAATAGAAATAGTAAGACAACGGGTGCGATCATCCGGGTTTGTAGCTTGCCATACCCCGAAGGATGCTGACGGCCAAGGAAACCTGGCAGCCATTACATCTTGGAAATAGCCGCTCTCAGTAGCGACTTACAACATGGCGCCATCCGAACCAGAGATTGCAAACATCCTTCAAGAGATGGTCGATGGCTTCCGAGAATGGCCTCTCGCACCCATCATGCACTTCCCGGACGAAGCCGGCCTTGAGTTTGAGGACATCTTCTTCCCATCGGAGGACGACGTGCCCCTCGAAGGCTGATTCATACCCTGCAAGGGATCCAACAATATCATCATCGCCAACCATCCCCGTTGGTGCAACCGTGCCGGACTGCCAGGGCACCTGGAGCCGTGGAACACTCTCGTCCCACCAGTGCCAACGCGACCACGGCAGCCATGAAGCGCCGTCCGGAGGTCTTCGAGGGCGTCCGCTGTATGGTCGCGCCTCAGCCGTTGACGCTGCGAGTGGCATTCGATCGAGGCCTGGAGATGCTGGGGATTCCGTCATCGTACATGGAAGATCTTGAGCGTCGGTTCTTCCTTCGAACGAGCTGCCGCGTCGATCAGATGTCGCCGGTGCCTGATGCCAAACCTGTGCGAGTGCCGGCGTTCTTGTATCAGGTTCACGACGACCCCGTTACGCGACCCAGCGACGTCCAGGCTGCGTACGACAACATCCCAATCTCAGAGAAGGGGCTACATTGGATCCGGGGAACGATTACGCGATTGTATGGGTACAAGTACTTTCAGACGGAGCCGGATCAGTTCTTGGAATGGTTTGCACGGTTTATGGTGTAAATGAGCCAGGTGTCGTTCTCAACATAGTCCATCTGCAGCTTTTCAATCCCCACTTCGCCTATTACTCTTGAAATTGAAGCTACCGTCTCTCATATGTGAGTTATGCAGGTTTCTTGGTGCAAACTTACAATGAAAGCATCAAAAGTCCATGATGGTGCCACGGACTGCAGCATGTTCCATCTGCATCATCGTGCCGTCGGCTGAAGGACTTTCGGAGTCCGCTCTCATCAAAAAGCAGCTTCAGTGCCAAGACATGTCGTTATCGCAGAGAGGCGATGCAAACTGAGGTTGATGACTTACCGACGGGAGAAGACTTAAGGTTAATGACGTGCCGGTGGGATCAAGCTTTAATGCGGAGTGCAGCTCTCTCACCATTGGTTTGGACGATCGTTCGTCTGGTGTTCCCCCCCTTTATCAACTACGCCGCCAAGAGCATCCTTATTCAAACCTTATCCGCTATCCCCCCTGCCAAGAGGTCGCAAGAATCGGCGGCGCGATCTGGATTTACTTCCCACGTGCGAGCAAGCAATTTCCAATTCCATGAAAAACAATCGTCTAACCAATGAGCCGGTTAGATTAATAGGTGGAAAATCCGCTGTTCGTTCAAGGGTCATCCCGACCCCGCACGGAAAACGAGCTCGGCGGAGACCCAGCGTCGCATTTCCGACCATGTCGTCGAGAAGTTCTTAAAGAGGCGTGATTTCCAGCTTGAATATGGCGTTCATCAGGTCTTTCGGGCTCGTCAGTGTTTGCAGCAATCGTCAATCATGTTGTCTCTGAGAAAACTCACCTCTGCGTGCGTTCTGGCGGCCATGTCGGTCCAGCCTGTATCGTCAACCCTGCTCTATGTCGCCTCCCACGCTGGAACGGTTACGACTCTCGATCTTCAGTCTTCTGGATCCGGTAGCACGTCTCTCAAGGCAATCTCTGAGACAAGAGAATGCGCTGCCAACCCGTCCTGGCTTACCCTCGACCAAGACAAGTCTCTCTTGTACTGCGCGGACAGAGGTCTCACCAATCCCAATGGCACATTGGTCTCTTTCGAGAAGTCTGAGAACGGTACCCTCTCTCCCCTCGGCAAGTTGGAGACGATCAAGGGTGCTGTCAGTTCTGTTGTGTACGGCAAGGATGGCGGTGGAATCGCGCTCGCGTCTTAGTAAGTCAGCTGCATGAGAACCCCGGCCGAATTCCCCAGTCAATTTGAAAGACGACTCGAAAAACATGCGAAACCATCATTCCGGCTGTACTAACACATTCAAACTTCAGCCCGGCTTCGTCATTCGAGGTCTTCTCCGTCGCGGACCCCAGCGACATCAAGCGGTTGCAGTCTTGGACGTACGCGCTGAGTGAACCGGGGCCGAAGCCCGCGCAGAATGCCCCGCATCCCCACGAAGCCATCCTGGACCCCACGGGGGAGTACGTCTTAGTGCCGGACCTGGGAGCCGACGTTGTGCGGATCTTCAGCGTCAACCAGGACTCGTACGAGTTGACGCCTCTTACCCCTCTCAGCGTGGCGGTCGGCAGTGGACCTCGACACGCGAGGTTCCTCGTCGTTGGCCAGAAGACTTACTTCTTCGTCCTTGCTGAGCTCGGAAACACAATCACCACTTACGAGGTTACCTACAACCAAGACAAGACTCTGGCGTTCAAGGAGGTCTTCGTGGTTGGAACTCACGGGCCGGATAACGTGGTGCCGGTTGGTGCTGCCGCAGCTGAAATTCACATTTCTGTAAGTCTGGTATCGCAGGATTTGATTGAGGTGCAGTACTAACACTGAATAGCCTGACTCGGAGTACTTGATCATCTCTTCGCGCAACGTGAGCACGTTCAGCATCCCCAACTTCGACAAGACCAACAGCACCGAGATCCAGTCCGATGCACTGGCGACCTTCGCGATCAACCACGAGACCGGTCACTTGAACTTCACTCAGCTTTACCCTGCTGGCGGCAGAATCCCTCGTCAATTCTCCATCAACAAGGCCGGAGATCAGGTTGCTGTGGGACTTCAGTCAGACGGTCGCGTCGTTGTGATCAGCCGTGATGTCAAGACCGGTCTTCTCAAGGACTTCATTGCCGACATCTCCATTGCTGGAGAGGTTGTCTGTGTGATTTACGACGAATAGAGAAAGGCTTCGGGGCACTCTGCAGGGTCCATATTTTTTGTATCAAAAGGCATAGAAGCGAATACACTTGAAAATGTACCGGTACAACTCATGAGATTTTACTGTCTTCGTCAAATTGATGCGTGCGTTCCTACCGGGTTGCTCAACATTAGGTGAATGTTAGGACGAGTTCTTGATGATGGTTCTTGGCTGTGGCTGTATTCCAAGCCCAGTTCGTTATTGATCATATCTGGAATAGGTAGCCTCTCAAAGTGAGACAACGTGTTCGCAACATCACTGAAAACGCAACACTTTCATTTAAATAAATGCCTTCTGAAGCCTTCGGAATGCAGAGCTGTCTTGGGAGATGCGCCGAGGGTTCAATATAAGAAGCAGGATCTCTCAGCCCCGACAGCTGGCTGAGATGCTTGCGGCGTGAGAAGGCGCTCTCAAGATGAGAGTTCTCCTCTCAAATTCCTTCTTCAAGAAGCACCCATCCGTTGGAAAAAGAACGCATACGAGAATTCTCATTTGTCCTCCTGATAATGCGGGGTTTTCAGGTGACCTGATGACCTTGCTAACCCCTGTACCGGCAACATGATCGCCGAGCCAAGTTGCGAGCCGTCTCGCCGGTGTAACGCACGGAACAAACTGCATCTGATCTCTCTTGGCGATCGAGATGTCACTTCATCCCATATTTCGAGCTTATTTTGGGGGCACTGGCCAGCAAAAGATCGAGTCAAGACTTGTTGGCGCACATTGGTCTTTTGTTCCCTCGCGTTGGCCAAGGGTTTATTACAGTTCTTATCTTGGGTTTAGGTAGCCCTTGACAAGTGCGTCTCCGTCCGGTCGAGTCGGAATTTCCTTGTTTCTCCACCAGCTGGGGCGTTCTGCGCAAGGAACGTCATTGTAACACCTGAATATTCTGAGATGAGGAGGTTTGCTTTTGAGAACTCAGCGGCAGAGTATTAATTGCAACCAGACGGCAAAAGGGTACCTATGTTTACCTCATTGAGTACTTCACACGCGACCTTCATGCCCGTTGGATAACCACTGGCCGGTACCACCAAAATGTCTCATCGTAGTTGCATGCATACACTGCAGCTCGTGCTACTTTGCAATGATTAGAGACGGGCGAGTGTTGTTGACTCTAATTCCAGGGTTATTTGTCTATTTATCCACCACGCGCATCCAATTCACCATTCCCCAGTAGTTATGTCCCTCTTGTCCATCCTCGTCAACTCCATCAGTCATGGGCTCATCGATTTTCCTCCGCACCCTTCTGCTGGCACTTTTGCCTTGCACAGCTCTGGCTAGCTGGCGTAAAGATAGCACCAACCCCGTCAGACAGCTTGTGGAGGAGAAAAGAGCCCTCCTCAAACGTCGTACTTTGGAGCGACGTGATGTGAGCAGCAGTGAGTATCAGCACCTCAATGACAAGACCGAAAGTATGAAAATCCCCTCACTTGACTTCATTTAGATCGCATAGACTTACAAAAATCATAGAGTATCTCGTCAATGGGACGGACATTCCCTTCGTTGACTGGGACTTGGGAGAGTCATATGCTGGCTTGATGCCTATTTCGAAAGAAGCGAATGAGACCCGCGAGCTCTTCTTCTGGTAATTTGCATCGAATTCGCTCTTGACACATTGTAGTAGAGCCTAAACTGATCCACTGCTTTTAGGTACTTCCCAAGCACAAACCAGAATGCTTCAGACGAGGTCACGATTTGGTGAGAAGAACTTCGCTATACATACATGTATCGAAATCGCTAATGACCGCTAGGATGAACGGTGGTCCAGGCTGCAGCTCTTGGATTGGGCTGATAGAGGAAAACGGTCCCTTTACCTGGTTCCCCGGCGCTTTCCGCCCCGTCTACAACATTTACAGCTGGTCTCAGCTCTCCAACATGCTCTTCATCGACCAGCCTGCCGGCACCGGCTTTTCTGTTGGCGACTTCAACGGGACGACCGAGGAGGAAATCGCCGAGCAGTTCCTAGGCTTCTACGACAATTGGATGGAGACCTTCGACACCAAGGGCCGCCAGACGTATCTCACCGGCGAGAGCTACGCCGGATTCTACATCCCCTACATCGGTGACGCCATGATTCAGTCGGACCACTGCGCCGATTACAACCTTGCCGGTTCCCTCATGTTCAGCCCCTACATCCGGAGCATACCCAATGACTTTGGACAGAATGCCGTCACCAAGCCCTATGTCGACACGTACAACAACGTCATGGGACTCTACCCTGGAGTCGGCGACCCAGTGGACTTCTACCAGGCCATTACCACCGCTGACGAGGAGTGCGGCTACGCTGAGATGAGAGAAAAGTACTTCACCTTCCCGCCTTCCGGTACATTTCCTACCGGGAACCTCAGCGCGGAATGCCAGATTTCACTCATGGTTTACGCTGGCTTGGCCGAAGTCAGCCCCTGCTCCAACATCTACCACATCTCTCAAGGCTGCCCTCATCCATCCGACCCGCTCAGCTTCGGGCAATACAGCGACAACGCCAGTATTCCCCTCGGTTTCGACAAGAAGACCTGGCACGGCTACCCAAACATGCCCCAGATGCGGAATGCCGTCCACATCCCGACCGACCAGAAGGACTGGCAGATGTGCACTGACGAGGACCCCTTCGGCCCCGCCAGCGACCAGAGTCTGGACCCCTTCACCTCGGGTGCGCTGACGAGGATCATCGAGCACACGAACAACATCATTATCGCCAGCGGAGAACAGGATTACCGCGTGCCGACTAACGGGACGCTGATGGTGCTCCAGAACATGACCTGGAACGGCCAGCAGGGATTCAGCGAGTTCCCTAGCAAGACGTTCTTCTTGCCAAGGACCTTCAGCGACGTATCTTCGCAGAGCTCTTCGGGTAAGATTGGAGATTGGGTCGAGCAGAGAGGGTTAAACTTTGCGCGCGTGTATGCCGCCGGTCATGGTAAGTCGCTAAGTAGATTCCCGTCAATACGTAATGACTGATGAGTGACTGACTCTTGCGTAGAACTCCCACAGTATGCTCAGGGTGCTGGTTACAGACTGCTTGAGAAGCTTCTTGGACGCGTGTCCAACTTGACTTCGGATGCCATGTTTTCTGCTCTGCCTGGAGATTTTAGCCCTCCGCCCAGCAACGAGACTATGCCTGGCATGAACGGAACTAGGTCCGATTGAGAACGGAGGCCTGTCTGTAGATGATGCCCAAAGGCATGATGAGAAGCCACCTCTAAGATATCTCAGTTGACTCTTCACACAATAAGATTCCATCTTCTTGAACGATGAATGTGATATTGATTTCATGTAATCTTAGATTGTCCTGCCGCTTTAACAAAAACACCCAAATACGCAATTAGACAACGCTGTATCGAATAAGCTAAGGTGGGCAGCACCAGTAGCCAACAGCCTGTGTCACGAAGATGTCAGCAATCATGCAAACGCAAGTGGAAAGGGCCTGGCATAGTGTTTACTTACAGCATCAACTGACTCGCAAGGAGGGAACGGAGGCCAATCAGATTGTGCGGTTCCGCACTATTGTCGAAAAGTCAGATATCTCGTTGATTCATCCAAGAATTCATTCATAAAAGGGGGTTGTAGATACCTTGTATTCCACCAATGCAGAATTAAAACAGCTGTTGCCAGACTTGCTGCATCCCGGGTGCGACCACGCCATGACAGCGGCAGGTGCGAGAGCAATGATGAGAGTTGAAAGTTGCATGGTGAATGAGAGGTGTGTGGTCAAAAGTATTGGTAGGTTGCAGAGGCTGATGAAAATAGATACTCAGAATTATTCACGATCCGTAGCCACTTTTATACCTTTCCAACGGCAGCATCGGATATGATGATGAGTCGCGGCCAACTTCATACCAACTTTTAAGTTTAGTAGATGGATCTCTCCAAATTGAGCCAAGATCGGATCATTCCGGTGGGTGGTGGGAGCCACCAGACGATCTCATCTGAAGTCATCTATCCGCTGCCAGGGCCATTCTATCCAGTGGTCTTGGCATCAAGCATCGTCTGCGGGCCCCATTTCCACGGCCCCGGGCGCTCGAACGTCCCGAGGCAGTGGTTTGACTCGGTCGGAATACTCCGCATTCTAACAAGGACTCTGTGAGGACAACAGCTCGTCCTCAATTTGGCTTCCATGCAACTTTGACTTGGTCCTCAGCAGCTTCAGACTGAGTCGCCAGGTTGTGTCATATAAAGTTGGTGTTGGTGTTGGTCAGAGGACAGAGTTCGTCTCATCTTTAGCTGGTCGTGTCTGAGAATCACATCAGCCACAGTGAACAGACTATGTGTATTCCAAGGACCTGATTCAGTCTTCAGGGTAGTCCGTTCAGTCAACGAACCACTGTCCAATGTTATGCCTGATCTGCCGCCCCAATCTTTCGGTCCCAAGTAACTGAGACAGTTGGAACCATGGTAGGCGAGGCTGTTCTCAACCATGGCGTTGGGTAAGAATTAATTTGATTGAACTTGCGTGAAACCCTTCTTCCTATTGACAAAATGGTGTTTTTCCTCCTATGAAGGTGGTTGTTTGTATGGCCTGGGTGCGTCTCGCGACGACTCTCACGGCCATTTACTTGATTACTCGGCTTCAACAGTCGTCCGCATCAGTAACTGAACCGCAGACACGCAATAAACCACGGCACAGCTCATGACTGCTGACACGGGTCGTGCCAGAGACGTGTCAATCTCACACTTCCTCCAATACGGCGATAGTCGAGAGCCGACATCCGGAGAACCATCCGGAACATGTGGGTCCACCCGGCGACCCGCCCCGCGGGATGCGCGGCGCTGAAGGCCGGAGTTGGGACGGAACCTCACGTTCGTGCTAGCACCGTTAAATGACGCCAGCGTTGGACTACTGTGTCATTCAAGAAAGGGGAAGCATTCGCCGAGTTCAAAGATAGGAAAACAACCGTATTTCATCCGCTCGGAGACCGAAACCGACACCATGCTTTCCGTTCCGTGATCTGACACCGGGAGACCATCTCCATAACGCGACCGCTCAGGGACTATCGGAAACTAGTAACGATGTGCTAATACAAACCTCCAATATTCTTATTTAGATGCTAGAATATTATACCCTCAGTGGAACCTCCTCGTCCGATCTTCTCTCTTCGTCCGTCCGTCTCGGCGGACGTCCTCTTGAGCAGTCCATGATAAATAACAACACCATCAGCCAGAACAGTATCAAAACCACATTCAACCGATTCAAGATCCTGCTGCTAACCTGCTAGATCACATTGCTTTCATCAATTCCAGCTCTACCTACCTAACATCACCACAACCAACCATCCACCATGTCCCCCCAATTCAAATACCTCAACAAACTCCGCTCCTCCCGCGTCCTCATCATAGGAGGCTCCTCCGGCCTAGGCTACGCCGCAGCAGAGGCCTCTATAGAACACGGCGCAACCGTGATCCTCGTCTCCTCCAACGCAACCAAGCTCTCCGCCGCCGCAGACCGCCTCCGCTCAACCTACACCACCCTCCTCACGACCCCGGACCAAATCACAACCCACACAATCGACCTCTCCGACCTCGCCAACCTCCGCTCCAACCTCACCGCCCTCCTCGACATCGCTACGCTCAACGGCGAGCACAAAATAAACCACGTAATCTACACCGCAGACCTCGCCCCTCCCCTGCCTCCCCTCCCGCAAACAAAGCCCGATGACATCCACGCCGCCTTCGCCCTCCGCGCCCACGCGCCCATCATCCTCGCGGGCCTGCTCAAGGAATCCGAGAGATACGTCCTGCACTCCCCTGACACCTCGCTCACGCTGACCAACGGCTCGAGCTCGCACCGCCCGATGCCGGGCTGGGCCGTGGCGGACGCCGCGGCGGGGTCGATGGAGGGTTTGGTGAGGGGCCTGGCGTGCGATCTGGCGCCGGCGAGGGTGAATCTGGTGTCCTCGGGCCCGGTGACGACGGAGCTGTTTCAGCAGTTGCCGGCGGAGACGGTGGAGTTGTTTCGGAGTAAGTGTCTGACGGGGAGGTTGGGACGGCCGGAGGATGTGGTTGAGGCGTATTTGTATCTGATGAAGGATGGGTTTGTCACGGGCGCGACCATCTTCACCGAGGGCGGCCGGATTCTGGCCCCCTGAGTGTGAGGGTGTAGAAACTGGCTGGCGAGAGCCTTTTCACTTGCTTGCAGTGTGAAGGATGTGTGGATTAGGTAGATGCTGGTCTCGCAGTAATAGCCGTTCGCGAGAATCTGTCACGTTGATTTGGGCACTTATCGTTTTAGGAATAGAAACTTTTCTGCTTCTCTAGACGTTTTCCCCATCATCTCTGCTGCGGCTGCCACCTTAATTGCAGCCCCTATTCAGTCCGTGACGTCCTCTGACAATACAAGTACAATGCCACCTCTTCCCCCCATCGACGCCATTCAAGTTGATATCGACTTGTCAGGGCTCGCCCGCTCACAGATCCTCCTCCAGAGGTATCCGCCATGTAGGATCTCATACGTGGCTTTCCCTTGCCATCGTCTTCTCGTATTGATGCTAAACCCTAGGGAATGCATGCTCTGTAAAATCTGATTTTCGCTGGTGTTGATGACAAGTGGGTAAGATACTGCAATACCCCGGGACCTCCGGCCTCTTTCTTGATTCCGCGCTCAGTTCACCGTCTCTCTTTTCTTTCCATGTGACGCTTGCGCAACTCCAACAGAGCCAACCTCAGTCTGAGTCCCCTGAACATCACTAGTAAGGGATCCTCGATGCCAACATCTGCCGACTGGCGAAGCTTTCTTCATCACTTTCCTCACTACCCTCGCTGCTCCCCGCGTCGAAATTTCCCTCGTAACTCTCTTCACTAGCATCGCTATTCTCATCGTCACTGTTCTCCAGTCGCTCCGGAATATCATAGCCGTGAACGCCATGGCCACCAATGCCATAGCCGCCGTCAAGCCCGAGAGCCTCCGCCTCCCTAGGCGTCACCTACGTCGAGACTGAAGACGTATCGGAACTCTCGTGTTCCTAGGGGGTGCTGACCATCGGGTGGTCTGCCCACCACGGAAAGTTATTGTCGCCGTAGAAATCCAACAACAGCTCACCCGGATCCGCGTCCTCTTTGCCGTTCTAGGGTATGCAGAAGTCGACCCAGCTACCCAGATAGTCGAGTCTGTTGCCGGCGTTCTCCTGGCTCTTGTAAATCTCCTCAAATTCCTCGAAGCTGAGCTTGCCCCAGCCGCCGCGGTCGGCGGCCTCCTTCTCCGCGAGGTCGAAACGCTTCCAATCCTGGAGGATGAAGTCGGGGATGCTGTTGCCTGATTCCTTCGACGATTTGCCCGACTTCTTCTTCATTGCTGATTTCAAGCTCTTCTTCGACGAGGATGAATCATCAGAGGACGGCGGAGTAGCGTCTGATGGGATCGGGATGTCAATGGGCGCATCGCTGTTAGGGCGGAACTGGGGCATGGTGGGATCTCGGTACTCGACTTCCTCAACGACCGCCACGGTCTCCTCCTCGACGTTGTCGTCGTTGTCCGTGTCGATTTCCTCAACGACCCTCTCAGGCTCCTCCACAGCGTTGGTGTCGTCTCCGTCGCCAGATCCGTCAACTCTGTAACCACTAGTCAAGAGTAATTCTTCCAGAGACCTTTCGGCAATCGGCTTGCTCTCATCGAGCGCCTTGCGAGGCTGTCGCGGCTCGGTCGCTTTTGGCTTCGGCTCGTCGACCGTGAGGTGCTCGAACAAGGCCCTGTGCTTCTCTCTCTTAGACCGCGTCGCCGCTGCCTTGACGGCCAAGTCCTCCTTGTCCTTGAAGATGGCGTCGAGCAGCTCGTTGAAGGCTTGCTGGGTGACCTGGTAGAGAATCTCCTTGCCAGCGTCGCGCTCTTCGTCTGGGATCTCGAAACCACCCCAACGTTCAGGCACGCTTCTAGAGGACGTTGAGGGGTTGGATCTCGTGTCGTAGTCGTCCATGTCTTCGGCGAAGCGGACCTTTGACGACGACCTGGAGCGAGGGGACAGCAATGGTTGCTGCGCCGCCTTGGAGCTCTCGGCCACGCCGTTGAGACTAACCAGAACGTCCTCCTCAGATTGCCAGCCATCAGGGGCCAGGCCACCTTCTTCTTCGTCGAGGTAGAATTGTCTCCGCTTCCATCTGTCATGTAGTTGCTTCCTGGCGGCTTGTCGTCGCCTTTTCTCGATTCCGGGGGCCATCTGCCTCCTATGGTTGATTACTTGGGCCCGCAGTTGACTTTCTGTAGGCATGCTATTTGAAAACTGTTCGGAGTCCACTCTTCTATCGTTATTCTCCGAGCCATTCGCCTGGGCAGCGACGGCACCAGTCGAACTCCTATTCTCCGCGTCCGAGTTATTGTTCACATCGTCTTCATCATCTGAGCTACCCATCTCGAGTTCAAAGTCAAGGTCAACCACGTTTTGTTCGCGACGCTGTCCACTCAGGATATCCGGGAGATCGTCGATGGTGGTCGGTGGATTCAGTAGGGCATCCCAGTATGGGGTATCGGGTTCACTGTCAGGAGATCGCATCTGGCCCGAGAAAGGGCTGCCGATGTAAGGTGCAAAGAGTCTGGTCAGGACATCCTCTCGCGTTGACGTATCGCCCTTGTCCGCGCCGACGACGCCTTGCCTGCCGGGCTCCAACTCGACATCTCCGTTGGCGTGGAAGATCTTCCCCTCGCTGCGGTTGTTGCCATCAGCACGCGGTACTCTGCCCTCGCGGCCAAAGAGACTACTCAGAGGTTGCCTGCTAGTCACCAACTGGGTGGCTTCAACGCTTCCCATGAGCTGGTCGTCCAAGCCGTCGAGGATGTCGCGGTGCATTTGCTTGTAGAGGACGTAGTACGCGCGGAACATGCGCAGGAAGTCGCGTCGATTGACGAAGCCGTCACCGTCGATGTCGTAGCCCTCGAAGATCTTGCGCAACTTGTCCTTCCGCTTGCGATACGCCAGTCCATGCAGGAACTCGGTGAAGCCAATCAGGTCGTCGTTGTTTGTGTCGTAGAAAGAGAACATGCGGTCGTGGATCAGATTCGGCGTCGCGTGTCGAGAGCCACCAGAGGGTACCAGGCAACGTTCGAACGTCTTCTTGTCCATCGCAACCTGAAGCTCGTCCGGATCGTCACGCCATTCCGTGCAGGCCATGAAAGTGAACTGCTCCCAGAAAGCCTCAATCTCGGGCCTCTCGAAGCCGGTCTCCTTGCTGAGCCTTGCGATCAGACTTCGGTTCAGGTTCCTCTGACAGGATTCGGGATCGCCGGTGTACCAAACGGGTTGCATCTGCCTAGGACCAAACGGAGGAGCGGGAACCTTGATCTTGTAAAAGATGTGCGACTTGATGTGGACGCCCTGCGCTTCGCACGTCTCGCAGAGGTCGAAGTCGGCGCAGTTGGCACATCGGTAGCGGACGCCGCGAATGGGAACCATACCGCAGGCATTACACGCGCAGCCCCTATGCACGCAGGCGTTGCGCCGAGCATTGTCTTCCGAGACCCTAAACAGCAGGCTGACGATGTTGTGCCCGGCGCGGGCCTGAGGTTGCATAGCGTTGGGGTCATTCCACCACTCGTCGACAGTGCCGCCGTCGACTATCGTATCGCCGTCGTTGAGAGGGTTGATGGCATCCAGTTCGGCGTTTTCGTCGGCGTGGGAGCCCTCGGAGGACAGCGAGTTTCGGCGGGGTCGTCTGTGGGTGCGGCGGACGGCATTGCTGCGGTGTAGGCCGGGGCCGCCGACGCCATCGTCGTAGATGTCTTGATTGGCCTGGTAGGCGTAGTAGCTGACCGAGAGGGCGGCGATGGCGGAGACGACGGCGACGGCGATGCGCGGCCGGGTGAGGCTGTCTGTTGATGGCACCGAGAGCCACATTATCGAGCGTAGTTGTAGCTATGCGTGTACCATGTTGGGGATTTCTGGCCGCTCGACAGTTCGATCCAAAATTCGAAGCTTTGTTTCGGGGCTGTAGAAATATTCGATGCCGGGTCGATAAGTGTGGTGATTGGGCTGGCTAATTCACCATTACGGGATGATGATGTTCAAACGAAACAGGGTCACTCTTGCGGCAGCTCAGATAATCTGCCGTCACGAAATCCACACACGGAAGGCGGTATGTAAGCTTGGGGGGTTTGCCATCAGTCAGCAAGTGGTCCGAGCTACAAGGGTCTTGGCGGTACGTACTGCAGCGGATGGCATTCCGCTTCCCGCTCTTTCATGAAGTGATGGCTTTTGGGGTCAATAAGATTCATTTCATTTTTCTGTCATCGCTAATAAGCTCTGGACGTCTGCCGAAAGTCGCAGTGAAATAGCCCTCGAAGTATTCAAGCCTTGCTTATTCCCGCTTCATCCGATAAGCTCAATAGCTTGGACGCGGCGAGCAGAGTCAATTTCTCATGCAGCTCTCATGAGCTACCCGGGAGCTTTTGCGGCGGACTGAGCTCTCCGGGGCCGAGGCATTGTTCATGTGGGACTAAGGGGTCACAGGAGCTTACTGCTATCTGAGTACTGATCAAGAGTATTCATTTCGAATACGGCCAGATGTAACTTGATAACTGACTCAAATCGTGGTCAACGTCACCGCCGTCCTCACTCACCAACTCCTCGCCAAGCTAAGGCAAGGCCTCTCACTCTCATCCCATGATCCGGATGGCCATTCTTTAAAGCGCGTTCCCCTGGTTTAAATCGGTTTCCGATATAACCGTCCCCTAAAGAACTTGCAAAGTCCGCTTGCTTCTTTTCGTCGCATATTTCGTCCAAAAGAAAGGGTCGAGCTCCGGACGTTCCCAAAGCTCCCGCCCCGAGCAGCTCACAGCCTCAATCAAAACCCATCTGTAACACCCTTTTCCCCATCGCCACCCAGGATTTCTCCAACAACCCACTTCTCGCGATCTACCGTACATATCTGTACATAGCCGGCAACCGACGATACTACCTCACCTTGAGATCCACGATCGCTTCAAGTTTTGGGATAATCGATCTCAAAAGAGTCGCAGCCATGACTGAAAAGTAAACGCCACTCATTCATCCGTAGTCAAAGCTCACATCTAACAAAAATGCGCCCAGAGTCCCCGTCTTCCCCACGGCGGAAGCCACAATGAACCACCCTTCCTATCCCTCCACGATATGGAACCTCGAGGCCGATCGCAAGGGGAAATGCCTCGTCGCCAAAGACCGCGACGGGCCCTTCAACATCGCATGGGAGATCCACGGCCACGGCCCCTCCAAGATCATCGTACCTCTGTTCCACTCACCCTTCACCAAAAACCAAAACTGACCGAAACACACAGTTCATAATGGGCCTCGCCGGCGTCAAAACCTCATGGCAGCGCCAGACGAAATTCTTCGGCCACGACAACGCCTCCCGCTACTCCGTCCTCGTCCTCGACAACCGCGGCATGGGCGAGTCCGACGTCCCCTACGGCCGCTACACCACCAGCGCCATGGCCCTCGACGCCCTCGACGTCCTCACCCACGTCGGCTGGGCGGACCCCGCGGCGCCGCGGAGCGTCCACCTCTTCGGCATCTCCATGGGCGGCATGATCTCCCAGGAGCTCGCCTTCGCCGCCCCGGACGTCTTCGCCAGCGTCACCTTCCTCTGCACCGCCCCCTGGATCGAGAACACCAAGCCCTTCGTCCAGAACCTGCGCGACCGCGCCGCCATGCTGGTCCCCAAGGGCATGGACCGGAGCATCCAGGACACGGCGCTCAAGCTGTTCCCGGCCGACTGGCTGATCGCGCCGGACGAGGCGGCGGAGCTGCCGGACGACGACACGCCCAAGTGCGGTCCCGCGGACGGGGGCAGGGGGTACGGCAGGTTCGAGAATAATTACCAGCGCTTCCAGGCACAGGAGCTCGTGAAGAGGACCACGCCTGGGCTGTTTAGCATTCGCGGGTTCTTGTTGCAGCTTGTTAGTGCTGGGTGGCATCACAAGTCGCCTGAACAGTTGAAGCAGCTCGGTGACGCTGTGGGGAGGGAGAGGATTGCTGTGATCCACGGCGAGGCGGACGTCATGATTGATGTGCATCACGGTCGGCTGCTAGCTAAGCATCTGGAGCCTTCCGTCGTCGAGTTTATCGAAGGGATGGGCCACGCGCCTATCATGGACAGGGTGCCGTGGATGAACAAGTGGTATGTGGACCGCATCGATGCAGTAGAGAAGCAGTTCCCCTCCAAGTGAGGGATGATCGAGCCGCTGGGCGGTCCAACTACACGCGATGCATGTGATATATGGCATTGCAGGTCGTAACGGCTTTTATTTATGTACCATGATACCTCCGCAGTCCTCCAACGCCGTCTGCATGCAGTCATACCGTACTCTGTGCGCACTTATGTCCTGGTGCTCCTTGCCCACTCATACGTCTTCCATTATCGTCATCAGCTTACAACATCACCAAACCAATACCGCTCAGGTTCTCCTCATCAAGCTTGTTTCTTCTGTCGACACCACCAGCGATGGGGGCCGCGCGGTAGTTGAACAGGTAGTAGTGCAGCTGGCCGTCGCCAGGTCCAAATTTCTGCTGCTCGAGGAACAGACCGTTGTCGAGCAGAGACAGACCGTTGAAGACATCGAACTTGTACTTCTTGGCCAAGACCAGGGCGTCGTTGATGAGGCTGTTCAAGCGGGTCTTGAGCGCCGGCTTGTCAAGTGGCGTGGAAAGGCCGACCTCGGAAGCGTAGTACCAAAGGTACGCCGCGCGAATGACTTTGTGCTTGTCGCTGTTGATGATGGTGGACTCGAGGCAGTAGAAAGAGAAGAAATCGGTAATCTTGCCGTTGTTCTGCAATGTGTCAGTGTGTACCTAGCCAAGAAGATTGAAGAACAAACCTCAACAACGTAGGTCCAGATGACCTGCTCCCCGCCCTTCTCCTTGTCATGCAGGAACCAATGCTTGAACTCCTCCTGCGAGAACTCGGGTGCCATGTCAAATCGGCTGAGGTACTTGTTCAGAAGAGCACTCGCCTGCTCGATGTCCTTCTCCTGCAGTTCGCGCAGACCCTTTGTCGAGGTGCTGTCGGATAGCTGGTATTTCTTGATCTGGAACTGCGGCTTGCTACCGATCGGCAACGGGCTAAAGCCAACCTCGTACAGCTTCTGCCAGTTGATTGCGCGGTGGAAGTAACGACACGTGCTGACGGGCTTGGGAAGCACGACGCCACCGGTGTACAGACCCTGCCAGATCTCGTTCAGATTGCTTCGTCGGGTGATCTCCTTGATCAAAACGGGCGCCAGACGCTTGCCGCGGAGCTTCTTGTGGACAACCATGAAGTTGACTTCAGAGCAGGTGACGACGTTCTTGCGCACGCGCAGGTTCACAGGGATGGCAGAGATGAAGGCAACCAGCTTCCTAGACTGCGACGCGCGCACACCGACGTGCCACTCCTTGCGCCAGCCAGGAGCCATTAGGGCCCATTGCAACATTGCCGGGGAGTAGTTGAAGCGGAACATGGCCTCGTCGTCTTCGACGTAGTGACCGTTGAGCAGCTCGTACACCTCCTTCATCTCGCCCTCGTCCTCGAGGTTCATCGTAACCCACTCGAAGCCGTCGACCAGGGGCGACGGCTCCTTGGGTACATCCTCGACCTTCTGAATGCGGATCGGTCCGTCCTCGACCTTGGACTCGCCTTCGCCGAACTTGGGGACGGGTTGGGTGGCCCAGAACTTGTAACTGGCCATGTCCTTGGCGTTCTTGCCGGACGACGCCAGACCCGTCATGATGTCTTGCAGGTTGAGCTTCTTAAGCGCAGCGGCAGTCTCCTCGGCAGACTTGTTAGACCCACCGCCTCCGACCTCGTTTGCCAGGGCAGGGTTCAGCGCAAGCAGCTCCGTGAGTTGCTGAGGCGTAAGGCCGCCGATAGCGTCCTTGATCTGCTGCTCCGGGTCACTGGGCTTGCCGGTCAAGGCTTCCTTGACCTTCTTCCTCTTGGACTTCTTCTTCTTCTTCTTTGGAGCGGCCTCGGTGGCAGCGGCGCCGGTGGTCTCCTCGGGCGCATCGTCCTCCTCGTCCTCGGACTCGACTTCAACCTCCTTGCCCTTGCCCTTGTCTTCCGCCTCGGCGACGGCGTCCTCGGCCTGCTTGACAGCAGGGTCGAGGGGCTTGGACTCCTCAGCAGGCATTGTTGGATCGCTTCGGGTCTCTTCGCGGAATTGGGTTCGTTGAAGGACGATCGGGTGTGGTGTCGTGATTGTTGTGGTTGGAGCTTTCGGAGCTCTGGACAAGCTTGAAAGGTGGGAATGGCGGGGGAGAAGTTTTGGCGCGAGAGAGGACAGTTTCATGTGGCCGGGCACTTTCCAGGTGTGACTGCATCATGGCGGGGTAAGGTAGGTCACCTGCTGCGGGGCATCCCCTAAGGGAGGTGCGCTAGGGTGCCTTGGTGACCTGTTAGGGGTCGCCAATGTTGAAGCTAGGCTCCTAGGTAAAAAGCAGTCACTCTGCATGTTTCTCCCAACGAAGCTTTTCTTGGATGAACCAGAACGAACGTGAACGTGTCTTGTAATTAATGATATCTGGCTTTTCTGCCTAGTTTCTGTCTAGGTAACGTTTATTGTTGCATCGGACGAATGTCCCTTAGATGTTCTGCGCGCGAACTGCGATAGTGTGGGCTGATGTTTAATTGGACTGTTCTTTGTTCCAACGAATGCCAATGAAATTGCCATACTTGGGGACGCTGTCGCAATTATGGTCTTGTTTGTAATTCAAATGTAATTGACACCAAGTCTATAGACATGCGCCGTCATCTCTTCTACCGCAGGCCTCTTAGGACCAGCATCACCAATATCTAAGATAACTCCCACGCCGCAGCGCCAAGAAGAATGCAAATCATCACAGGGTCCGGCTGCTAGTGTCAGAACCGGCTCCATCGTACACCGTGCCCCCGAAGTCAAAGGATCGCATGATAGCGAGGATAACAGGGGCGTATCCCATGATGTCGTTGTGTCCTGGTAAAATCAGCCAACCATCATCCCATCATTTGCTCAGGAATCTCGGCTTACCTCCGTACGGGAACCTCTCCTGGCGGATGATAATGTTGTGATCCGCATGCCAAGTCGTGACGAACGCATTCTTCCCCTTGTGAATCGTCCGCACCTCCTTCCAAGATTCGAACGAATGGTCATTGAGGCCACCCTCGACAGTGGCGTTTGCTGCGGCCCGGAACAGCTTACTGCTCTCTTCACAAGGAATGTCCGAGTCGTCCTCGGCGGAGATGAGCGTCAACCGCAACCGCCTCTTCGTCAGCTTCACGAGACTCTCCAGCCTGTCTGCCGACGGCCATTTGTCGTAGATGAAACCCTCCATGTACTCCAGGAATCCGGGCCAGACCTTCAGGGGCCCAAGAACAGGGAACATTCCACCGATTTTGTAGCCGCTCAGCATCTTGGGCAGATTGCTGAAGCCTGCGACGAGAACGATACCACCGAACTCGATGCCCTGGGAAGCGTACAGCTCCGCGACGCCACTGGTGACAGCAGTCCCCAAGCTCTGGCCGAGGAGGACAATTCGATCTGACGGTACGCCCGCGACGTTGATGACCCAGTCAATTAAAGTTGCCGCATCTTGGATAAGGCCGTCCTCGGATGGCACACCGGTAGAGTGGCCGAAACCGCGGTAGTCGATGGCAAGAACGTGATAAGAGGAGGTGTCTGTGATGACGTGGTAGCTGTCTGGACGATGATTTTGGGCGATATCTCCAGCGTTCTGGGGATGGTTAGCATCAGCTTTCGGTCCCGGTCATGATCGGGGGCGTTATACTCCGTGAACTGCATCATGTTAGCGAATACTTTGCATGAGAATGATGAAGTAACTGACAAGAAAGGACAACTCGAGCATCGGGGTCCTCCTTAATAGCCCGGAAAGACTCCGTCTGAGTGAAATCCTCGCAGAACCCCGGCTTTTGCGCCGAGAACCTCTCTTCCTGCTTGAGATACGCTGGTAAGGGCATCACGTGCCAAGCATACAAGTCGACGCCATCCGGAGTCTTGAGAGAGAACGGCGTGACTTGGCCCCCTACGTGAAAACGCGTCAGCTAACAGCGCCCGTGTGGTGGCGGTGATGGTACGTGGACTGACTAGCAAAGCCGAATCGCTCAGGTTCGTTGACGTCGCGCCACCATAATGTGTTTATCTTGTGGGCGTAGAGGAAGCTGGAAGCAAATTTGAGCTACGGAGGACTCATATGCATAGTTTGAGGAAACTCACTGTCGTTGGAAGAAGGGTGTGGCGCCGAGGGCAAGAAATGTGAAGTAGAGGCCGAGAGGAGCTGCGACTGCCCAGACGGCCGTCCGGAGGATCGGGGACAGCGGCACTGCCATGATAAGGCACGCAGATGAATACCAGAGAAATGAAAGGTAGAGAGGGTCTTGGGGAAGATGTTGCGATGATTCCGGACTATATACACATGACCGGAGGCGATGTCGTGGCCACCCTCGGCGAAGCCTGGTCGAACTGGTTGCTGGATTGAGGTTGGAATTGCCTGCGAACCAGCAGGGATGGCGGTATGGAAGGCATTATCGGGATATACGTGTGGTTTGGTTAGAGTGCGGCTGATTAAGATGTACCGGCAGATAGCGACGGCAGGTCCCCAAAATGCGGCGACCTCCCACATTTTAGGTATCAGCCGCACGCCGACGACAGCAGATCAACCGCCAATATCAAAAATGATGTCTGCATCTCTTGATTGTGAAAATGACAGGTGAAGCGCAATTCCTTGCTTCCGAGCAAAATCCTGCGATAGGAATGACAACTTCGGCAGTCGAAGGGTGTTGCGCCTTCATGACAAATGAACCCAGGGATTGGTCGCGGCGGTGGTAGTGCAATTTACTGTTGCAGAGGATCGCGAGGGGAGAGAAAGGGCGCTGTACCTCAGGTAGTCGTCACCCAAGCTTCACAGCCACAATCTCATGTCCACCCGCACTTTTGTTTTCCGTCTTTTCCTGCCTGGAGTGACGCCAACACCGACAGGCGGCGACACATGTCCAATGCAACTGACAAATGGCAGCGGCAATTGGTATTGGGAGAGGCAGCGGCATGGCGAGAACGTGACCGCTTCCATTTTATTGGGATAAGAAGGTCGTGACTTGATGTCTTATGTAATCGGGTATTATGGAGACGGAAACAGGGATATCGCGGTCCAGTCTCGGAATTTCAAGCGATTTGAGTGGCGGACGGGATTAGGCCAAGCATTTCGTCCAGTCAGGGCGCGGCAAGTTCCCAGTTTTTCCGCCCTTCTCCTGACCAATCAATCAGGCTGGTCCCTGTTAAACTCACAGCCCGCCTCAGTCACAGTGGTGTCTCTTTTGCCCGCTGGACTGCGACTGGCCAGACGTCGAAAGAAGCGGCAGCGTGTCGTGTGGAAAGACTGGCCAGTGGTCGTCGATATCCAACCAAAAAGACGGCAGCACTGAGCAGCACGGCGGCGGCAGAACAACGGCGCAGGCACGCGAAGGAGCCTCAGGTACCTCCCGATATGTATCTTTCCACCTCTCCCACCTTTGCGAGACGGCACCGCGCCTAAAAGGTACCTACCTTTCACCTTTCTCCGATTCCATACAAAGCTCCCGTGTAATAATCCCGTCCAGTCCACCCCAATTCAATTCCCACGAGCCCGTTCCAGAGTCGCCAAATCCCTTCCTCCACTGCATCCACAGCCTTCTCGCGCGACACTACCACCACCATCCAACGACGAACCTCATAACCGAGTACTCTCTGCATTTCCACCTTGCTCTGCTCTACCCTCGACGACCAAAACGCGCGCAGTCCAAGGCTGTGTTTCCTCGCTTATGATGACCACCCCGACACGCTCGGAAACCGACCCGTGATACCCTGAACTTTCCTGCGCCAGGGAGACGGCAAAGGCATACGCAAAACATGGAGCGGAAGAGGAAATTGCCCGCAAGGGCTGCCGCGCGCGTCGAACACATCGCGAAAAAGCGCACCGTCACGCCTCCCGAGCATCGATCCGTCACCCCAGTCCCAGCTCCCGTCGAAGAGCCCCCGCCGCCGACGTTGCCCAAGACCGTCCAGCCTGGAAAGCCTCTTCCTACCATCGAGGAGCCCCAGCCCGATGACCTTCCTGCGAGGGAATATCAGTCTTTTCAGGAGAGGTACGCTCACCTTTATGCCTCGAGCCCTCTTTCATCCCGTGCCCATACTAACTGTCGCAACAGTGGCGTTCTAGCCGAGTCTCTTGCCCGGTCGCGACACAGATGGATAGCCGAAGGAATGTTTGAAAAGTACTGGACGAAGCCGCTGAGGAAGAAGGGTGCGACCGAGGATCCCAAGAATCCGGCCAAAGATACCATGACCAAAATTGGCCCCGTGCAAATCACGATTGAGCCGCACGTCTTTGAGGCCACCATGTGGGCTATCAAAGACCCGAAGCCGCCCGCGCCGACCACCCAGGCAACCTTCCGACCCATTCTTCAATACGGACCTCCCAATGGCGCCATGCCGCCTCCGCCTACACCGGTATCGACAACTGCCAATCCGTCTCTTGCACCAGTCGATTCGAAGCCAACGCCCCCGGTTCCGACGCCAACTCCTCCCTCACCCGCAGCTCAACAAGCGCAGCCCAGACCACCGTCGTCTGCTGCAAATGAACCGCCCAAAGCGATCCCATCACCACGTAGCCTGGGACCTACGCAGCCTGCGACAGCGACAGCACCTCCTCCTAGGGCACTTGCTCACCCGGCGCCTGCTTCAGCGCATGGTCAAGGGCCAGCGCCATTGCCAGCGCCCGCACCGGGCACTCCTTCGGTTCCCGCCGCTCAACCTGGGCCTGCCAACTCTGCACCCACGTCAAGGCCAGCAAGCGCGACTCCAACACCTGCTTCAGGTGCTGGAAAGCCCCCAGCAGCCAAAGCACAGGGTACAGATCCCATCATTATGACGTTAGCCGAAAGAGCGTCGGAAGATCCCCTTCTTCGCGACCTGATGAAACGAGTCGCGGCCGGGGAAGCGAAGCCCGATGAGCTTACCAATTTCCAAAAGATTATAGACCAAATCACGTTGGAATATAAGAGGAAGGGCGGCCAGCAGGGCCCTTCGGCAGACAGGCTACTTGTCGATGGGAGGACAGTCAAGTACTTCGCCGATGAGGTGCGCACGATCGTGGACATTGTGCTCAACACCAATCCACGCCAGAAATCGGCTGAGCTTCTTCCTCCTCGAGGGAGCGACCCCTTGGTGGTTGCACTGGTGAGAGCGGCATTGGATGACAACAAGATACGGTCGATGATTCGTCGGATTGCCGAGAACCAACCAGGCTTCACGGACGCAACCGATCTCAAGGCGGTGCTTGACAAGCTGTGCAAGGAGTTGAAGGGCGGCCTCACTCCTCAGCCTCAACCATCCACGCCGCAAACTCCCGTCAATGGCGTGCCGAACGGCCACCCTCCAAAAGCAGCTGCCGCACCCGCACCTGCGCCTTCACCAAAAACGACCCCTGCGCCATCGCCTGCAACGCAGTTGCAGCAACCTCCTCAGCAGGCACTGCGCTCCAAAGGTCCTCCGCAACAACCGGCAAGGCCTGAGATCTCAGGCGTGTGTTTTGATTTCACTGGCGGAAACGGCGATCGCTATCTTTTCCCGAAGTACAGCATTTTGGAGTACCTCCCTGGCGGACAGCAGGTCATCGCCTCCTTTTTGATCGTCCGCAAAGGAAGTCAATTAGAGTACGGCGGCGATGCTCTGCTCGATTATTATCAGCCGGTGACAGTCCGGATCTTTTCTCCCGCGGGACGCAACCTGGATTACCTTCAGCGAGTCGTTGCCCCCCTTGACGAAGTCAAACGATATATGGACGACGTGATGGACAACATGACGCGGGCCGAATACGTTCTCTTGGCTATGCGTCTGCCTCGCGGCGAGCGGGAGTCAGATAAGGAGGACAACGCCAACGCCAGTGGTCAAGTGTCACGGCTGCAGTCCTCGGCCCCTGATGCCTCTGCGCCCAAGCAGCAGTCAGTCATGTGGGGTCCCAGGGCGTCCAAATTTGTGCAGAAGTTCAACAAGAAGTGGTTCGAAGAGTGGAAGAAGAAAGAGGGTGGAGCCCCAGCCAAGTCCGACGACTTCTTCAGAGAGGCTTGTGAGGCAATCGGCCGCGACCCTCTGGATAAGGACATAGAATACGAGAAGATGATTGAGCTCCTGGCCGCCAAGGACTCAGAGTCGTCTTCTTGAACCAAGTCCGACAGCTAGAAGAAAGAGCACTCGAACAAGTGCTGTACCTGTATTACCTAGATATCATTGCTGATGACCATGGCGAGCAGACGATAACGGGGCGTGTAGTTTATCTTTGTGTGTACGTGGGCGTGGAGGTACGCATGGGTCAGCCGTTGCATTCGAGGTCGTTTTATGTTATTCTGTTTCTTGGCTAAGCCCAGAAGTGGGAGGGATGAGGGATCTGGAAAAAGGGAACCAGTGTGGTTTGTCGGGGTGTTCTCCTTTTTTTTATTCTATTACTCTTTTACTGGTGTTCAGAGTGTGTAACTCCTCGTGCGCGAGGAAATGGGTGGTGGCTTGACTCAAGATTTATTCCCACAAAGATTAGTGTGCATTTGGAGAACGGAACCCGACATGGCCCGGACAGATATCAGAAAGAACATTTTTAGTACGGTATTGCCTACGTTGTCTTGTTTCTGGAGATGATGTGACTGAATCACGGGCGAATAGTATGATTTGAGCAGTTTGCGGGTCATGCCATTGAATGGCTCGCGTCTTGTATTCGTCTCTCTGATCTGATACCGAACATGTTATCCCCATAACCCCTAGCACCAGTCATCCGAAAGCCGCGCACAGAACCATGACTATCTCATTGATATATCACTCCTCGCCGAAGAATATATTGCGCCAGCTGCGGGCTTTCGCCGGCGGCTGGTTGAACAAACCCCCGTGGAAGTGCTCAGAACGAGAGAACGTCAGCGAGCTCATTCTCGTCGACGCTCATCTAGTCCTCGCGGTCGTGGACGATTCCCATAACCTCGGTAACGATGTTCTGTATCCAACGTGTCAGCTTGCCAACAGGGTTCCCGACTGTCCTCAAAAAAGGCCGGATCTGCACTCACGGCCCAGGCCGTCGCCGCGTCCACGCACTCGACCCCGGCGGGGTTGGGCTGGCCGCACACGACGGGCGCTTTCCAGGACGGGTCCATCTCGCCGAGGGCGGCGGAGGCGGTGAACAACGACTTGGCGGCCTCTTCCTCGGCGGCCTTGGCGGCCTCTTTGGCCTCTCTCTCACGCTTCAACCAGAGAATGGACTCCAGGAGGAAGTACTGTGGTTTGGGGGGGTTTGAGCGTCAGCTTGTGAAGGAGGGTCACGGTGCGGCGCGGGAATTGCTTACCCATTCGGGGGTGAGGGGTGGCAGGCCTGTGAAGGCGAGATCGGAAGGGAGTTGGGCGGCGTCGATCTCCACGTTGGTTTCCTGGTTACGTGTTAGAGACGACGGGGAGGATGGGTTGGGTGGCCTTACGATGTTGGTGGGAGCTGCCATGGCAGGCTGGAGGGAGGCCACGGCGGCGATGAGGGCGGTGGCCGAGAAACGCATTTTGGACGTGAGGTAACAAAAGTTGTTGGAGGATCGGATGATGGTGTGGTTTGGTCGATGTGCTGGACAGAGCAGGACGGACTCGTTGGTTTCTATTAATGCTCGGACGGGGATGAAAGGGGTTCTCGACGGGGGTGAGAGGTATTTGGCAAGGTCTCCTGGGTAGATAGCACATCTTTAAGGAGAAGGTTTGTAGAGAGCGGGTTTTGAAGGGACATCATGAGATTTTGGAAGTTTAGTTCTAATTACAGCTCAATTGTGGCTCAGTTGATGTGAGGTTATTCGTTTGGTTTATGAACGTAAAATCAAGTCTTGTGACTCTGAGCTGCATGAAGAGAAAGCCACCGAACAACATTTGACTATCAAGGTCAATTGCTCAATGTTAACAGCCACTGCTTTGATAGGTGATTCTTCAATGGGAAGATTCAGGGAGAGGCTGGCACCGCTGATCTGAGAAAAAGTCTGGATACAGGTGGGTCAGTTGCAGGAGGAAAGACACGAACACATTCTCATGACGTGTCAAGAGGCGCGGTGCGTGGATGGCTGGATGTTGGTATTCACGAAGACTAATCTCAGTGCGCGAGACTCTCCCAATGACACGACCACAACTCACTCTTGTTTCCATTCTTCTGGTGTTTTCACCATCTCAAACCCCAGAGCTCTCCGTCATCGCATTACTTTTGCTTGGTGTAGGTCTAGGTCTAGGTCTAGGTGGCCGGACGTCTATTGGACGCCTGCGGTACATGTATGCCTTTCTGCTGTCAGTTGCGGTCTTGTACGATTACCGGAGTAGAGCAATAGAACATACTTCCACTTTGTATTTGTCGACCTTACACTCCTCGAGGGAATGATGCCTCAGACAGTTTACCCAAGCAGGCTCGCGGGGATTGTATGGCTCATTTCGAATATCTTCAATATCAGGCAAAAAGGCTTCGAGGTCCTGGTCCGCATATTAGACTGTGTTTCATGTTCTTCTCTCGTCTTCTGTTGTGGAATTTGTTGGATGGGAACATGGATCCTGGAAAGCTTCCGAGTGTCGGGTGACGGAGGTGTCTTACCGGGGGGGCCGCTGCGGCGGACTGCGTGAGAGCCAAGGTTGTTAGGAGGGCGATGGCCGAGAAACGCATGTTGGGCGTGTGTTCGATAGGGTGGATTATATGAATGGTCCTTGAGATGTCTTGTGGTCTTGGTTCGATGAAGCTTTGGTATGAGGGGCACGTGTCTATTTAATACTGGAGTCAAGGGAGAGATCTCAAGTCTTTGAATCGAAAGTTTCAATGAAATGTTGAAAACGGAATACGGGGAAGCTTTTGCGACTATTGATGTCATGGCTTGCGTTGATGCTGACTGAAAGTTTAGGCTGCGTTTAAGCACAGTGACATGCATACCATTAACTATTGAATCGACGGTTCTGGGTTGGATAACACACCGTTGTGGAGGTTTTGGCCAGTCCCAGTATGGCACTCAAGGTCAGTTTGTAGCGTCAACACACATGAAGTTGAAGGCGATCGAGGAGTACACCCAAAATGTTCGCGGTGAAATCGGGGGAGTCTGGTCCACGAGGGGATTAGAGTTCTTGAAGACGACGAACAGGTGACTACTTCAGCTGGAGTCCACAAGGGTTGGGCGCAGTTGTTTAGCCACCTCGACAGCGGAAGAACTGCAAGGGGAAAGTTGTGGAACACATCTGGTCACAACATCAACTTATTCCACTTGAGATAAGAGAGTCGAGCTGGTTCTCTAGGAATTCTGCAAACTGAAAAACCAACGCTGGTTGCCCGAAGCATAGAACCCAGTAGCCAAATCTTTCGTCAAGCGTCTTTCTTTCAACACATTGAAGTCGGGAGGTATCAGACAAGACGGTTATGTCGAGTCACATCTCACTCTCTCAACAGACTGCTTTCTAATGGGGGATCACCCGCCTTACCGGTATGCTGCAACGAACTGGGGTTATAACTCGCGTGAAACCCAGCCCACGACCGACGAACCCTGCAAGTTTCTGCAGAAACAAGGGCCTGATCTGGCTTCATTATACAAGATCAAATGTGACGCCTAACGTATGCACTGTCAAAGCACAGGCCTTTAGAGCTTGATGGATTGCATGTTTTGGACTCAGAGAGGTCATTCATGCCTTCTTGAATGAAAACTGAATGAATCATTATGGAAGAAAAGCCGCCTTCTCGGTATTGTTGACAACAATTACATATGTAGCCCTTCGATACATGGCAAGAGTTTAAGTATGGATGAAATAGCTGTGAAATAATTTCCTGAACGCCTACCCTGATTGAAATGCATATTGCTCCAGCGCTTTATATGCAGCCTGATTCCGTTTAACTTGGAGTATTTCCGTCTTCTGGTTTATATACTACATTTAAGAGCATGCGCGTAAACCAAGCGTTTTAGTTTGCGTGCTGATCTAGTGAACTGACGTGGAAAAGAAGACTTGGCTTGTTGGGCCTGGCCTCCACGCACTTAGTTTTCTTGCATCTTATTCCTTGGCCGTACCTGTCTCGGTGATTTCTGGCAATGGTTGATCCCTCGTCATAGCCTCCCAATCTATAGACGTAAAGTCAAAATTCAGATCGAGTGATGCGTCAAGCACCCCAAAATCGGCCGTTTCCGGGACTTCGAGGCCCTGATTTGGGTCTCCGAATGAGTTATCCAATACCCCACTCAAGTTATTCGGTGCCATGTCGAAACTTGGTAGACTCTGTGTTGGGACGGATACATGTACTGATCTGCGGGAGGATCGACTGTCGCTGGCCGTGGCAATTCCGCTATCCGCAAAAGAACCGGTCGGGGTGCCGTATGAAGAAAGCTTTTGTCCTGCATGAGTGCCTTGGTGAACCGGCATTGCCGCCGGTTTCGTTTGAGATTCGGATAACCGAGCTGTACACCAGTCTTCGAATAACCGGTCAAGACCATGGGAGAGAACCGTTTGCGTATATCTCTTCCATTCTTCATCGGCTACCCCAAGACCGCCTGATGGCCGAATAGTTTGAAGTTCATGGTCGAGGACAGCTGCCGAGTGAATCCGACAATAGTTGCGGAAAAGATGGATATCTTCCGAGACATCAGCCTCCATATATGCAGATGAAGGTCTCGGACGTCCCGGAAACAAGATCTCCCAGACTGCGAACCATTGATCTTCCTCGGATAAGTTCTTCTTTGACTTGCGGGACAGTTGTGAACGCTGGCGGTGTGTGATTCCGTCCAAATCCGAGCAAGGTGTGCAGTGAAGACCACCCACTTGACGAATATGCTGGTTGAACAGTTCTTCTTCTTCGAAAATCGTCGAACAACGGTCGCAGTAGAACTCAGGGGCGTGTTTGCGATTGAGATGCTGCTTGACATCTCGTATCCGGCTGAGCTTGAGCTTGAAGCATGATCGACATCGTGATGGTTCGACTTTCCAAAAGGGACAAGCGAAGGCTTTAGAGGAAGGTAGATTCGCTTTTGTGCAAGGTTGTTGCCTCTTAGGGTCCCCTTCTGGATCGTCGCCATTCTCATCCGGAAGCTTTCTTTTCGTGCCTGTCCTCGCTGAGTTTGCGTTACCATAGCGACGCTCATTGTGTCCATATGAGGAGCCCGACGTGGTACTGTTGGTGTTCTGTTTGCTGTTTCCTTCTCCACTACTTCCATGACACACCGAAGTGCGGAACGTAGTGTAGAGTTTTGACGCTGTAGCCCTCAGTACTATGGCCATGGGATCAAGCTCATCGCCGGAATCGCCGTACTCTGAAGCGTCCGACACTGAATATACGTCGGAATCCAGGGAAGACCCAGTGGAGCAGCTTTGGGATCGATTTTCCAGGAAGCTTGAAGAATCTAGACGCCTTATGTTCTCAATATAGCCGTCGTTGAAGTAAGGGGGTGTGTTCAAAGACGCTGCTCCTCTGGTTAAGCTAATTCCCTTCTTAGAGGGCTGGTTGAAGGCCTGAACCACAGAAGCAGTGTTGCAGTACAAGCTGTGGATCTGCTCGAGGTGTTCTTGTCAAGAGAAAGGTTAGCATACTTGCGACAGAACGTTTAAACGTATGTTCTTACCGGGCATTGACTTAAAGTTTTCACACCACGCAATGATATGACGGCTATCTTCCAAAATGCTCGGGTTAAAGACATCTCCAACTTCATGATCTGCCTGTATCCTCCCGTCACAACAGCATCGATCAGAAGCAGTCGGAGTCTTGTGCCACAAATAGACGTTTTGGGTCTTGCTGATGAATGACAATGAGACTTTCAAACCACTGAGAATGATGCTGTTTCTGAGTCTTGCGATAGTGTACTCTCCCAGCAAGTCTAGAAAGCTTTCAGACGGGATCTCAAATCCATTGTAACGGGCTGGCCGACGGAGAATGGGGTAGCCTGACACAATCAACGATTCGTCCTGCAATATGTCGCAACAGAATCTCAGCTGCTCATTCGAAAAGTGTGATGCGGGCTCGTTGACGCTGAGATCAAAGCATAGAATTTCGTGATCCAAAGTTTCGATGCTTTTTGTGTCTGGGAACATGAAACGACTCGCGAAAGAAGCGTGAGACTTTCCACTTCCGACCATGGCACGAGTTATCGAGCATGAGACGCCTTTGCCACTTTGAGAAGTGTCAAGTACGGCTCGAAGCCAAGCAAGTTGCTCCCCGCAGTCTGCGATAGTGTAAGAGGTTCCCTTAACATGGAAAATAAGGTTGCCTCCTTCTACGGACATGGCGAGCTGTGTCCCGTCCTCTAGATGCACTGAAGTCTCGTTAATCGTCTGCTTAGTTAAACATCTCTTGAAATTCTTACCAAGGTTCCCACGCCCAGCTACGCGGTCTATGCCTGCTTTTAGAAGCTTCAAGATTCCGCTTGAGGTCATGGGCCAAATCTGGCCCATGTAACCTTTAATCATCGTTGCTTGACAATTCTTGTTGTCACTAATTATTGCGATTCGGTCGAGTCTCTCTTGTACTGAAGGTCGGACATTGCGGTGACTTCCAAGATCAGCGGCATCGAATGGCGACCACTCTTTGAAACGAAACTTGACTTCGTAGGTTGTGGGTGGTCGGTATTTACTGATAACACCGGTCGGTAGGTACTCAAGGAGTTTCTGTCGTATCAAGATGCGTGAAGTGCCCGCTCTTGGTTCTGCCTCACCTGACTGAATCAGCAGCTCCCTTTCCACTCCTTGAACCAGCCAATCGAGTGCCACACTTCCCAGTACGACCTTGTTGTATGCCAACAACTCAGGTATTTCGATTCTCTCATCGTCGGCGTCGCGAACCCCTTCAAATAGTTCCTCTCTGTCGACAGATATCTGAGTTCCTTGGGACTTGTCGCGCCACAGGCTCATCTTGTCATCCACAGACATTCCATCGACACCGTCGCCTCGTCCCTCAACCATACACTCGTCGTCGTCGGCTTCCAGTGCTCCTGCGCCCAGATGGTGTGTAATAGTCCTGTTTGCAGTGTTAGATTGGAGCAATAGCTTATGAAACGAAGCGCTGTGAAGGACTGACTGAACACGCCGGTGCACAAAATCCATGATTTTTCTGTTTTCCTGGCTGAATGACTCCAAACCGATCCTGACAGCGAACGCCTTGAGAAGATCAGGCAAGGCCTGTGACAAAAATAGCCACTCATCTCGGTCAACGCGTCCACGCAATCTTCCTTGAATACTTTGGCAGATTTCAAGGATATATTGCCGTTCAAGACTTCTGGGGACAATACTTTCCGTCGAGTACACGGTTCTTGAGCCCCTGTTGATACTGTCGTTAAGAGGCTGCCGTGGGGTTTGAACCATTTGGTTGGGCTCAAAGTTGGCTGAGAGACCTGAGTCAAACCATGACGCATAGCCGGAATCAGTAGGAGGCGCCCCTGCCTTGGAGAATAGAGGTGTTTGCCGCATTGATTGGCTCTGTAAGACGCGTTGATGAGAGTCCAAATCAGAAGCTTCCCATGCTGCTTGATTTGAGTTTTCACCGTATCTGTTGATACTGTCATCAAGAGGCTGGCGCGGGTTTTCAATAGTTTGGTCGGGCTTCAATTTGGCCGAGAGACCTGGGTCAAACCATGATGCATAAGCCGGATTAGTGGGAGGTGCCCTTGCCTCAGAGAATAGAGATGTTTGCTGCGCCAATCCGCTGGGTATGGTGGCTTGATGAGAGTTCACATCAGAAGCTCTCCGAAAAGCAATCATTATTTGTTCACGCTGGTCCTCGTTTAACACGTCGTCTCTATCAACATTTGACTTCATCAGCTGACCAATCTCGGGCCTTTTCCCATTTGAAGAGCTTTCAATAAGTGTGAATTTCTAGCTTCCACATACCTTCTTAGGATTTCTATGCCCTCTCTGAACGAATTTTGCCTCTCGGAGGCTAGGGTAGACGCTAAACTGTCGTAGCTGACATCTTCATCCAAGTACGGTGATGCTGGCCGTGGGTCACCCGGGAATAAGATATCCCACATCGCGAACCAAGTCTCTTCCGCAGTCGTCCCTCTAACGCGATCCATCGCTTCGCATTTGTCGTCTCCGAAAGCATGAAATTCCCCTGCTATGCGCCACATCGAACACTCTTCTTCTCTAAGGTGGTTGTTTGCTCGCTCAGCAGTCTGGAAAGCCTCACCACATCTGCGGCAAGTCGCAGCGACGTAGTGTTCCCGCTCAAGATGTGTTTTGACATGTCTAATACTAAGCTGGGAATGAAATATGCATTGCAAGTGTTTAACAGGATAACGCTTGTAGAAGTGACAAGCGTAGCCCTTTTGGGTTCGCCGTTTTTTCGCATCGCTGTCGTGATCGTCATTCTTGCTGACAACTCCTCTTCTTCGGGCATGTTGTGGCGGCTCGGAAGCCATCGCGTGGAATGTGAACCGAAATACCAAATTGAAACGTAGGGGAAAGAAATCGAGCGGCAGCCGTCCAGCTCAGAGTCGGTTCGATGTCGAGTTCTGACCTGTGTCTTCTGCTTGAGATCGTTAATGATAAAGAGAGGATCAGATCAAATCCTGACGCGGCAGTGAAAGACGTGGCCGCCAAGTCAGGCTGCAGAAAATAAGCACCGATGTGCTTTTGCGTCTCATTTGCCCGGATAAATCCGCGAAATTCTGTGACCTGTATGACAGGGGATTCACATATCTACCAATCACAGCCAAAGGCACGCCGGTGCCATCAAAAAATCTCGCTGCCACAGTGCTTTGGGGTATTTGAAGCGTCTAGAGGTTTGATACTCTGAGTGCGGTGTTGATCTACTTGTGGTATCGTAGGTGTGTGGTGTTGGATGAAGTGATGCCAAAAACACACACAGATAACTGAATTGGAAAAGAGTATAAAATGGTCAGAATTTCTCGAGAGATAGATGTATCCAGCATCCTCAATTAATCTCATATTCTATTACTCTAAGTCCAACGCAAAGTAGAGTTCGCATCGCGCTAGACTATTCAGCTCCCTTCAGTATCACGATCAGCATCATGTCAAGCAGAACCAACATCTCAGCCGGCACCACTAGTGGAGAGAGGTGATTCCAATCACATGACGCTGATCAACAATAGCTTACACATTAGGAGAAACACAACCATCAACGAAGTGCCTACGGTTATGCTTGACGAGTACCTCGCCAACCCTCCGACCGTCACCGAGATCATCGCGAACGGAAAGCCGAGAAAACACAAGGCGAAGCAGACGGAGCGTGAGCTCAAGGAATGGGAGAAGGCCTGGGAGAAGATGGGATCTTCTAAGAAGCACCGATGAGCGGTGCATAAAGGTATTTGAACCCATAGCAAGGTGATAATTGGCAATCCATATACTAACACGTGGTATATAGCAGTCGATGCAGAAGTTTCCGAAGCCTGATGCTATCTTGATGAATCTACGTCTTTGAGTTGTCGAGGGAAGTCTTTGGGTCGGTTTTTGTCACAACTACATGTATTCGTCTGAGAAGTGGGTTCCTTGATGTTGATTCCGACTTTTTTTTCGAGGGAAAAGGAGGATAAAAGGATTCGGCTTCCCGTAGCTGAGTGTCTCCATTATGATTATGGAAATGTGAGACATGGCAGTTACCGGGTATTGTTGACTGAATGAGTTCAGTCAATAACGACTTCACAGACCCTCAATGGACTATTAGAAAACCGACTGAGACGTTGAAACTTTTTGACACACATAAACCACGTGCCACAAACTTCTACTCTTACCGCAACAGGCAAACTAAACAATTAAGGGTCGTCGGACATTCAGGTCCTTAGTTCATCTGATTCGCCGGCCGTTTGTGGGGTAGATCGGATCGATGATGGATCGATGACCAGTCCAAGCACTTCCGTCAGGGGCCCAGTTCGTCCCATCAGCCCCTTGGAAACTAACTATCTTGACGTCTGGTACTACTCTAATATGATGTCAAGGAAATAATTCATGAGAAAGGATAACATAAGAAGACGTCGCTCGTTATAATTGGATCAAGCATTGACGAATTGCTAACGTAGATACTCCATACCCACATCGACAATAAGATCATAAAGCACCCCTTCAAAACAGCCCTGACAGCAAGCCACGGCGCAAACCGCCCTCGTCCGTGCATATCCTCGATCAAAACGCCTTTCACGATCTGATTCACCCACGCACTGTTTCTTTTTCCCCAGATCGGAGAAAAAATAACAGCATCATAGACATTTCCAGCCCCGAATCCCGCTAGTGATGTCATTCCACCCGCGTCGCTGCGCGCGCCTACTTACACCACCCTCACTCCTCCCCAAAATCCTCACGAGAACTCATCACTCCGGACTCCCAATCACATTCAAACTTGCTCCGAATCACATCTTAACGACCCAACTCCAGACATTCAACTCAACCCACCGCACTCCCTTCCAATCCTCCACAATGGGCTCAAACAGCTACGACGAAGACTGGAAAAAAGCAGCCCCCTACCTGCCCCCCTCCTCCTCCGCCCCCGACGGCAAACCCTTCGACAAACTCCTCCGCGGCGCCTGCCACTGCGGCCAGGTGTCCTACTGGCTGCGCAAGGACAGACCCCTCGCCTCCAAGTTCTGCCACTGCCGCGACTGCCAGAAGATGCACGGCGCGCCCTTCCAGTGGGCCGCCATCTTCCACAAGGAGGACATCGCGTTCGAGCGCGGCGTCGACGGGCTCGAGTTCTACAAGAGCAGCGACAAGAAGGCCGTGCACGACCTGCCGTGCAAGGTGAGCTGCGGGCACTGCGGGAGCCGGATCATGGACGAGGGAAGGAATATGGTGCTGTTGTTTCCTGGGTTGTTGCATTTTGAGGAGAGGGAGAAGAGGAAGAATTTTAACGTGCAGTGAGTCTTTTCGTTCGTGATTTAGGGAGGGAAGGGGAGGGATGGTGTGCTAACTTGTGTGATAGGATGCACATCTTTTATAAGCAGAGAGTGGTCGACTTACCCGACGGCAAACCAAAATGGGCGGAGCTCGATGAGAAGAGCGACTTGATGGAGGAGGAGATGGAGCAGGAGGTGGATGAAGTCAAGGAGGAGCACAAGCACGACCGCAAACGTTCCAAACATGACTGATCTGTTATAATCTAGTGTAATTGTAGTGTAATACCATGGTATCCAGGAAACCCCGCCAACGCCGCGTTATGCTAAATCGCTGAAGATCATTATACCCAATCTATCAAGAAAATGTCATATCCACCTCTTTTACCAGTTGAAGCTCTCTTGGAAGTACTCGATCCTCGAGTATCCCCGTCCGAGCATCTCAACCACGCCCTTCCTAGCATCATCTGCCATGACATTCGGCCCGCACGCCACAACAGCAAGACGACTCTTCTCCGCCGCGGTCGTGGCGTCCAGGATCTCCTCCCTCACGTCAGGCCGACCATGCAATAGCCGAACCTGCTCGGGCCACTCCTCCGGCCTCTCGGCGTTGGACGCGAGACTGCTCTGCGTGACGTAGACGTCGACGGACAACTTCCCGCTCTCGAACGCATCCTCGAAGTCCTGGCGGAGCACGTCGGCCGCGAAGCTCAGCTCGCGGACGGCCCAGATGATCTTGATGGAACGGGCACGAGATGAGACGCGGGTGAGTTTGGCGAGGTGGGCGAGCGGGACGACGACGCCGCTGCCGCCGACGATGAAGAGGAGGTCGTCGAAGTCGGAGAAGGGCTGGGTGTGGCCGTAGGGGCCCTCGACGAGGACGCGGAGGCGGGCGGGGCGGGGCCAGTCTGCGGATGCGGCTTCGCGGAGGCGGCCGGTGAAGCTGTCGTAGGGGCGTATGAGGAAGGTCATGGAGGGGAAGCCGTTGCGGGGCTGCTCGGAGGTAGGTTCGGCGGCAAGGTCGGCGTGGTCGTGCTCGCCGGCGACGAGGAGCGGGGTCTGTTCGCTGGAGAACTTGCGGTTGTGCTGGGTGTTTGTGGTGGTGCAGGCCATTGTGAAGGGGTGGGATTCCCAGAAACGCTTGTCGGAGAGGACGTGGAGGTAGTAGTAAGTGCCCGGCTTGGGTTCGTAGGCGCTGGTGGAGTAGGGGATGCTGAGGCGGACGATGTTTGAGTTCGCGTCGTAGGTGGCGAGGGCGAAGGTGTTCCAGAACTTGGGGTTGAAGACGATGGTTCGAGACATGCGGAGGAGGCGGTCTGCTACCCAGATGTAGAAGGGAACCCAGAAGAGGATGTCGAATTGATGGTTGAAGATGGAGACGTGGCTATTGCGGTTAGCAAGAGGAAGAATGAAGGGGATTGGGCGGCGTACCCGAGCATGGTGACGAGAGTGAGGATCGAGAGGAGAATGTGGAGGATGAGGAAGAGCTCGTATTGCCTGCGGCGCATCCAAAACACCGAGGCGACGAGGAGGAAGATCATGCCGAACATGGCCTACTGTGGTCAGTGGGAAGTTTGAGAGCGGAAGTGGGAGTACTCACAAACCAACCAGCCCACCAGAACATCTGCGTCCACCACCACATGAAGTAGGTCCACCCGCCTTCTAGAGATGCGTTAGCAATAATCTCAAGCCGAGAAAGGTGTCGTTTTACTTACCACTCAAGACGAGAGCACAATATACGACGGTGTGGATGAAGGCCTGGAGTGTCGAGACACGGGCCACCCAGCGATGGAAGTTGTTGTACGTTCCGAAGTCCCATCCAGTCACCCACATGAGCAAGTTGTTCCTCATGCCGAAGAGCCAGATGATGGGGAAGTTGGCGAACGAGATGATACCGGTTCGATCAGCGACATAACGGCCAATCTGCTTCCATACATCCGGCCAGCTAGCTGAAATCAGTACCATATACGGATCCCATAATGACTGCTTGAACGTACTACATGTGCCCGGGAAGAATATAGTACCCGTAACAGCAATACCAAGTGTTCAGGGCGATGAACGCAAATATCGTCAGGCTCTGGATGCGGGGCGGTATGGTGCACCAGCCAAGGTTCTGAGAACACCTGTATCCGAAGGTGGCCGGGACGGTGATGTATCGTTTGAGCCAAAGCGATACCCAGTGAAGCATGTTGGGGTCCTTTCTCGCGTCCCATTCCTGGTTTTGGAGGCTTCCTATGGCGGAGACCAAGCGTGCGGCGAGACCCCCGGCGCAAACCACAAGCCAGAATACGATGACATAGAAACTGTTTCGAGCGTCAGCAGATATCCGAAACAGAATGGCGACGCTGTCCACGTACCCGTATCTGTAATGCCGGCTGTACGTATACTCAACCGATTCCTACAAACCCGTCAGCACCTCGACCCAACCCCCAGGCACCGAGGGAGAGCATACCAACGAATCATACCAAATCTGCCAAAAGCTCTCCTCAGGCAGCACGACCTCGTTCAACACCGTCTCCGCCACGGACTCCTCCTTCCTCAACCTCCTCATCCCCGCGATCTCCTCGTCCGAGTACCCCGCCACGATGTCGAACGGCGGCAGCGACGCATTCATGTACCGCACGCAGGTCTCGTTCTGCGCCGCGATGCCGCGGTCCCGCTCCGCCGCGTCGCAGTGCACGCCCGCGCAGAGGTAGAGCGACTTGATGTGCAGCAGGCTCTCGCAGGACTGGACGAGCTTGGACTTGGCCGGGGCGGTGTCGTTGAAGTGCGGCGCGCGGATGGTGTTCTGGCACGCGTCGAAGCAGAAGCCGCCGGAGGCCGCGGCGGCGTGGGTTGTCGTGGCGAAGAGGAGGCATGTCGCGGCGGCGGCGAGGCCCAGCGGCGGCGACCGGGACGCCGGCGATGACCACGGAGCGCGCATCACGGGCGGCAAGTCGGCATCTGTGCCCTCTTAACTGTCGCTCGCGGTCGGGTAGGGGTGTGTATGCTGGCGATGTTGGGGATTCGAAATGCCTTTGCTGAGGTTGGCCGAATTCGATGGAAATGATCTCGGGCGTAGGAGAGAAGGGAAAGAAAAGGCGAGACGGGGTGGAGGAGGACCTCGGTGCTCCGAGGGGTCGAGTTTTTGCGGGAAATGTTGCAGATCAGCAGGGCGGCGGGACATGCACTAAGCAAGGTAGCACTGGGGTGAGAGAGAGAAGGATTGGGGGAGAGGGAAATTTGGGATCTTATCAGATCATCTGATTAAGATCCACTGGCTTAGGTTATCGCGATAATCCACCGGCATCGGCCAAGCCTGGAGCGCCGTGCCGGGTCATCCCCTTCAGTGCAACCGCTGTTGCAGGCAGCTTTTTTGGAGAAGGTGAGGGGAACGTTTGCCTTGAAAGCTGATATGGCGCCTTTTTAATCCACATGATAGATGTGTCTCACTGAGCGAATCCCACGCTTTCATCCCACCGGCTGCTGTTTCTGGCGTTGGCGTTGGCGGTTTCGTTCCCGCCGTCAAATCCTTCGAAAAACGACTCAGACGTTCTCAAAAGCATAAGCTTCTCTTTCATAGCCATGTCGAATTATGAGCACCTCGAGATGTGTTCTTCCTCCGAACCACCGCCCGGTGGCACGGAACCTTTCTCGGGCGGGACCACCCGCTAAACTTTCGGAACCCGGCACAGCGGGAAGTGCACGCTTAAACTCTCCCGCACTCACTCAGTCAGCAACTCACTCAACGGGCTTGATATCTCGCTACCTCTGATATCGGAATGCTTCGAATACAGAAATATCATCAGATGCACAGATTAGTGCGGCTGCAAGCATCCCTCACAGCCAAAAGACTCATCAGAACCACCTTCCGGGAAGGGTAACCGGGCCGGGCCCACCCCTGGAGCCACATCACCCGCGCTGCAAGGTCATTCCCTCCGCGCTCACTGACACATCACCACCCGACGCGCCGGAGCCGCCGCACTTTCAACGTTCATCTGGTTTTTTCCATCTGACGGTGCGAATTCGTCCAAAGACACTCAACCGTAAACCTCAAATGATCGATCTCGGACTCGACTATCTAATGTGACTCACAGTCGAAACGGCCAGGTCTTGCTCAACCTGAATGACTCCACAAGCTCCGGGATTATGTCTCATTGTATTCTCGATCTTGTCGAGGTGGCATGGTCACATCTAGATGATACACTGCGAAAGAAAATTAGAATAACCCATTTGAGAGGTAGTATTGCTCATCCCGCATGGCTCTTGATCATCCTACTCGCGCTTAGGAAAACCAGTAGGGCCGCTCAATATCAACCTGAACCAGCAGCCCAGCCGCCATCCTCTCCCGTGGATAACACCCGACGTTCCAAAATAACCTGATAGCCATCCTCATCTTTCCAGAGAAACACCTCAAATCCAAATACCCTCATCTCCACTCCGTCTCGGCCTCTTCGGAGCATCACCCACAACAGGCACCACACCCTCCGACACCCTCCCCTCATTCCCTTCCTGGCTATACACCGACGACGCATTCCTCCCCACGTCGAACCTCCGCATCTCGAAGCCGCGCGGGGGCGGAGGGACCTTGGGCGGCGCCCCGCTGACCATGAACGGGCCCGAGATCGCCATGCTCGTGCGCCGGTGAAGCGTGCCCTCGCGCTTCTTCTTCTTCTTGTTCCACATCCACAGGTACACCACGCCGCCCGCGAGGAGGCCGAGGAAGGCGATCGCGCCGGCGATGCTGGCTGCCACGGCGCCCGGGGGCGCTTCGCCGTTGGAGTTCGGGCGCTCTTGAGGGGATGTCGGGAGGGGGGTGTGAGGAGGCTGTTGGGAGCCGGAGGGTTGTGAGATGGTTGAGTAGATGGGTGAAGTCGCTATTGGCGTGCCTGAGACTCCCGTCGGCGAGGCAAGGAGTATGCCGATGCCGCTGGTGGAGCGGCATTCGAAGAGGGTATATGTCGAGGGACCTTGAGTCGAGAGCCAAGTGTAGCAGGCTGTGTTGGGTCGGTATCTGCTGTTCGGGGTGTCAGATGTTTCGTTATTTTCAAACCCTTGACTGCATAACTTGCCAGCATAGTTCGTCGTCGGCGCACGCACTCGCGATGATACCCGACTCCAGAGAGGACCCGAGGCATTTGGTTGGCACGGGTGTGGTGCAGCCCGCGTAGGATCCCGAAGATGTGCATGTCTGTTCTGGTTTGGGGCAAGTCCACGGCCTGGCGATCATGGGAAATCTACAATACGTGTCAGTACTGCAAAGGTTCAGTGTTCTCCAGAAAGTGACGAACCTCAAGGTTGTGACTGGAAATTCGACGTAGCCGCAGGTGCCTGGTCCTTTTGAGGCAGGAGCGACGGCTGCGACTTCTGCCGGGGCATTGTGAACGCTGGGATTTGGCATTGTGGACGAGTGGTCGTTGGGAGACAGGAGAAAAGTTGACGAAAGTGCGTTGTGAGAAATTGTAAAAGTTCGGTGGCGCGAACTGGGTCAGGTTTGTAGTTGTTGCGAAGTAGTTGTGATTGACGGTTGTTTGGCGAGAGAAGTTGTCTAGGTGAAGTATCAACCGACCTCGGTGATTCACCGTCACAAATGATATGAGTAGAAATGTCGACCAGGTAATCATTCGTTAAGCCCAACTCGAGCATACAGATAAAAATAATCCATTCCGTCCCAACTATACACGACCGTCGACTCGGTTCAGTCGCAGGTGAATTTTCCAAGCCCAAAACCCCGGGTATACCATATCCAAGACCATCAAGAAGTAAAGAAACCACCATCGCGCCGGGCCCAGCTCCGCCCTTTGTCCCTACATACGGACACCACACTCCCCCGAACCTCAAGACAGCATCGAGACGACAAGACGCCTCAGTTGTGCTGCGGCATCTGCATGCCCTCCTTCTGAGGCTGGTATCCCTGGACGATGGGCCCCGTCGAGAGACGAGCCTGGACCTCCTTGTCCTGCTGGATGAGGGCGCAGCAGCCGCACCAGTAGCTGACGCAGCAGTCGCTGGTGCCGGAGCCCTTGATGCCGAAGCGCTCGCGGATCTCGCCGCGCTTCATCATGGCGTAGATCCAGCCGCAGCCGGTGAACCAGGTGATGCCGCACATGAGCAGGCAGTCGGTGTTGACGGCCTCGTACGTCTGCATCGTGGGGTCGCGCATGCGCTCCGAGGTCTTACCGAGGACTACGGTCATACGTTAGCATATGTGATGAATGTTGATGCGAAGGGAAGAGTCGGCAAACGTACGCAGGCATGGCAGGAATGTGCCGATTAGACAGGTATCACACGGCCCGCAGCTGCAGATGCCGGACTGCCATTCTTGGTTCTGGACGTTGGTGCCCTGGGTGTACTCTTGCTGGATGGGTTGTTGCTGCTGGCCGGCGTACTGGTGCTGCTGCTGCTGGTGGTTCTGCTCGGCGTACTCCATGATGACGGTTTATAGGGGGTCTCGAGTCGAGAGGAGGTACGGGTTGAGGTCGATAGGAGGGATGGATACGGATGCGGCGGCGATACCTAGGTATTCAAAGGAGCGGACGACGGAAGAAATATGTTCAAAGAAGAGTTCGAGAACAGGTTTCCTCCAGGAAGGGGGTCGACGTTTGATATACGGGTAAGCCAGGGAGGGAAAGGAAGGAACAAGACACGAGAAAACCAAGCGTTGAAAACGGGAAGGAACTAGGGCCACCAGGTCTAATGAGACGGACGGATGCAGAGGGGTTAATAACAGCCTCTTTCTCGAGAGATGAACCGGAAGAGGCTTAAGCTGAGAGGTAGGGCGTCACACAAGAAATCTCACCCCGTTCGTCCCTTTCCGAGACCTCCCCACCACTCACGGCCAACCCAACCCAGCTGAGAGGCCAAGAAAGCTTCGTCAAAATATTAACCTTGACCCCGGGCCGCACTAAGCCGTTAGACGACGCCAATCGGCGTCGCGGGGAATGGGCTGTGTCTTGCCTGCCCCCTTCTCATCTTGACACCACGTCGATGCCTGAATCCTTCTTCTCTTCATGGCGTTGCTGGGCTGGCAGAACCGTACTAGCTGACCGTCGACTGCGAAGACAATGTTGAGAAAAGACGAACGTGAAGAGTCTGCCTGGAGAGCCCCTGTGGCTTGCTCGCTTGACATGGCGATGGGGACAAGGGGAGACAGACGTGAAGGCAGCAGCCGGGCCAATGCACCGGACGGGACGCTAACCCTGCGATGGCGTCCTAAGGCTGAGCTGGGCGGGCGGTGTTGCATCTGCGCTGACGCAGGGGGGACCTTCTTTTCTGATCTCATTTTCATTTGCCAATTGGCACTGGATCATCAATGCTTGAAATGCTCATGGTGGGTGGTGGTGGTGAGCTGGAATGTGTTTTGAGATGATGCGTGTGAGATGAGGTTCATCGTTGGAATCCGGATCTCTGCCGACTGCCGTGTCTTGTCTTGCATTCTACGCGAAGGAAAACGGGAACCGGAAGCACCGTCGTGAGTTCCGATGCTCATTACTGAATTCGCCTTGGCTCGAATGGACGGTTTATGGCGATCACGAACTCGTGCTTACGGTGATCGTCGCCGCCAGGCAGAGAAAGAGAGTGAGCTGATGAGTGAGAAAAGACGCCTGTGAAGGTGTATGAGAGCGAGCAGTGTTCAGCTGCGGAAATCATCTTCTCAGCCCAACTTTAGCGACTCTACCCAATAAACCGCCCCTGTCACAGGACATGCAGGGCGCAAAAGTACCGATAAACAAAGTCCCGACACTTGACCACGCTCAGCTTAATCCCGGCGAAGCATCTCCTCCTCCATCTCAGCCTCACCTCAGCTGCTCTACTCTCACTCATACAGCCTACGGCCTACAGGTTGTTACTCATTCATTCACAGTAAATAATCGCTGTATTTTGGTATCTCATAAAACAAACCCCGCGATGCCTCACTTCCCCCCGCTCTTCGCTTTCTTCACACCGTTCTCGACCTGAGCCTTCTCGCGCACTCTCCGACTCATAATGACATAGTCCGGCACGAACACCTTGCCGAACCTCAACTTCCTCTCCCCCGGCGAGATCGGGTCCTTTCCGAACCCGAGCCTCTCGTAGAACGCGCGCGCAGATTTGTTGGCGAGGAAGCACGTCAGCATCACCTTCTCGATGAGCGGTATGCTCTCCGCCACGGCGACGAGGTAATCCATCATCTTGCGCCCCATACCCGAGCTGTTCTCTCGTCAGCAAGACCACGGAACTCACGCGATTTCTCGGCTGATGCGACACCGCCGACGGTCGTCGAGCATGATTGGAAACTCACCCCGTCAGCTCCTCCAGCAAGTGAATCTCATAACAATAAACAACCGGCTCGCCCTCCTCGAACGTAGGCATCAAGCTCGTGAAGCCGCATATCCTCCCCTCTTCAGCCTCATCCTCGCCAGGCCCTTCTTTCACGAGGATGTACCGCAGCTCCGGGCTCCGCATCTCCTTGATCTTCTGCGCCGGCTTCCACCCGTCGTGGGACGCGCGGTAGTCGGCGCCGCTGGTGAGCTCGACGAGGTCGAAGCACGCCTGCATCTCGTCCGTCGAGAGCTTCGCGGGCGATTTCAGCGAGAGGGCGTATGATTTGCCGGTGGTCGGGTGTGTCCATGACGTCCAGTCCGGGCTTTGAATCGCGATTTCATGGTGAGTTTATGAAGCCCGGTACTGTGAAGACGTGGTAGGCTTGGATTTGGTGAGTAACACACCTTGGTTGTAAATGATCCCTGATGAACTCATCGTCCGTCTTGCGGTTCGCCGCCTCGATGGGGTTTGTTGGCGCCCTACGCCGTTTCCTCGGTGGCATTTTTGAATCCGTCAAAAACACAATCAATAAACAGGAAAAACCCCGCGGATCTCCAACTTTTCAACCTCCAAATTCCGCGACGTTGAATTAGTTGAGTATGTTGGCTGCGTTGTGAATCGTACACGCCAGACGCGTCCACTAATCCATCGCCCCCAAGCCGCTGCGCCGCGGGGGACCCTTCCACAGCGGCGCCCGAGGTTTCCCCGTCCTGACCTCATCCACCCAAAAAGTTTCCACACCAGCATCCACCCACCTCATTCATGAGATCTCACTGAGCCTATTCGCAACTCCAGACTTCAGATGTAGTTCTCTCCCTCAACACAACTCGGCCCCCATGCCCCCCTTAACCCCCCTGTGGTCCCTCGCCCGCAGCTACTCCTCCAATGGCGCCGCCAAGTCGCGCCTCGGGAAGACGTTGAGCCTGGACCAGGTATGTGTGCTGGAAGCCATGATACTCCGGGGGAATTCGAGATGAGAAAGAATGAGATAAGAAAAAGGTTGGGGTTTTCTAACGGGACGCATGCAGTTCCTCCAACGATCCCGCGCCCTCTCCCTCTACCGCGAAATCATCCGCGGCACGCGACGCATCGCGGACCCGACCACCCGCGCCGAGTCCCGCCGCTACGCCCGCGATGAGTTCGAGCGTCACCGCGATGTGACGGACGTTGTATGCCTCTTCCCCCACACTCATCTCACATTAAGGACTGACACCGTTGGCCAGGGCCATATCCGCTACCTCATCTCAACAGGCAAGACGGAGTTCCAGGGCATGGAGCGGTACATTGACGGGTTGTAGAGTGATTTGTGTGTGTCTTGGTGTTGTGTATCAAACTGTATAATACAAAGGACATGAATCCTTTTTACTGCCTCGGCCCCTCTATTCCGCGTGACCGGGCTTCTCCCTCTCTTCTTGGTTCCGCCTCTCATGATCATGGATCGTCCCAAGTTCGTCTATAGCCCTCGAACGCCATCTGTGTTCTCGTCCTCGCTGTAGTATACACGCATCCAGACCGAGCTTCCCTCCTCCCGCCTCGGCAATCCTCGGTCGTTTAAGACTGGCGCTGCTTGTGCCTGGGGTTCGCCTTGCAGATCACGTAGAGGTATCCATTGTGTCTCTTGCCGGCCTTGCGACGGACGATCTGTCAAACGTGTGTCGTTAGCAACGATTGTCCAAGCATGTACTGCACCCTCTTCTCCCGTCCCATATCCCGCCCTGCCGGCCTTCGTGATATCCTCAAAACCTCCATCCTCTACCCAAAATATCCCACGCCAAGATTCAACAGATAAAAAGAGCTCACCTTGCAGTGCTCACACCTCTTCTTGACGGAGCTGTGCACCTTCATCCCCCTCGTCTGCTGCACGATCGCGTTCCCCACGGCAGCGGCCTTCTTCCCCGCAAAGAGCGCCTCGGTCTTGATCATCGGCTGCCTCGTCATGATCGCCGTCGACATGGCGCGCGCCGCGACCTTGTGGGCGCAGCATGGGGGGCGGGCGACGGCGGTCGCGCGGGCGGTCGTGAGGGACAGGGCCCTGAAGGAGGCGGCGAGGGAAGCCATTGTGGTGTTCGGCTTGGGGTGTTCGTCTCGGGTGCCGATCGATCGGAGATTGGGGGTCACGGGTTGACGGAGGTCGATCGTTCGGGGGGACGGCCGTGGGTAGGGGTGCGAGAATCGGGTCTTGCTGTCGGCGACGATGGTGATGGGCCTTGATGGCTTCATCCGGGTGGGAGCATTTTCGCGGCTCTTGGCCGCGTCACGTGGTAGAATGTCCGTGCGCTTATCGTGTCCTGGGCTGCTTATCGGCGATGCGACATCGGACGAAAAAGTTGCGAACCATCACCACCTTGGACAGAGTTATTTCGACTTAAACCTGGTGTCATGACTTAATTATAATTCAGAGATGTGAATAACAATGAGTTGTGGTCATACTGCATTTTCCCCCTCATCGGTTGAGATTGCCACGAAGAAGGAACAATTTCAAGGTAGCAAATCTTCTCAGTGGGAGTCATACCGAAGCGGATCGCCAGTCGTCGGCTCAAGTAGATCAACTTTCATTCTTCTTCGCTTTTCTGTACCTATCCCATTGAAGGCCCGCAGCCCACGATTTATCTACCTTTTGTGACCAATCCACTGATTCAAAACTCCCGACGCCGTACTGAGGGAAATTAACCAGATGCAAAGTCTATGGACATCCTCAAATTTCAAATATGCACTCTCGAGCATCGCCCCCTTAGCTGCGCAGGAAAGTCTTGAAAACTCCCGACTGACTGCAGTCCTCCCACGGGTATCCAATCTCGGTCAAGAACGTCTCGAGGTCCTCGACCTCGTTCTCGGGACAGACGATGCCAGCGAGGACCTTGGCCACGTCGCCGCCGTAGTTTCTGTAGTTGAACAGGCTGATGTTGAACTTGGGCCTCAGCGTGCGGAGGAACTTCTCGAGGGCGCCGGGCCGCTCGGGGAAGTTGAACATGTAGAGGCGCTCGTTGGCCACGTTTGAGCGTCCGCCCACGAGGTACCGGATGTGGCTCTTGGCGAGCTCGTCGCCCGACAGATCGGTGACGGCCATGTCGTCGGCCCGGAGGCGCTCCAGGAGAGTCTGCAACTCCTGGGTCCTCTGCGACGCGGGCGCCGTCAGGGAGATACCGATAAGCACGTTGGCGACCTCGTCCGTGGCGTAGCGGTAGGAGAACTCGGTGACGGAGTGCGGCAGGATGGTGTTGATCAGGTTGGCGAACGCGCCGGGCCTCTCCGGGATGCTGACCGCCAGCAGGGCCTCCTTACCCTCACCCAGCGTCGCGCGCTCGGCGACGAAACGCAGACGGTCGAAGTTCATGTTGGCGCCGGACGTGACGGCAACCATGCTCCTCTTGCGATCGCTCGGGTTCTGCGCGACGTACTTCTTCAGACCGGCGATGGAGAGCGCGCCGGCGGGCTCGAGACCCGCGCGCGTGTCGTCGTACATGTCCTTGATGGCGGCGCAGACCTCGTCGGTGGTGACCTGGACGACCTCGTCGACGACGTCCTTGCAGAGGCGGAAGGTCTCCTCGCCGACGGTCTTGACGGCCGCGCCGTCGGCAAACAGGCCGACGTCCTTGAGCACGACGCGCTCGCCCTTGGCCAGGGACTGGACGAGGGCGTTGGCGTCGTAGGTCTCGACGCCGATGATCTTGACGTGCGGCGCCATGCGCTTGACGTAGACGCCGATGCCGGAGATCAGGCCGCCGCCGCCGACGCAGCAGAAGATGGCGTCCAGCTTGGACATGTTGATCTGGCCGAAGAGCTCCATGCCGATGGTGCCCTGGCCGGCGATGACGTAGGGGTCGTCGAAGGGGGGAATGTTGATGAGGCCGTCCTGGGCCTCGCGGCGGGCGCACTCCTCCTTGGCGGCGTCGAAGTCTGCGCCGTGGAGGACGACGTGGCCGCCGAGCCTCGCGACGTTGAGGTGCTTGATGCTGGGGGTGGCCTCGGGCATGACGATGGTCGCGGGGATCTTGAGCTTGCGGGCCGAGTAGGCGACGCCCTGGGCGTGGTTGCCGGCGGAGCAGCAGACGACGCCCTTCCAGCTGACGGCGGGGTCGAGGTGGGCCATCTTGTTGTAGGCGCCGCGCAGCTTGAAGCTGAAGACGGGCTGCTGGTCCTCGCGCTTGAGGAGGACGTTGCACTCGAGGCGGTTGGAGAGGTTGACGGCGGGCTGGAGCGGTGTGACCTTGCAGGCCTCGTATACGCGGGACGTCGCGGCGGCGATGAGTCGGAGGTACTGGTTCGAAGAGATCAGCGTTTTTTGGTCCATTGGGTCACGAGCCGGAGTCTCTCACGTCTGGGTTGCCATCGGGGAGCAGGTAGTCTTCCGGGACGACATTCTTGATGCGGTTGCGCTTCTCCTCTGGGGGTGTGGACGGGTTGGCGCTGTATTCGGTCAGGGACATGCCGTTAGGCTGCGGCGTGCGAGGGCGCGGCGGGTGATCGCCATTGACGCCGTTGGTGTTGAGGGTGCCGTTGGTCATGACGGCGACGACGGGAGGTTCTGTTGAGTCGGACATGGTGAAGAAGATGATGAGGAGAAAAACGAGAGGACGAATTGCAGCCGGGAGAAGACGACAATCGTGACTGAAGTAACGGTTGGCAAAGAGTCACTGAGCCTGTATCCGTATTAAACTGGAAATTTGTTCATGGTGGGGCAGAATCGGAGGTCAATTCGGTGTCGCGGGGTAGAAATCGGACGGTTTTTGCGGTGAGCTGCGCTATTAACGGCGTCCGGATTGGCTGAAGTATCCCTGTCGCGCTGCAGGCCAGGTGCCGTTCCCCTGGAGCTGAGGGCGACATCGCTCTGGGGTTTGATGTAATTAGGTTTGTCCAACCTCTCGAATTGTGAGTCAGGGTTGATGTTCATCAGACAAGACATGAGTTGGTCATATATAGAACGAGGTTATCAAATCAATTGATGTCTATGAAAGGTGTTGTCTGCAAGGACTATAATTATTGAGACTGAAAAGTGCCAGCCTCGAGTTCAAGTTTGGAAGACTCACAGTTGCTGAAATGTTGAAGTACAACCTTGGAATGCTTCAATCTTGAGTCCCACAGTGACTTCAACGATGGCCTGTGCGCCTGGCCCCATTTCCATTGGAGCAGCCTGAGGCTTATCTTATCTGGGCTGATTCGGTACCTACGTACCGCAATCGAGTGAGTACGTAAGCAATCCAGAGCCGGGATTTGCCGCAAATGCGCTCAAGGGTCGAGCTCCAGTGCGCTGAGCCAGACCCCGAAATCCATAGCGCCGTAAAGTCCATTTCATCATCGAATTTCGCCCGTACAAAGCGCATATCGGCCTCCTCGACCACGGCGATTTCCCATCCACCACCACCCCGGCCGACCGATCTGAACCTCCAATCGCAGTCTCGCAACCATGCCCGGCGACAACAGACTCCCAGCGCTTGACCGGCAGATGCCGTCGTCGTTTGACGAGAACAAGTAGGTAGCACGCGACATTCAGCTGCAATTCCACCTATAGCTTGCTAACCACGGCCTCCAACTTCAGCGAGTTCTACGACGAGCGCGTCCTGCACAAGATCTTCCGCAAGCTCAAGGAGGAGCCCCTCGTTCCCCTCGGTTCGTCTTCCGGCTCACGACCACCACTCGATGTGCCCTCTCTAACACCTCGCAGGATGCGGTCTTACTGCCTACGCCTTCTACGCCGCCTGGCGCGCTACCCGCCGCGGCGATGCCGTCCAAGCCAACAAGATGTTCCGCGCCCGTGTCGCCGCGCAGGGTTTCACCGTCGTCGCCATGGTCGCCGGCAGCATGTACTACAACAAGGACCGCGAACGCACCGCCGAGCTGCGCAAGATCAAGGCCGCCCAGGACGAGGAGGAGAGGAGGCAGCGCTGGATCCGCGAGCTGGAGGCCCGTGACGAGGAAGAGAAGGCACTGAAGAACCTGCTGCAAGAGCGTAGGGCAAAGGCCGAGGCCCGTAACGCGGAGGCTGCCGCGGCTGAGGAGAAGAAGAAGTCCGGCGGCGGCGTCCTCGGTGCCATTGGGTTGTCAGGATGGAACAAGTCCGCGGAGGGCGCCGCTGCGGATGCGCCGGTTGATGAGAAGAAGTCAAAGAAGGAGAACCCCAAGAGCTCACTGGGTGTTATTGGCGAGCTTTACGGGCGGAAGCCGTCAGATGGCTCGTCGGAAGAGCCCAAGAAATGAGTGACGAGGGATGGCGTGATGTACCGATTGGCGGCTGCATTGTATAGTATTGGCATGGCATTGGCATCAGGACGGACGAGTTCGTCTTATTGAAGACTCCGCTCCGTCGTATATAAAAGTCAGGGGAATAATAGGCGTATCTAGGTTGAATTTATCGTTCGACTTTTGTTCATGGGAAGATGCCATGGTCGACTGATGATGTGAAGCATTCCAGTCGCTTTGATTGCAGTTGAACCCAAGAGGAACTCCCTGCGACATAACTTAATTACCATGACTGATAACAAATAGAACCTCGCCATTGAATAAGTCTCGAGTGGTCTGAGGTCTTCATGATCCTATCGCGAAAGAGATATTCGGGAGATCATCACATGCGGGCTGCAATGGAGGGGCACAGGAGCTCGGGCCAGTCACCAGTGACGTTGCGGGGCCTTGCCTCTGTTCAGTGTTGCTGCAGTGGCTTGGACCCCCTGGAATTCCAGCTTGTCACTCCAAAGACATGACGCGCCCAGCACCCGGGGTACACCTGATCTGACACCTCCCTGACGCCGTGGGCTGAGCTGGGCGCCTTCTTATGCAACAACTGTCCGGTTTTACCTAATTACCTGCTTGCGCACTCCAGGCTTCCGTTGTTCTCCTCCTTCAACTTCTCCAGGACATGGCCATGGCTTTTGATGACTGCTCTACGGCCCCTTGCACGACTCCATAACCATACAAACACCAATGTTTATCGATTCCTGACCACGACTTCACCATGGGTCAAGCTCTATCCGACGAGACGCCGCGGCAGATGACACACGAGGAGCTCACTCGTGAACTGGTAAGTCGCCGTATCCTCCGAGAACGAGTCCCCGCGGCCAGACATTTGCTGACGATAACTGCCACAGGCAAGCCGCTTCGCCGAGAAATGCTTCAGTTCCATCGAGCTCTACTCCTTCAAAGACGTCTTCAAGAGCCTGGCCGATTCACAGGGCGACATCCGCTACCTAAAAGAAGACACCATCGCCAGGTTCCTCGAGATACCCGACATCCTCCATGTTTCCCCCGTCATATTTCAGATGGTGTCTTATATCGGTGCCTTCCCGTTCCTCCAAGATGCCCCGGCAGTCCTTGGTCTCGAGCAGATGATTATGGTGGTCGTCATCATGACGGCAAGGTACAAAAGAGTGTTGGCCAAGGGAGCGAGTGACCGGGCGAAGCTGGTGTTCAAGAGTCTTGCAGTCCACGACAGGAAAGCATCCATAGCTGCTGCCGAAGGCTTGAAGGAGGGACTCCAGGAAAGTTCTGAAAGCAACGCAGAGGAGGCCGACAGGGATGCCGCCAAGGATGAACCAGCCAGAAGCCATGTAGCTGGCTTTGCTGTTGATGAACCCGCGGAAGACGAAGACGACGAAGACGACGACCTCGAGATTGCGGCCTTTGAACTCCTCGACATCAACGACGCTGTCCGACAGGGAGATGCCCCCACAGTTCATGGAGCCATGATACCAGCCGATAACTTCCGCAAGCTCCTCATGTTGCTCATCCTGATAGCTCCCCTGACCCCGCAGGAGCACCTGTCAATGTACGCGAATCGAGTTGTGGGCGATGAGCTCGAGAGTCTTCGCGCCACTGCCGAAAATATCCTGGCCGCCTTCTTGAACGTTGAAAAGGCACCCGGCATCAAGTTCGGTCACTTCAACCGCGTGATACCCGTTTGCTTCCCATATCTCTTCAACGGCTTCAACCCATTATTTGAGCATTTCCTCTTTTCCAAAAGCCTGGACTTCAACAAGCACAAGGGCGACGATCCAGCTGCCGAAAAGGCGCCCGAGGAGGTCGTTCAGCCACTGTTGCAAGACAGCTCTGATATTCTCAACTTGAATGTCCTATCTCAGTTGTCGTTCTTCCTACCTGGATCCGACCTCTTCCGCCGACTGAGACTGCTCTACTCTGGCAACGACGCTGGATTCTCCATGGGCAGCTTCGAAAGCAAGGTGTTCAACTGGAGAGCACCCACCATACTCCTTGTGCGCGGCAGCCGCATCGACGACGACCCTCAGGGTGGCCCGGAAGCGACCTTTGCGTCTTCTATCCCGCCGCGGCGCTTCCCGCACGGCAGCAAGGGCGAACGCCTCACATTTGGTGTCTACATCAGCCCACCCTGGAAGCACACAACCAAGGAATGCTTCGGCGAAACGGACAGCGTGTTGTTCCAGCTGGAACCCGTTCACGACGTATTCCCTGCGTCCAAGTACAACACGGACTACGTATCCTTCACGAAGCTACCGCACAACCGGCCCATGCTGGGCGTGGGGTGCCCTCACCCCCGACGGACGCAAGCCCACCGGCGCAATACGATGATGTCCGTTGGCTCGGTTTCTCTGCTTCTCGACGATTCCTTCGAGTATGGCGTGTTCACGCATGACTGGACGGCAGGCGGCGGCGCGTTCCAGACCAGCGTGACCCGCAAGTTTGATTTCCAGGACAGGTTCCAGATCGAGAGTCTCGAGGTCTGGGGCTGCGGTGGTGATGAGGAGGCCAAGGTGCAGGCTGAGCGTTGGGCATGGGAAGCGCGGGAAGCGGAAGCCCGTCGCAAGATTAACCTTGGTTCCGGTGACATCGAAGCCGATCGCGCCCTGCTGGAGATGGCTGGGCTCATCGGGCAGAACCGCAGCGGAGGCTCTGCCCTATAGTAACATGACCGGCGATCTCTAGGTTAGCATGCCAATGCATCTGGTGTGGCGTTGTGAAATTGCTGCCGAATAGAGATCGACATACGGACCGCGGCGTTGCCAGGTAGATCATCATTGGGCTCACAGCATTGGATACCAGAATAGACATGGTCGTACGTATAATGGATGACACGATGGCACTGATTCGTCGTAGATTGTCGGACCCGAGGCTCTTTTCATTCGCAATTCTGGACATCGTCCAAACCCAATCGACCTTTTTGGAAAATAATACAAGTTCTGATCTGGAGCTACACCATTCCACTATTCCATCCAGCAGCTACCATCACGGCGCATAGAAGCGCAGCAGATAAAGCACGCCTTCACTAAGACAACTTCCGTCCTCAAAGCTGAAGGACCACTCATCGTCCAGGGCTCTGTGCCCATCAAGAGCCATCCTTACTCAAGGCCGTAACAGGGGTCCTCCTCACGCATGAGATAGTCATGGGCCTTCTTGTTGGTGATGACCTTGAGGAGCTGGTCGTGGTAAAGCTATCGAATAAAAGTCAGAAGACCGCAGCGAGCGCGTTGGAAGGGCAGCACGACTCACCTCGTAGGACGAGCCAAAGTTGCGAATAACACGCTCGACGCGCTTAAGAGCGTATGTCTGGTACTCCAAGTCATCGTGCTTGTCTAGGATCACTGTCAACAGGTCCTTGAGGCCGAAGCGGTGTTGCCACGGGACGGGGCGAGGAGGGAGAGAGCCTTGGCTGCCGGGGCGAGGACGGACGACGACGACGCGGGTAGGCTCGGGGCCGGCGCCGGCAGTGGTGGAGGTTCGAGCCGGTGCGGCGGGGGAGGTGTCGACCTGGCGGGGGCCGACGGGGTTCTCGCGGACGGGGCCAGGGCCGGTGGGCAGCGGGGTCACACGTTCCGGGTTGATGTTGTTGTAGTTGTAGCCGGCGAACTGGGTGACGCATTATGTTAGTCCCGGTCGTTTCTCTTTGAAGAGGAGAAGGTGTGGAGGGGATGACTTTACCTGGATGTGGCAGCGGATGATCTTGAACTGCTCCTCCTCGGTGAAGCCGGAGGTGGTCTTGAGGAGGTAGCCGATTCTGAGGAGAACCCACTCGATCTCACGGAGACCCTCGAGGACGTACTGTGATGTGCACATGGTCAGCAAGGTAGGCAACCTTCTTTCACGGGCTTGCTTGTGAGGGGAAGACGCTGGGGAAAACTCACGTAGTAAGGACCCTTGTTCCAGACCAACCAAGGGACGTACTCGGGGGACAACTGCTCGGCGGGGCGGCGGAGCTCGTTGACCTTCCAGTAGGCGCCCTGGAGGTACTCGCAGATGCCGTCGGCGGTGATGCCGTAGTGGAAGTCGGGGATGGTCTCGTTGCCGCCGGGCCACCACGAGGGCCTCTGGACGGGCCACTGCGAGCCGGGGAATCCGGGGCGGACGCCGTCCTCTTTCTTGACGTCGCCGGTGGTGGTGGTCATGTGGAGGCCGGACCACTTCATGGCGTGGGCGGGGGCGTCCTGGTCGAGGTCGAGCTCGGCGGCGATGTCGGACTGGATCTTGAGCCAGGCGGCCTCGCCGTCGACGTTGATGTCGAAGGTGTCGTCGGCGGCGGCGTCGGCGGAGTTGAAGAGGTACTCCGCGTCGACGGCGAGGTCGTCGGAGGAAGAGAGGGTCTCGAGGGGGGCCTCGACGGCGAGCTGGGCGAGGTCGAAGGGGGCGTCGGTGAACTCGGGGACCAGGTCGCCGACGGGGAGGGCGGCGGCCATGGCGGTTGCCAGGAGGCCGGGGAAGATGAAGGCTTGCTTCATGATGGAGGTCGGGAGGGGAGTTGAATGAGAGAAGGAGTGTGTGAGGAGGATGAGGATGAGGGAGGAGTGATTTGGATGGGGGATGTTTGGGGTGTGATATATAACACCTTTGATCAACATTGCTAGAGGGTTGATACTGTGTGTTGGATGTGTTGTAATCACTTCACCTTGAAGGATTTCTAGATGTTGAGTGTGTAGTAAGGATGTCGTTCTGCATGATGGCGTTCTCAACGGCATGGGATCTTCCAATATTGTGACCAATCTGCCCCGAAAACGATCTCATGTGGTTGTGAGAAAGCCACGGCAAGAATCTCTTACCTGAAGTGGCCTCACTTCCCTACACCCAGCAGTGGAGATTCAATGCAGAACTCAACTCAGCGACGCAGTGAGGACCCGTTCTTTTACGAAATCTCGCCGGATTTGATCATGTTAGGTTGCGTGGGTGAACCTCAAGGCTTGGTTCGCTGCTGTCAACTCCGATTTCCAGTCCGAGCCGTGGCCCAAAGTCGAAAGTCTGGGTCTTCACGATAATGGAGATCTATGTCATAATGGGCCACGGCAATGTGCATGTGAAGTTTGCGGTTGTTCGTGTCCCCTGCGTGGTCTTCACCACTGGTGATGTGAGGACCTTGATATCCGGGGGCAGCGTTGGACATATCCGTTGAGCGACTTGGTCTAATCCAGCAACACACGGGCAGACTGTTCTGGACCTAACGACGTTCACTAATCAGAGAGTATTTTACATTTACTGATACTTAGATTTAATTCCCCTCATCCTATTGTTACAGTTTGTGAGAGACTTCTATGGAACTGAATATGTCGGTGGCTGTAGGCTTGAGAACCCTCCAGGTTGTTGAGGTTTTCCAACCAACGGCGGTAGAATCTTGTCGAGAAAAGTCCCGAAAAGGGTGCAGCCATGCCATTTATATCCAGCACCCACTGACGTCACCCAAAAGAATGAAGAAGCAAACGTCCCACGTTCCGAGTACCCCTATTTCTCAAATGGTCTGTTCGCCATCCTCGTTCTCAGGTTGAGACGGCGTCTGCGGCTCATCTTTGGCAATGTCGATGTCGTCCACAGAGTCGACACTCACTATCCATAACATGTCATCCAGGAATTCCACGTCCGTCGAAGAGGCGATATCTTCGACAGAGTCCACGTCCAGGCGACCTGTTCCCGTAACCCTCGAGCCGACCCATCTCTTCTCAGCCTTCTTGGGCACATGGGGTCCCTTTGGCTTATCCGAACCAGTGTCCGGGACGGCACCCTTGTACGGGTTCTTCTTGCTGCCTGGGATCAGCACCTGTTCGCATGTTAGCTTGGTTTCGATCTGTGTTATCGAAGACAAATTGGATACTTACCGGCCTGCAAGTCTTGTGCGTCGAATCATACCAGTAGCAGCGCTCTACGTATTGGCCGGCGGCGCCTTGAATGATGGTGGGCTCATCGCGACCGGGGGCTGCTGAGGCTGTTTGGAGGAAGGCCATGTAGGCGATGAAGGGAACGATGGCGTGGACGCGCATTGTGCTGAAGTTCTGTATGGATTTTGATGAAAGTTTTGGAATATGGATGAAGTGAGCTCGCACTTGATTGTTGGTGACCATTTCAAACAAAACACGCGTGGTTCCTTCGTTGCGCTTGTATATCCTATTTGGCACCTTTCTCCGTTGGCGACGGCCACAAGGTGGCCAAAATAAAGTGCCGGAACTAAGCTGTGGTTCCAAGGACCTCGAGAGCTTTATCTCTGGCGCCAACCATACACGCAAATCTTTCTCTGACAACTCGAAGACATCAGGGAAGACATATCGTAGCTTGAGCAGCGCTGATGGCGTACTTACGCTGTATGATTTTGAAGAAGGAATAGGGTGTGGACTGGAGACGAGTGGAAAGTAAGCAGCATTATTGAATGTTTCCATACACACAATATGGAATGATAACGAACTACCATATCCGAGGAAACCAATGAGGTTCATTACACAAAGTTATAAAAGAGACTGAAATCAAGCACGGAACCGCAGCTAACTCGACATAGGTAAGAAAAGCAAAAAAGGCAAATCATCCCCCCCCACTGAAGTCTTTCATTCACCCACGTAACCGTTGTAGATAGAAACCTGAAAGACCCCAGTACTTCTTCGCCATTTGCCAAGGTACTCGGATCCAGCCCAGTTCAAGCTGGCTTCTGTGCAACTTACTTCGCCCTCCAACACACCTTTCCGGGGCACCCAGGATCAGACGGAGGTTCGGTCTCCACGGGTCTTTCCTCGCAATCGCAGTAGCTGTACAATACTGAACGTCAGTCAAACCTTCTCACCAAGACAAATCGCCTTCGGCTTGTCATGGAAACTCACTCATTAACTCCGAAGTTTTTGCATATTCCGCGCTGGGAGGGTGGGCAATACATCTTCCCGTGAACCAGGCATGACAGGGTCGGAGACGCGGGATTGCAAATCAAGATTTCTTGGGGGACATTCTGTTAGTCTGATGCCGCAAGATCACATGATGATGAGACTTGGGAGATACTCACGAGACGGAAGGATTTGGGTTGGGCTGGCGGGCGGTGGGGGCTCAACGGTCGTCGGCGTCGGCGGGGGCTTCGGAGATGTCGTCGACGTGGTCGAGGTCGATGTTTGAGGGTCGGTGCATTTGCACTTCCTGTGGTAGCACGATTATGAGCAACGAGCTAACGTGCTGTGATTGTAGAGGTCTTACCGGATAGGAGGAAGACTTCCTCCCATGGGAACCACAGTCACGCAAGACTTCTCCTGGTCCTTGGAAGCGTCACAGGCAAGAGCTTGACAATCTTCATCGATCACACAGAACTCGGGTACTTCTTTTTCCTTCAAGGGATCGACACATTCGCACTGCCTTGAATGATGTCAGAGTACATCTCCTCATGCTGGGATGGATGTTCATAGCATACCGAAATACTATCGGGATGATGCTGATTGGCAAAGCCTTGAGCTTGCACCTTTTGGCCTCCTGGGACTGACATGAGAGCCGTTCACAATCCTTGTCTTCCTTGCACGCGAGGGGGGTTGCTGTCGGAGTGTTGCTTGATGAACCTATCGTAGATGACATGAGCAGAGTTGACGTTACCGTTGCCGTTGCCGTTGTCGCCGTTGTGGACGTGGGCTCTGTTTCGCTCATCGGATGACAGAAATCAATGACTGGCTCATCGCCTATGTTACGTTTCATCTTCATTGGAGGGCATATGAGTGGCTTAAGCTTGTCGCGCAGCCTCTCTCTCTCCTTCTGATGATCTGCTGGAGATGTTCCTCTTTTGAAGCGTGTCTTTGTCAGAAAGATGTATACTAAGCTTGAGAAGGAATGGGCAAGGATTACTCACACATCGTTCATACGATCATTGATGAGGTTGTAGGCGACCCTCACGCGCTCCGGCATGGGATAATCTGCGGCCAGATCCGGTGGACGAAGGTCCTTAGCTGGACGACGTTGAAATGACGCCCATACTTGCAGGAAGTTCTTCATACGCAAACCGACCGAGCCATGTTCCGGTAAAGCGCTGGCATCGTGAGTGAAGATTCCGCTGTAATACGGATGCCCGAGGAAGTAAGCCGCGAGCCCAGCCTACGACGGGTCAGTAAATCAGCGAGTACAGATGGATGAGATTGGAGACGGGTAACTCACCACAGCAGGTGCAGCAAAACTTGTGCCGTCCCGTGGGGTCGTTCCGACTGTGTCGCTGGGATCACCGTTACAGGCGATGACGTCTTTGCTTTGGGCATACACGGTCACACTTCCCCTTCCACCAGAGTTAGCATCAACGCCTTCTGTGGACCTCCCTTCGGGCTCAGAGTTGTGCCAGAGTGTTCCATCAGCATGGACCCCACCGACGGTGATGAGGTGATTTGTTTCCGTTCCAAGAAGCTGAGGGAGGTGGTCTCCAAGCTTGACACCAATCGAGGCGTCGTTTCCTGCAGACATGACGAAGACAACTCCGTTCATGTCCAACATTCTCACGAACGATTCGAAGTTTGCTTGAAGGATAGCGAACCCCTGCTCGTCTATCGAATTTCTGTTGATGCCTAAGATCGAGAGCTGGTTAGCGTGTAGCAACACGACGCGTTGCTGTTCCCTGGAACTCACCAAAGGACAAGTTGACGACGGCCTTTCCTTGAAGGCGCCTCTCCAGCACCTTCATATGTATGTGATCGAGCGCAGCCTGCAATGCGTTTCGAGTGATCCCGACACTCATCACCTTTCCGCTTCTCTGCTTTGCAGCCCCCTTATGTTTGACGAGGTATAAGTTGGCGTTAGAAGCAACGCCCAGGGATCTCCCACCAGCTACGCAAGCCACTGCACTCCCGTGCCCGAGTCGGACTTGCCCCGCCCATGAGTAATCTTCGGTGTCTTCTGGTGCGAGATTCTCGGCTTTGTAGTAGCTGTTGCCTTCTAAAACAGCCTTGTTGCCGATGAACCACGCTTCAACGCTCCGTGGGCCTCTGGCGAGCTCCTATAGAGGCTCAGTCACTTTTCTCGCAATGTAAAAGAAACGACTTACCTGATGTCCTGTGTTGAAACCAGAGTCCACGATGAAAATCGTGGTACCTGAACCCAAGGATGGATCATATCTGTAGTCTTTGTTGATGTCACCCGAGAGAATCTTTAGATGAGAAGCACTATCCAGTCGCGTACGAGTTTCTCGTTTCCGGACTGAATGGGGGGTATCCTCTGAGCCAGGCGTCTCAAAGGACCGAGTTCTTTTCCTTCGACGACTGAAATCATCGTCACGATGCTCGATTGGATTTACCCAGTGGTTCGGCGCGACTGAGCGGACCCAGGGAATGGTTTTGATAGCTTCTTCCTGCACCACTGTGAGATTTGTGAGATAGGAGGGATATGCTTGGCTAGTCGGAATGATGTCGTCTGCTCCCAACAGATGCCCGCTAGTACCATCAAGCCACTTAACGAAGTTCCGGAATGCCAAGGGGCTGACTGCGCCGAATTTACAGTCGATGATTCTTGGGGAAGTTGGGCCGGTGGGGATCGGGATCAGGTAGCCCTTTCCCCTTCCCTTTCCGTCGTTTCCGGGGATCTGGACTGCTGGGGAAGATGTAGAAGCAGGAGATGTAGTTGTAGATGAAGCAGGGGCAAACACTGTGGAACTTGAAGGCTGCTGCCCCCCAGCGACAGGAACCACGATATTATCCCAGTCGATGTTGTGTAGGATGGCGTAGATGTTGTAGGCCTCCACAACAAAACCGACACTCGCGACACCCTTCACAAACATATCGCTCAGTCTCTGAGTGATCGCGCCCTGAATATCGATGTGGATATTGGGAAGATTCTGGAGCATCTGTGCCACCGATCTCAGCAGATTCGTCGAAGCTCTCACCTTGGGATAGGCAGAGAAGACCACACCGTTGATCGGCTTGAAGAGATCAGCTTGACCTGCTTGACTCATACGGGCTGCCTCAAGCTGGTTCTGAAATTGAGTTGCTTGCTCGGCGAGGTTCATGGCGTCTTGGGCAAGATCTTGCAACTCGATAGCCTCACTGAATCCGGTTTCCGACAGTGGTCCGCCAGGGGCGTTGAGGGCGACGCGCACTGCCTTTGCGCTGAAACCAGACACAGCCATGGCTAGAGGTCCCGCGGAAGCTGATAGACCCGAGAATATTCCTTTCATGGCGTCGAAAGGGTTGGCAGCAGGACTGCCTGGCGCGCTGCCACTACCTCCTGAGGAGTCGAATGACCGCTGCGCGATTTGAACCCCATCGATGGTCTGCGGCTCTGCCGGTGCCTTGTCTGGTATGTTTATGGTACGATCTCCGATTTTCAGAGACTTGTAGGCGAGTACGGCCGTACTGCCATCATTAAGAAAGATGTCAATGGGCTCTTCGTGCTCTGTCGGAGGATAGTACTCAGCTCCATTGATCTTGACAACCACGGGCAACGGAAGCCAGGTATGGTCAAATGGCGTATCCGGATCGTCGGTCTTGGATGTCTCAGAGGGAGGGGATTCGGTTGTTTTGGTAGCCTCTAACGTTGAGTCGGGACCCCCGTCAGTCACCTGACTGCTGGTCTTATCGGGAGCAGTCATTGTTGTGAGAATTCGTTCCGTGGTGCTAAGGCCTCCAAATGTCACAGGAACACCATCCGCAGTAACCGTCGTAGCAACAGATGGGATGAGAAAAGTGCTTGAAGCAAGAACCACTGACCCGCCTGATATGATAATAGGGGGACCGCCTCGTAGGGCGTACGTCACGGCGGGTTGATCGAGCGGAACAGCTGAGCCGTCAAGGTTCACAACCGTGATAGTGCTGGTAAGAGTCGCAAAGACCGACTCAGTTGTAGGAGCAGCTGACAAGGAAGTGGGTGCGGTGATAAGGACTGAGCTGTTGGTATAACGTGGAAGGGTCTTTCCCGTGGAGGATCCCGAGGTAGTGTCCGCAGGGAGAGAAGTTCCTGTCGATGCCGGGCTTGTCGAGGTAACAAACACTGGAAATGTGTAAGATGTTGTGTTGACGGACACTAGGGAAGACGTGTGTGTGGATGTTCCAGAGCCGCTTTGGAAGTTCGAACCAGGCTTTACGAATCTGACAGGGTGTCCTGTAGGTGGCTCAGCGGTACGAGCCTTTTTTCCCGGAGCTGAAAGCATCAGCATCGACTTATCAGAAGAAATTTTGAAAACTGTAACTCACTGAAGTAAGGTAGACTATATGGAAGTAGAGCAGATGTCTGAAGGACCATCAGTGAACCGATGACCCAGGCAACAAGAGGAGGACGCATGACGGAAGATTGTGAAGTCTCGAACGATTGTATATCAACAACAAAAGACGATTTGGTTCTGACTGACTTTTGATTACTGAAGAGAATTCCCCAAATTTATAGAAATCATGTACGCAGCAGTCTGAAGCGACGTCTGTAGTATTCAACGTCTTTCATGCCTGTGTTGGTCGTCGTAGATACCGAAGGCCGCGATTGATGACAAGGAACAGCCATCGACTTTGCTCTGTTTCTGTTTCAAATTCGTTAATCTCGATCAAGGCCGAAGCAGGTCAAAGGGGGATACCGATTTGGGGGCGAGGTCATATATGAGGCCACGGGGGCCACGGACGCAAGCTGTGCCGCCTCCTCCAGGGAAGTTGAAGCTGGCGGGAAGAACTCTGCGGCCCTTCTCAAGGCCCAGCTAGACCTTTTTCGCTGGATCTTGGTAATTAAAACTCGAGTAGCCGTCGCTAATATCGGCGATGGCGGCGATGTCGACGCATCGTGGAAAGGGGCAACACCAACAGAGTTGCAGAGCATGTAAATCCCAGAAATACTGTCGGTGAAGGCACACGTGATGCATCATGCAAGCTCAAAATCACCATCCAATGAGATGAGAATGGACCCCAACCCATGTCAAGGTTCCAGCGCCAGTTGTGTCGTCAGGTCACTTCCAACAAGAAGCATTCATAGCTTTGTGCTCCTGAACTCGGACCAACCTCGTATTGCCACCCACACACGTAGGGAAAGTCGACTGTTGGTCCCGACCAGCTAATAAGTAGCATTGAAGTTAATTCTCACCATTCTTACGAATGCTTCGTCATGCATGTAGCAATGAGTAAAACGCAATATCAAACCGCCTCCACCGTCCTCGATCTTGGCGTGGAGGCCGTCACTTCAGAACTCTGAGCTCATGCAGAAGGACGTCCGACATCACCCGAAAGAGTCGAGTTTCGTGTCATTAACAATATTTCCTGTGCTTTTCGTAATAATGCATGTAATTAACCTTCTCCCTACTCCTTCGGGATGGCATGCCGCATTCATCTAGACATACACAGGTGAAAGTTTCATAAGCCTTGGAATATGAGCAGCTAAGAAGGTGATGCCCGCTCTACTTTGCCCATGTACTCGTTCCAACTATACCAATCACAATACTTGCCCCTGCCATCCACCAGCTAGCAACCCCAAACGCGCCCTGAATGTCCTGCTTGAGCACACCCCAAAGTATGCCGAAAAGGAAGCTTGGTGGGAAGAACGCAAGCCCCAGGATCCACCAAATCTTTGCCCAGTTCCAGTCTTCCTCGTAGTATATCCCCCACGCTTTTGTGACCCCTCCTACGTAGTCCGAATCCAGATTTCCAGACGTTCTCTTCGGAAGCTGGTTTAATATACGCCTCTGATTTGGATTCATGGCATCGGGGTCCGTGAAGAATGACATCATCAGCCGGGGCCCAACCGGTGGTGATAATGGGGTGGGAACCGGATTGCACAGATACTCCGATCCCACGAGCTCGACTGGCGGTATGCAATGGCATCTTGGCTCATAACAGAGATCATTGTGGCAGCGAACTTCCAAGTCTCCAGGACCTCCATAACCTAGCTAATTCGGCAAGGTCAGATAAGGTGAGTTTCTTCGACATGCCTCAGTAAAGATGAACGTACCATCATAAAATGAATAGACCCGACTGTCTTTAGTGAGCAAATTCGCCTTGTCCTACCAACATGGGTCTTGTAACTATCACGCAGGGCACGGAAGAGTTCCTGATCGTTTTCGATGTGTATGACCGACTCAGGAAGGAGATCGTCTTTGTATCCTCGACCAACGCAAACAATGAGATCAAGAGTCCCCGGAGGCTTTCCTTCTCCATCGCTAGACGAATTTCCCTTTTCCAGATCCTCAAGGAATCGACTCTTGAATGGTAGCGAATTGCTAACCTGGTCGCTTGTACATGTATTGCCTGATCCAGAAAGATTCGTCTGAGTAGCTCTCCTGGATGGGCCGGATGTCGCAGGCACCTGATTAGTTGAGGATTGGTGGTGCGACCGGTATGCTGCTGAATTCAGATAGATCTCTAAAGCTTTCAGCCCGTCAGGCTCCAATTCTTGATAATCATCGTAGAGGGTTTTGCCGTGTGCCTAAGCGTATCGTGGCTACTGGTCAGCGATATTTGTCAAAATCGCATGTGGGTATCATAGCTTACGTCTTTCCATCTAACACGTTGGTGGCCTGGTAAGACGTCGTGCTCTCGTAATCCTATGGAAACCAACAAACGCAAAAGTCTCCACCACAGTGTACGTTTTGTCGGTAAAAATACATCGTGGGCTTTAAGACCATTCTCCGTAGAATGGCAGCTGACCTGCAGAGTAGGTGTCGTAACTGTCGTACCCGATTCGTTAGGATAGCTTGAAAAGACATTGGCCTCCTCTAAAGATGTAGAATCGATCTGTATAGCCGCTGCTCTTGTTGCTTCGGTTTCCGTATCGCCAAAGCATTCGACTATGTCCTCCACTTTGGGGGACAAACAGTCTTTCATGGTATCAGCTGCCGTGTACGTCTCGTCCGAATGTCCTCCGGTCTCAGCTTTCAGCTCCGAAATCTCGCTCTTTACAGACTTCGGATCTGTCATCTCCACGTCCAGTTGTAGTTGGGCGGGATCGGTATCAGATATTTGGGTCGACGAGCCATCAATTGTGTTGGGCACGTTATCAACTGGCTGTGTCGGTATAATTGCTGTCCCTTTCTGTGCACCATCTTCATTACGAGCCCAAACATCATTCGCGTCCATCTCTTGACGTACTTTCTTTCTGAACCCCAATGAATGAGGGTTTCCGTTCTCTTCAAAACGTTCCATTTGATCCGCATAGACTCGTGTCACCGTTAGGGTATTTGCATCGTGAGGGAACATCGGCTTTTCGCTATAAGCGGACTGTGTGGAGTGATATGAGCGATATGCATCGTCGTCTTCGTCATGAACCCCCGGATTGACCAATGAAGGGAGGTTAAATCCCGTCTGGCTTCTCTTGCGTCTTGGTCGAATGGGAAATGAAGACTTGGGACCCAAATCTTCAGTTCCATCTCCTCCATCAGAAGAGACTTTTGGTGGCAAAACTGTTGTTGCCTTTGTCGACTCATGGTGTGGAATCTTTTGAAGATCGTATCGAAGTGACTGGTTCTCTTCTCGCAGGATGCGCTTCTCGCGGACCAGACTTTTCTTATCGTCTTCAAGGATTTCGTTGGTGCTCTGGATGGCCTTGAACCGAGCCTGAAGATCACGAAGGCCTACTTGGAGGGCCGCATGCTCGTTTTTTAGTTTTAAATGGTCCTTGTGTACTTTGAAGTATACCTCAGCTTGGCTTCGTTGCTCAGTCCAATTGAGGTCAGCAACACCTGAATCGCCGGCGCTGCTAGTATTGCTGCTCTTGTCGGAGACCCTCTTGCTCGATGTGGTTTCATGAAAAGATGGACGGGCTGATCTTAGCTTCTTTGTGCTTCTCCGCCTTAGGGGCTTTGGCAGATCAAGAGAGGTTTGGGCCGATGTGCCAGGCGGGTTGCTCGGTGGATCATATATGATTTGCATGGTAATGCCAGCATCGCTAGCATCTCTGCTGTCATCACGCGAGCCCTCAATGGCATCCATTTCTTAGGAAGATACTCGACGCTTCATGCGCTCCTTGCTGTTCTTGGTTTCAGGATGCTGACGAAGGAATTGCGATCTACTTGATGGTCGAGTTAACGGTGCGGTGATGATTGCTGGTCAGATCGCTGGCAAAGATGCAAAATGCAAAATACAAATTTGCAGATATCTTGCTTTCACCAAGTAACCCCTCTTCTGCGCGTCATTATTGATTCGTCAGACGAGTTGCATCCATTGCGGAAGAGCAGTGGTCCAACCAGCGTCGAAAGCAGCGAGAGACGTATCAACGCGCTTACATCTGGGGTCTTATTGGCAGATTCGTAAGAGAAGAGCTATTGGCTGATTTCGTTGCAAATGCGAGACTGTACTGGACAAGATTTGTGAGAGCATGAAGGCATAAGACGTAGGTAGATAGAGGAGTCATCTAAGGGCACGGAAGGCGACTTCCAGACGTAAGCCCTTTCGTCATGCGCTGCCCAGGATTGGAACGGTACGGGTACGTCGCTGCTTATTCTTGATTCGCAAAAACAAACAAAAAATAACTAAATAGCAACTTGAAATGGGCAGGTAACTATCGAGTAACTGTATCACAAGTCTAAGGCCTTAGAACTTGAGACAAGATGATAAGCAAGCTTCCAGTACCTACTTGAAGCCCGTCACACAAATCGAGCAACAAGCGGTTTTGGCGGTTCATTTCCAAGCCCCGGATACTTGAAGGCCTCTCCATACATCATTCCATAGACATAAGACGAGCCAATAATGCGAAAAGCGTCATCAGTTTCTTCGACCCGCCTTATGACAAGGGGCGTCTGGACAGATGGAATGATGCAGATCAGATCGCCGGGCTTAACCAAGGGGGTACTTGTACCACTATAAGAAAGTATCAGTGTCAGGTCACTACAAATTTGAACCTCGATTTGTAGTTTGTTCAAAATAACTCACCAATACCCCTTCTTCGTGGTGAAGAACCGCTCTCCTTTGATGCTACTCGCGGTGCGTGGAATAAACGGTATGAAATGAGTCTCGGCTGCGGCCCACTGATCGAGCCAGGCGTGTTCTTCAAGATAACTCTGGATATTCGGGCAGTACGTCTTGCAAAAGTCACTGAAGCTCTTTGCTACCGAGGCTGGACGTTGGTCATCCTTGTCGCAGCTGTGTAGGAGGGTGCTAGCAAACGCGAAAGCCTTGTCCTGGTACGCGATTCCACTGTCTCTCTCGGTTGCCTCCATGATAGCCCAGTACTTCTCGGCGAGACTTGGCTGATGGGAAAGGGCTGTTTCTGTAGCGAGACGCTGAGCGTCTTCGTTTCTGGCTCGGGCGTCGACCTCCTGTGATGGCTCCACCCCAGCGACGTCGCCGCAAAGCAAGATCTCGTCGACAGCATAGACAGACGCCTCAAGACAGGAACCTTCCACTAGGCTCATTCGAGATTGACCTCTACTGGTGTCATATCTTCCGTTTATTGTCCATGGTCGATGGGCGTCTAGATGGGGACACCAGGATGGTCCCTTGGTGAGATCAGTGGCGAAGTCATGCCACACCAAACCAAGAAACCGAAGCGACCTATCGCTCAGGCGAGAGAAGAGGACTAGTCGCAATTCCGACATACTTCTTGTGTAATCTGCTTCCACCAAGAGTTTTCCGTCGGCTGACTTTGCAAGAGGATGCCCGAGGAATGCGTAGACGAAGTCCCTCGGATCCGTCGCCTTCTGTATATGCCTTGCCTTGAAGAGCACATCCTCAAATTTCGGTTCGTTCTTCTGTATAGTATTTCGTGCGGAAGTCGTGAGGATATGAGAAGACCGATACCATGAGAAGTCGATGTTCGGGGCATACGTCGCCCAGACGTGATCAAAGAGGCCCGAGATCCAGCCGGAGCTGAAATAGACACCTTCAAAATCATTTCCGGTCTGACACCAAGCCAGGGCAAAGTCCATGATCTCGGTGAAATCAATAGTCGAGTTGCCATATGCCAGCAAAACGTCATAGGCGAGTCCGACCTCCTGGAGAACCCAGACGCGCCCGAACCACGGCTTCTTGAAGATTCTCACGGCGTGGAGCAGCCGTTCGCCCGTGACCGGCCCATATCCTCCGTCCTCCTCCTTTGGCTTCCAAAAGCTGCCATCGGCGATGCGAGATTCTGTCATATACTTGGCGGCGATGCGGTTGTAGTCTCTGATGACGTCGAACGCGATCTGTGCCGATTCGCCGTTGTGGCCGTCGTCTCCGAGACAGACCACGACCCGCGAGGCATGAGAGTAGATCTCGCCCATCATGTTGACGTGGAAGGCCTTCTCGGGGAGGTTTCGCTGGTTGATGCAGAGCGCGTCGACCCATAGATGTCGCGGCTCGAGGCGGTACCTGACCTGGCGCAGAGATTGGACGAGGTTCGCTGTCACGTCGATCTCGAGGCCCTGGCAGGTGATGGAGCCGACATCTTGGGTGTTGCCCCAGACGTAAGATATAGCCTCGTATTCTTGGGATGAGTTTAGCTACGTTCGCTATCAGTCTCATATTGGCGCTTTACCTGCAGATTGAAAAGGCGTGAGATACAGTGAGCACCTGATGGGATCATCGTAAGCCCCTGGCTCGAGAAGTAAGATACGGGTCCATTTCCCTGCCGGCACGGCGTCGTAGAAGGAGTACTCCTCAAACCCAGACATGACCAGGTGCTCTAGCTGCGTTAATTGAGTGACAGACCGCAGGTACAAGAAGCTGAAGGAAGAATGGGATCTTAAGTCATTGTCGAGAGTCAGTAAGCAGACATATTTGCGGGGGAGTTCGAGCTGGGATTTGACCATCATCGGCAGCTAACCCCTGCCTCGATCTTTACCCGCAGCTCTTCAGTCGTTGGTTCGGGCTCATTGGCGGTGGGACCTTCCTACAGTAGTACATTAACTGATTTCGCTATGAATTTGGTTCTTATGTGTTAGGCACCAATCATCTAAATAACCCTGGTATCAACACCCCTACTCCTCGCCGTCCTCAATCTCCAATCCTCCTCCTCGTCCTCGAGCAACCTCTCTCCAGGCAACCTCACAGCCCGATCCAATGCAACAGGAAGCCCGCGGTGACGACCTCGCAGCATAACCAGGCACAGCACAAGCTTACTCCCCGCATGCCACCCGCCCGAGAAACTCATCGCGTCGTTGGGCAACCCAACCGAGATTCCAACACATCCGTATGCGGACACCACCTCGAACACGACGTTGAAGACCGAGAAGTGAACGGGGTCCGCGAGAAAGTGCGACGTCTCGATAGTGACGATGACAAGCACTGCGAGCGTGAGTAGCCACAGATCATGAGCGAGCTGCCCGCGGATCTGCTGGCTGACGAAACTCGTGCGGGACTCGTGTCCGTCGCGGCCGGCGGGCCTCGCTGCACCGACACCCGCGAAGCTGATGTTCTCTCTGAGAAAGTTGGCGATCACGCTGCCGCCGCTGAGGTGCTTCTTCTCGGTGACTTGGGTCCGGCCGGGCTGTGATTCGTCGTCGGCGTAGATGCCCAGCGAGCGCTCCTCGTAGACGTTGGAATGGCGCATGGTTATGACCACGGGGTACACCGAGATGTACATCATGATGACATAGAGCACCTGGAGCCCTGGGTAGGCCGATGAAATCGGAATGAGGTAGAATCCACCAGACCGAACGGCTAGAGACTGTCAGTCCAATCACTTCCTCGCAGCTTCAAACGTATGACTTACCAAGAGCTTGAAAGAGGCCATCCAGAACCCGAGCGCCAACCGGAATGGCTTCAATAACAGGGTTACCGATGTTGAGGACCTCAAACGCCATCCAGTCAATCCCGTTCGTCAACACCACCATGAAGAAAAGCCACCACGTCGGCCGCGAAGGGAACAAATTCGTATAAACTCTCCTCGGGTACTTCAATATGAACTCCAACGTGCTCTTCAACTCCGCACAAGTCCCCTCCGCGGTCGTCAACCTCAGCACCTTCAGCGCCGACCAGAAGATCAGCCTCAGAAACAACGGGTACGCGGTATTGCCCGCCAGAATCAGAAAGCCCATCGTGATGAGCACGAAGTACGCCTGCTGGAACGGCACGACGTTGGCGTCGAGCAGCGACATGCCCGAGTTGTTGAACGCCGAGACGGCGAAGAAGATGCCCGCCCACCACGGGTTGGCGCCGTTGGACGTCGCGGTCTCCGGCATGTTGTTGGCGATCCAGGCGCCGAGGGCCAGGCCCCCGAGGACGTGGCAGAGCACGGAGTAGAGCGGGACGACGACGGAGAGAAGACGGAGGGCGCGGTACTCGTGGCCGCCGAGACGGGAGCGCTCGGCGGCGGTGAGGGAGTGGAACTGCGAGTTGCGGCCCTCTTTTGAGGCGCTCAGGATCGCGAGCCAAGGGCGAGTCGGCTTCGTTTTGCTGGAGATGGAGTTGGTCGAGCGGCGGGTGAGGTCGTCGGCCTCGAAGGTGATGTGGTTGTCGACGGGCCGGATCCGTGTCGAGACGCCTTCGCTCATCATCCCAGTACCACTCGCGACCACACTCTTTTTCCTCGGGCCGTGTGAGATGGGCAGACATGCTTCGCGCTGGTCTCTCTCCCTCTCCGCGTCGACAATTTCTTTGAATTTCTTCTCAAAGACATGCTTTCTCGCTGCCACGGTCCATATGGAGATCCAGATGGTGCTTCCGACGATGATGAGCAGCCACAGCATCACCTGCTGCCAGACGGTCATCTGGCTGAGGTTGACGGTGTTAAGCCCGGCCTCAGTAATGGCGGATACGACGAGGAACAGGGAGTCGACATAGCTGATGCTTCCGTGGGGGTTCGACGAGGCGTAGAAGATGGCCGAGGCGAGGAGACTCGTTCCGATGAAGTAGGCGTAGTGAAGCGTGATGAAGTTCAGCGGCGGAAGAAATGATCGGATGAAACTCGTCGGCGAGGTACGATGTGTTTTCATATCGAAGTCTCGGCCATCAATGCCGTTCTCGTCGCCATGCGGATCGTGTCTCTCATCCATCGCCATGGCGGAAACCCTTGTCTAGCTTTTGTGCCCAGATCGGCAATTTTAGACTTTTTAACGATGCCAAGCGCGCTCAATCTATCGATCAACGCAGCCAAGAATGCTTGATCTCTACGGTCTCGAGATCTGCGCTTTTGACACTTCGAGCGACCTGTTTCCAACCCACACCGAACGATCGCGAGTATCGAAGTCTGCGCACCCTTTGTTCATTGTTTTCTCTCTCTCTCTCTTTCATTCTTTTGTTTCTTTGAGCTCACAAATTGTCGGTGAAGAGCGCGCCAGGGGGGCCACGGGGCCACACTAAACCCCGGCGAGTCATTCGTCTAAACAAATCAGAACTTTTAAGCTAAGAGGGGGGGCCGTCTGTTAAGTCGGGGCTTTTCATCTCGCTTGGCGCCGGCTCCACCGAATGTTTGTTTCTCACCGAGGGACTTGACCGAGGACCTCTCCGACGACTCAACTTCTTCTCGTGATGAGCGTCTACCCCTATGTTGAGGGATAGTGTTGATAACTTCATCGTTCTCTCACTTGAATGATTGATCCGGCTTTCATCTCTGCAGTGGGTATCTCTCATCGGAATAGCCCCGCAAGGTGCTGAAGCTGTTATGAAACAGGTTCGCCCCTGGACAGAAGCGTTGTTTCAATTCCGGGAGACGGAGACAACTCACGATCACTTCACTTTCACGAACAGATTTGATCAAATATTCCGGGGCAAACCAATTGATTCAAACACCCTACTCAAGAACACCCAGCTACCATGTCAAAAAAGACACCAAAAACCCAGCCCACATGAACCAAGCTCGTCCCTTTTTAGTATCGCTGTATAAAAATACACAAGTCATGCCAATGCTCCTTATGAGTCGTTAACACCATTTGGGGGGAATTATAGAGACAAAAGAGAAAACAAGAAAAAGCCACCACCACCACCACTCTCCGTCGAGTGAGAGATCCTAGGAGATCCCGCCATCGTTACCATCATCATACAGATGCTCGCTCTGGCTGCCGGCACGCTTAGAAGCCGAGGAGGTTGTTCCAGGTGTCGGCGACGGCGGCGCTGCGGTCACCGGAGGCCTGGATCTGGGCCTGGGCGTCCTTGCACTGGGTCTTGGCGGCGTCGTTGGCCTCGCAGACGTTGGTGAGCTGGTCGCAGATTCGGTTGGTGATGATGTTTGGGTTGAGGGCGTCCTGCTGGCCCTGGGCGACGAGGGGGTCGGTGGGCAGGAAGGTTCCCTCGGTGGCCTTGCGGTTGCCGCGGCCGAGCTGGAAGTCCATGGTGGGAGTGCACTTGCCGAAGTCGGCGGCGCCGGTGGCTCCTCCGGCGGCTCCTCCGGCGTTGCCGTTGTTGGCGTTTCCGGTGTTAGCGTTACCGGTGTTGTTGCTCGCGTTGCCGGTGTTGGCGTTGTTGTTACCGGTGTTGGCGTTGTTGTTGTTGTTGCCGGTGTTGGCGTTGCCAGTGTTTCCACAGTCAGCAGCGTCGTTACCAGTGTTGGCGTTGGCGTTGTCGTTTCCAGCGTTAGCATTGTTGTTGTTGTTCTGGTTGTTGTTGTTGTTGGCATTGCCGTTGTTCTGGTTCTGGTTCTGGTTGTTGTTATTGTTGTTGTTACCAGCGTTGGCGTTGCCACCAGCGGCAGCACCACCAGCAGCGCCGGCGGTGGTGAAGTTGGAGAAGCCCTGAGCCTGCATGACCTCGGCGACGGACAGGCCGGTGGCGTCGAAGGGGGTGGTCTTGGAGGTGGCCGAGTTGGCGTTCTCGGTGTCGGCGCCGGTGACGGCGGGGTCGACGAGGGGCACGATGCCGCGGAGGGCCTCGGTGGCGGGGAGGGAGGCGTCGCCGCAGATGTTGGGGACGCTGACGGCGAAGGGGTTGAAGTTCTGCTCGGCGGCGACGAGCTCCTTGGCGGCGTCGACGACCTCCTGGCTGTCGCCCAGCTGGGTGACGAACTTGTCGGCGAGGGTGAGCTTGTCGCAGGGGTTGGCGGCGGCGAGGAGCACACCGGGGATGCCGCCGGCGAGGGTGGCGGCCTCGCCGGGCTGGCCGACGTTGTTCAGGGCCTGGAAGGCGGCGACGGGTCCCTGCTCCTGACCGAAGCGGGCTTCGACGACGGCCAGGATGGCGGCGATGAGGAGGGCCTTGTTGGAGTAAGACATCTTGTTGGTGTTGTTGTTGAGGGTTTTTGGGTCGTTTGAAACGGGGAAGACCGGATGATCGAAAGAATCGAAATGGAACTTTAGAAGTTAAGTTAAAAGACTGGAAAGGACCGGCTAGCGGCTTGTAGTTGGATTCGAGACAAGAAAGAGTGTCGAGAACGTAAAAAAAGTTCACAGAACTGAAAGATTGAAGAGGAGGAGAGTAGGGCGAATGCTTGGTTTGCAGGATGAGGAGGGAAAAGAAGAAACGACCGAAGAGACGGGACGGACAGAAGCATTATATAGATGGCGAGATGGACGATGTCAAACGAGATTGTTTCTGTGATCTCGAGAGCGGCCCCCCGGCGCCTCGCTCGAGAAGGGGCCAAGACGAGACAGAGGAGTCTGCGACGGTGACACTCCTTGACGGGCATCCCCCATTCGGCCCCTCGTTGACCATCCCATGGATGAGAAGCCCCCAGTTCACATCCCGTCTCTCGCTCAGCCATCGTCAATAAACGTTGCCATCTTCCATGGGACGACGACAAGGGTAGTCTGAGTCTTTCCCAGGGCCGAAGTCATTGACGACGACAAGGCTCCGACCACCAAGACGTCCCCCTTAACGACGATCATACTCCAGCATTGGATGGACGACATGGTGCGGCAGGCGGCATGAAGGTCACGGGCCAGCACCTCAGGTCGTGGCATGCCCAGAGTGTCGTCCCAACTGGCCTCACACGCAGAGTTTGTCTCATATCGCCTGGACTGAGGATTGGCCCAGGGGCCAAGGGGGTTCGGATGGCGGTGGCCGTCTGAAGTTCTCTGCAGACTACTGCAGGAATATCTTTCTAGTATGAGCGTGTACTGCGGTGAAAAAAAGGTGTGAGTGAGTTGATCGGGTTATCCAGCCGAAGAGTCATGGAAGTGCCCTGCAACATCCGAGCTGACGCTTGCTTCATGATGCGCCTCGTGCTTGGCCGAGGTGCGATAGAGCCCTGGTCAAACGTGCCGTCCCAACCCACATCTGACCCCCCGGGATGCGAGATGACGAAAGAGAGGCGAGATGAGTTGAGGATATGGAAGAGGAAGAATCCGACAACGTGGGTTTACCAAAATGTGCAGGCGGCTGGAGGCGAAGGGGGTTCGTTTGCGCTGCAGCTGGCGTGCCAGGTGGCCGGGAAAGGGTTAGCGTGCTGCCCCGGGCCTCCCCTGACGGACCCCCGGGACCGAGCGTATTCGGCCCCGCATTAACGTGCCGGGCTGCTTATTCTTCTTCTTCCTTTCTCGGGGCACATGTCCATCTCCAGCACTCTAAAACCCCCGGCATTCTCTAAAACGCTGTATCCAGTCTGTATCGCCGTGGAATAATCCACAAGCGGAATCCAGCACGACGGGGTCATCCACTTGGAGATGGCATGAATGAGAGGAAGGGCCTGCGGCAATTGGTGCGGTGAGAGAATTCCCAGGTCTCGGCTGACGGCGGGGCCAAAGGGTGAAGACGCGGGATGAAGCTGCGACTCTTCAGAGACTCTGAGTGTGTCTGGCGGAGGGGGAATCGATGGATGGTGAAGCCATTCATTGCTCTCGTGAGCCGAGTCGATGTGGCCGTAGAACAAGGCTTGGAACAGCCATGGAAAGGTGTCATCTGATGAGTGCAGCTCTCATCCTGCAGAGAGTCTCGACATCTCAGAATCGTCAAAGCAACTTGAAAGCTGCACAGAGCATGCCTTCGAACATACGAGTCGTGTCATTAAGCTCATTGTGTATCCGTGGGACAGGTTCGAGGAGGAGTGAGGCTGAGATACACTGCGCCTTAGCGCCCGGTGTCACGCATGTTTAGGGGGATGAATTAATTAAATTAATCTATCGCAATGCTTGTTCAGTGGGTGGCAGTTGGCCGCCCCAGGCTGTCGGCTTCAGTTAATCTAATTCCCTCTCTTTTCCCCAGATGATCCAGCAGTTAAATTGCCCAGATCGAAGCTTGTTTTTGAAGCAGTTCATTTGGACATTTCCGCGGATATGATGTATGTAAGGTAGCAAAGAAACATTCCCAAGATCGATGAACTCTGATTTCGTTGACTAAAGTTGACGCCGTTCATCTCGTCTATGCTTGCCGATAGCACAGAGTTTTTCCCACCTCCTTGCCGTCGATCCAGATTGACTTTCAGAGACTGATTGTCGGCTGGCTCATGCTTCGTTAACACTTGCTCTATTGCCTCTTCCCTCTTCTTTTCTTTTCTTCTCTGCTCTTCTCTTCCTCTCCCCCGTGTCCTTGCACTTCAATAACGTCTGGACGCTTGGGGCAAATGATCATCCTGCGAAGGTGACATGGTCGAATACGACGAGGCCCGGGGGACCCCATGATCCGGAACAAGTTCGCTTCGGAGCCCATGTCAGCCATCTCGCCTCTTTTCCAACTCTTCGCGCCCGGCAACAGACGTGCCGTGCCCTGTCCTCATTAAAGAAAAAATCTTTAGCCTTGCTCACATCCACTCACCTTAACCCAAAAGCTACCAAAAAGAGGCAATCCGCGGTTGTCCAAGTCCCTCCTCTCCCGTGGCGCCACAGGTCAGGGTCCTCGCAGGGATCAGTGCCATCCCTGAAAGAATGTCACCTCAGCCCCTCCCCATCCTCTGGCGCGGTGGATGAGAATGAGATCGCATCGATCAAACAGCCTCATCAGGGGTTCCTGAGACGACTCCAAAACGCGACCGGGTGTCAACCGCACAAACTCGACAAGTTTCTCCCATTCACTCAGCAACAACTTGCCTATTCGGGCAGCGCAGCCTAGAAGTGAGCCCCAGTTCTTGTTTGAACGACGACCTTCTATCCCGTCCATCTCATACACAGGAGTAATCCGGCTGGGCAAGGTCTTTTCTGGACTTCGTATCCCCGAATTTTTCTTGGGCTGACCGCTGACGGACGACCTGGGCCGGTTGACAGGTCCGCCAAGCCGCGCAGGGCGAAAGGCATTTTTTTCAGCTTCGTTGCCAAGAAGATGCGTTTTATCTGTGCTTTTGGCCGGCTGTTCTATTGCCTCGTTGAATCTTTTTGGGCACTTTCACCGGCCTGTGATGTTGGGAGGAGAGCTTGCCGTCTTGGCAGGGATGAAATAGCAACAAGAAAACAAGAATAGGTCATGAAGTCTTCATGTTCCTATATTGAGCCTTCAGTCGGTCGCCATGGGCTGTCAGTCTCGGTTTCGCTTTTGACATCTAGGCGCCGTTGTTCATATCAACGCTCTACCCTCCACTTCGATGGAGAGTGAGTTCCAACCTCTCGTCCATCGAGCCGAGAACCGGCTGGATGTCGGTCTCTTCCGAATCGAAGATCCGACCTCGGCAACGAGCGCCTTATTCAACAATCAGTCATCCGTCTCATCCTCCCCCGAGTCATCCCATCATCTCATCATCCCCATATCCCCTCAACCCAGCGCTCATCGCATGAAGACTGATCTCCCCAAGCCACCCCAGCCTCAAGACCAGCTCGCCGAACTCCCGAGCCGCCTGACTCACATCGTGGGCTTCGTCTGAAGTCCAGATGACAGCCCACCACCCACTTCCTCCTACCCGTCGATCATATCTGACGAGTGGGTGGTCAAAGTCCGCACGCAGGAGAGGCACAGGCCCTCCGCGCGCCCACGTTCCGTCTGATTGAAGCCGAGGCGGGCTCGTCGTCAGCGCATTGTGGTGCGTTCCCGCCCAGTCGCATTTCGGCCTGAGTTCCATCCGATCTCTGGTTTGAAGAACGCGGGGCCGTTGGATGACCCTGACGATATCGTCGTAATTCTGTGTTATGCCGATCTATTAGCCGAACAAAGGGCCATCTCCTGGTTGGTAAGCTTCCACCGATGTGTTGGACGTCGTCCGGTGTGCGCTCGAACAGTTACTTGGTACAGCTTTTCCAATGATTGCAGAATCGGAGAAGCAAACATTCAAATAGCTGCTGCTTTCTCTGGCTACACAGATTGGATTGATTACCTCGCAAGCCGGAACTCTTCATTACGATGGTTCTTTCTTTTATCGATTATTGCCATGTGAACTTACACAACTGGTCGCTGGTTTTCTCGCCTTTGCCATACAGCTATCCGTCACATTGTGGTCCATCCGGTTGTCGTTCCTGTGGTCGGTGCATATTCCATCGTCATGGTTGCTTGCTGCAGACACGGCCGCCTAAGTCAAATCATTCAGGTCCATATGGCGATTTCTTGCCCATGTTCTACAGAATTCGCAGCACGCTTGATTCTGGCCGTCAACAGCCGACTTTGTCTCATGTCGCAAGTCCGACACGAGTCCGAGATATGTGAGGTCGCAACCCAGTAACCCCGGTGCACGAGGGTTCATAGCTCTACTGACTCTCGCGTCCCGACGCTCATCGAAGTCGCTCCACCTCGGGCAGATGGACTTCAGATCGATACGAGGACCGATGATACTCGAAATCGTTTCTCTGTCTTGTTGGTCGAAACTTTTTCCCAGCGTGACAGAATCAAGCGCGTCGATCTCAGCCAAGGCCCCAAACACCTCCGGTAGCCACTCCCTGCTCCTGGTATTGGGGACCGTCAGGATGAGTCGAGTCAGGCGCGGAGCGCGTCGAAGGATCTCCAGGATCGACTGCATGAGAGGTCCATTGTCGCGCGGCAGTCCGATGGCTCAGAAATCGGAGACGGCTGAGGGCTTCGACCCAGAGAGATTGGGGCGCGGGTTTGGGTCCCCCCATGGCTTGGAGCTCGGAACTGACTCTCGCCAGCCTGAGCCAGGATCCTTTGGCGCAGTGGACGTGGTTCTTGGAGAAGATGTAGTCGAGAGCCTCGTCTCGTATGGTGCTGCACACGTGCACGAGGGTAGGCCGAAGGCTTCTACAACTCGAACAAGGATCGCGTCTACTTGTAAGAGGTCTGCAAGCCAGGCACGTACCGAATCTCCGCATTCCGTGGCCTCTGAAAGGGCTCATAAATATCATTTGCCCATGGGGTAGCTCGCATGTATACCCGTAAATTATATCTCGGAGCTCTCTTGGCAGCCGGAGGATCCCTGGGGTGCTCGGATGAGTGACAGGCTCTTCAACTGCCATGTTGCGACCCTCGATCGAGAATACCCGAGTTACTAAGAAGATATTGCTGATTGTTCTGGGGAGTTAGGGCGAGTGATTGATCTCTTCCAAATTCTTTTGATCTTGCGGTTATCCTGTCTCTTTTGCGTGTGGCGATATCGCTTGGTGTTGTTGTGGTGGATACCAAAGAAGTATATGAGCCAAGAAATGGAAAAGAAAAGACAAAAGACGGCGCAAAATTTGCAATTCTAACTTGAAGGCGAGAACAGAGAAATTTCAACTTTGTTGTTTGCAACCTCTGGAATCAAGCGCGACCAAACCCAGCAAAAACCATTCCCAAAAGTTTCTAAAGTTTGAACAAACCTGGGGGACATCTGAGTTGGAGTTGAACTTTCTACTCCCGCAGACTGGATCGCTGGGTTTTACGAAAAAGGTAAGCATTTCTGTTGTACTCAAGAACATTGAGAAACATCGTCACCTGGCTGCTCCGCGTTTTGATAGAATGAATACTTGAGTTTGTTCAAAACTTTGAGAGTGAGAATTATTCTGAGATGATCCATTCAAGATCGATTATATTCCATGGAAATGCCTTGCAAGAGAACACCAACCGGCAAACACCATGTACTATACTGCGGGCGTTCACGCCAAGTGAGTTCTATCTTGCAATCTGGCTGATGAGTAACCTTCTCAACCTTACTCCTTGAAGCAATGCAAACTTGGTCGGCGTCGAATTTCTTTGGCCAGTAGATCTTGAGCCGTATAGTGCCCGGGATCGATCCGATTGTCCCAGTGACGCGTATGTTTCTTGGCCAAATGCGGGACGTGCCATTCCGTCATGGGACCGTCCAGGTTATCAGTGATGTAGCAGCCAAGCATCGCGAAGGAGATACTCCCAACTGAAAAAGACCGGAGCGGATTCCACAGTTTGGGCCCCCACGGTTCCCCGTAATTGCACCAGCAGATCAGCTGGGCCGGAAGGCCCGTGATTCTGGAAACCACATCGTCGTCTCCCGCCTCGAAGCCTTTCGCCAGCTTGATCGATGTCAGGCTGGGGATCTTGGCAAGCTCGACGAGTAAACCCTCGAGCGGTCTCTGGGCGTCGAGCCCGTGGTGCTTGGAAAGAACAATCTCGGTCAGCCTGGGCGAGTTCTGAAGCGCAGACGATACGAGAGTAGGGCTGTCGAGCAGATCTTTGTCGAGACTGATACAGAGGTAACGAACGCGGCCAAGGAACTCGGCCCAGAGAGACCGGAGGTCCTTCGGCGGGCGGATGGGCCCTTTGATTCTGCGATGAATCTGGGCCAAGTTCGATAAGTATTGTATCAGAAGGCCTAGTCCGTCTGCCGGAAGCTGAAACAGGTTGCGGGCAAACAAGAAGTCGAGTGCCTCGTCGCGTATCTGACTGCAGACGAGAAGGAGAGGCGGTCGGTAGCAGTAGCAGTGGGGAGCCAAGTTATCGCAAGCTTCGCATGACCAAAGCTTGTTCTCATTTCCGTTTGGCATGGAGAACTGGGTTCTGAGTAGCTGCTTGCATGGGAGCAGGTTGGTGTATTCGTAGATCATGTCTCTGAGCTCCCTGGGGAGACACAAAAGAGCAGATCTAGTGGCCACGGGGCTGTAAGCGACTCGCCCAGGCTCTTTCTTCTTGCAAGAGCGACTCCAGCGCGGCATGGCGTATTGGGACCATTTGCGACTCGTCCATCTAGTCGAAATCATTTTGCTATGGCGCGTTGTGGAGGGCTCGGGGGAAGGGGCTGTGTTGTGTTCGGCAGCGGGTGACGTTGAAATAACCCGTATCTTCACCATGACGGCGAGATACTGCAAGTTTCCCGGTCGAATTTTGTTGGGGATGTGTGAAGAAATTTCATTATTGCCTCCAGTCAAATTGAACTCCCCTTATGGCCTCAACTGAAACATCAAGGTTCCTATGACTGTTGTTTGGTAGACTTTTCCGCGACGTTGACTTGGGATCCAGCAATAACCTCAATGACCCATAACTCAGATGCCATGTATACATGCTTAGGCAGCAGCTTCGACCTCATGGGAAGTATCACATTGGGGGTAACCTGTATGGCTAAGCATCGCGTGGTTGACCCAAGCTGAGGCAAAGATTGCAACACTCTAATCTCTATGGATTTCCAGGCAGCAGCCAACATGTATATAATGAGTTTTAGAAGATGCTGATTGGTTTTCAATTCTTCATACCTTAAAAATTCATAGATCGAGTATGACCTTTTCTTATTCAACGGATGAGTACATGGAAGCCTCCAGTTTAACGAATGAATTGAGGCCATTATAGATAAATTTTCTCAAGTGCAAAAATAAATAATCAAACAGGTTGAGCTCATCAACGCCAGCTCTACTGATGTTCATACTTCCTTGTTTGAATGAGATCCAATACAGCCAGTACCTATATGCCTTTATGAGAATAGAAAGCATATAATTGGGTAAGCTGCTCGAGCTCTTTAAGAGGAACGGGGAGAGTTCAATTACAAAATGAGTTACTACGCCTCCAAGGCAGAGATTTCCTCCCATGTCGCAACTGGGACAAATCCTTGCGAATATGCCGCCTTACGATGGCCAATTTAGGCAACTTCACCACCCGCGGAGATCGAGACTCCGAGTACAACCCAACTACCGAAAATTGGTTCAATCATTTCCTCGCAGATTCCGAGTCCCAAGGTAAGCGGTAGGATCCTGCCTGTAATCCTGGAGTTCATCCTTCGCTCTATGCTGATTCCGCAAGGGCGAGTTGAACCGAGGGTGTGGTCAGCCCGAAGACGGGTACACGATCACTCGCATGAGATCGGCAATGACACCTACGATCTGACAGGATGTTCTAAGCGAAGGGTGTTTGAGCTAATCTCGACAACGCAGATGAGAGTCCGTATGCTATGCAATGTAAGCTGATGTTGCAATTTTTCATGGATTTATTGTCATGATATCGAGACCTCGGACTCGGGCTGGCGGTCATCGTTCTTCTCAAGATGTCACGAGAACTGTCATCCGCGTTTGAGCCTGGGTCAGTGTATCTATTTAAGCCGTTGAAACGGCTGCCCAGATTTCTCTTATTGTTCTCAGTTTATCATCAACATACGTTGTTTTCATTCGACAACATCATCGCCAAGCATCGCGACATCAACCAAAGCGGCACGCCTCACTGTCTCAACTCAAAATTTGTCATTTATGTAAGCAAATCTGTGGCCTTTTACGGCTACAAATGAAGAGCCTCCTCTCCCAATTGGCTACTAATTGTCATCAAGTCACAATGCAGTAGTCGGTCGTTCTTCTCGCCGTCGCCGCCACTTTAGTCGCGGCCGCCCCGGTCGAGGAGGGAGCCGCCGGCAAGAGGGCCGAGGACCTCGTGGAGCGCCAGCGCGTCTGCTGCGGGCCGTGCGGCACCATCACCTGCTGCTGGTGCTGATCGATGGACATGTAACAAGCGCGCCCTGTTGAGCTGAAATGGAATGCGGGCAGGCTGGAATGAGCCATCTTGACTCGCCTCGGGTTCCTATTTTTGTTTATGTTCTTGCACAGCCGCAATCGCAGACGCGGAATCTGCAACAGTCGTGGCCCAGACCGGTCAAAAGGGACCATCACAGGCATGTTCAGGGTTGACATATTGGACGGGTTTGGCGCGGACGCGGCGGCGGCATCAGCTCTTCGTAGAATTCTTCTGGGAATGAATTTCCCGATTTGACCGAGACGGTGTCTTGTTACGCGTTGAGACCCCATGACGCCGTGATCCAACCGCGGACCCAGACTGACGGGGCTCCCTTCTTGGTGTTGAGGGTGTCTGAGTTGACTCCCCGTCGGAGTTTAAGATCCTCCCTTTGCTTGTACCGGCCACTTGGGCGAGGAAGACCCGAGAGAGACGCAATCGCGATGTATTCGTCTCTCTCAATCTAATAATTCCTCAGGAAGTGGATGTTAGAAGTATGCCAATGTGGTAGTCTCCCGTGAGTTGCCGCGCTGAACAGGCACTGCCCTGATTCAGAAGCGCGCTGTCAAAACGGGCTACCGAATCGCTGCTCCGCCGTCAATTCCGAGATGGAACGAACACCCCTCTTCAACCTTCACAACTTTCCAGCAACGCGCAACCCTGAAGAGCCTGGGCGCTTTCTGACGTCGTTGGGTGGGGGGGTTTTCTTTCCCGTGAAGTCCAGGCTTTTCCATCTGTGCCATTTCTCCCCCCCTCCCCTCACTGTCTTGTCCTGGGCGCCGAGTCAATTCCCTGTTCTTCGTGCGTCTGTACCTGCGTCCGTTGCTGCACAAGCGTTGGGGTCGCTGACGGACCGGGGCTTTTTGGCGAAGGATTCTTGACTGTGCCTTTGGGGCAAAATGGGGGTAAAGGGGGGCCGGCCGCACACCTGGGCAGAATGTGTCGGTGGGGAATCACAGTCGGCACATCTGCATGCCGAGAAGAAGCAGACCAAGGCAACCGAAGTCCCAAGAGCCTCGGCGTTTAGTGCTTGCTTTGCTCGCTTGCGGGTGACGAGAGATTCTGAGTGGATGGTTGCGCGGACAAATCACCGCGTGTTCCGGATGACATGTAGCCATCATCATTGTGATTGTGGGCACCGGAGATTTCGCCAAGCGAAATGTGAGAAATGCCATTGTCCCGCATCACATGATGTCCAATTTCATTCTGATTCCGGTTTATTTGTGTTGTTTGATGCGCCTAAACCTGCCCTACAACCCGGTTCTTACTGAACGGAAACGCGTCCAGTGTGAATAAAAAAGAAGCGTATTCGTATGTACAGATGTTTGTTTCATTATCAATCCCGGTTTTCCCCAAATCATTAGTCTAGCTGTCTTTAGATAGATATCAAATGCTCGCTTGTAGTGTGTGAAAAAATATGGCAGCCAATGTTCCATGTCTCCAATGTACACATTACCACTATTGGTGTCTTTTTTATGAAGATCCCTTGATGTCTATTGTCAGAGTCGGCACCCGGAAGGTGACGACCTTGGTGGCGGAGAGGGCTTCGGAGCCGAGACCCATGTAGCCCAGGTAGGTGGAGGAGGTAGGGAACTTGACATCGGTCGCAAGAGCGGTGACGCTGGCGGGCAAGCTCGTGATCTGCTTGACGAGCTCTGTGAGGTCGCCGACGAAGTGTTCGGTGTTGGGCGCGACCCAGGTCAAGACGTACTGCTTCAGACTGTTTTGGCCGGCGTACAGAGTGCTGCAGGGTGTTAGCGTTGCGGCTTCTTTTCCCCTTCTCGCATGGAGATGCTCGCGAGGCCACTTACAAGGTCGTTCCGTTGATGGATTTCGTCGTCAGAGCCCCGGCGCCGGCCTTGTAACCGATGGGCTGCGTGGCGGCGCCGAAGGTCGCGAGCCACACCATCACTTCGTACTCAGCCTTGGTGCTGTCCTTGGCGGAGTCCTTGTCGTCGTCCAAGAACATATCGATGGCGACGTTGGTGTTTGTCTGGTTCTCCAAGAGCTCGGCCTCGTCCGTGTTCGTCGCGGTCGCGCCATCGGTCGTGTAGTTGCCGACCGAGTAGGACCACTCGACGTCGACCTTGATCTGGGACAACTTGGAGATCTCGATCGGGAGGATGGTGCCATCGACCTTGATGTTGGGGAAAGCGTGGACGGGCTGCGTCGCGGGGCCTTGGGGATATCTCCAGGTGACCCAGAACTCGGGCGCAGAGTAGTCGGTCGCGTACGTTTGGTTGTTGAACGTCGTGACCTGCGTGCGGGTTAGCTAAAGGCGTCCTCCGCAGATGACGGTGGCGCGAAGCCGGCGTCGGCCATGATGCACGTCGCAAAGCTTGACCTTGGCGGCATCACGACCCCGCGATCAGGCCAAGAAGCGATAACCGGCAGATAGAGCTTGGGGGATGGAGGGGTTCTTTAAGACGTACGTTCATGCACAGAGCGCCATCTTCGCCCTCGGTCCAACCCCACTGGTTCGGGTTCACTTTGAAATCGTCAGCGGATGATCATCGAAATGAAGATGATTTGAATGCATGTCTGTCCTGCTGGTCCAGAGATTCGGCCACACCCAGACAGGTTTCGAATTCAAGGGAGGAAAAGTCAAAACAGTCTTTCCGGCCAAAAAAAAAACATGACAATGAAGAACCGCCGGGAACCGGCGGCAGAAAAATGCAAAGCAAGATGAAAACACGGGAGCCCGTGTTGTTGCCAGCATCAAGGCGCAAAGCAAAATAAGTTCAGATGACAGCGTGCCGGCGGGAGAAGCTTGAGTTGACTGCTCGACTGTGCATCGTGGGCTTCGGTCCGTGCCGCGCATCTTGACATCTCGGGAGCAGAAAACCATAAAAAAGATTGAGGCGCATAAGACCGGATTGAACATAAGAGCAGGCTCAACTCACGTGTGTACTCCTGGCCCTTGGACTCCGGGTGAAGACCCATCGCCTTATCACACGATACCATCGCCGTGATGCCATTGTTCTTCTTGGGCGTATCGGGGTCGCTGAACAGCGGCGGCCCTCCGTTTGCTGTCCTGTTGGCTTCAAGACCGATCAAGATGCCGAGGGTGATTCCGATAGGGAGGGCCAGCAGGCCGAAGTTGACCAGCCAGCGGAAGCCCAAAAAGCCCATGACGACGAAAGGAAAACGAGGTAAATGAACAAACGAGTGTGTAATTGAGCCCTTTACCGTCCTCTGCTCTGCGCTGCTTTCTGCTGTACACCGAACTGTGTGAGTTACTGACTGACTGATGTGTCGTCCAAAAGTGCGAGGGAGAATATGTGTGGGCAAGGCCTCTCGCAGGCGGAAATCCGACGAATTCGTCTACTTCTATTCGCAAAAGCAGCACCGACAGCAGCACATGCAGAGAAGCGAGGGTGGTCGTGGTGGTTCGGTGACGGTGTCGCGTTCTCTTTGGGTATGGAGGGTTAAACGTAGCTGACCTGAAGGGTAAGGCGGACGTTAGGCAAGGTAAGGTCGGCGAGGTTCAAAGAGTCCCAGGGCGCAAAGCAAGGTCAGGTCAGGTAAGGGTATGTTAGGGATCGCAGAGCGGACTCGACTCGACTCGCGCAAGGCCGATGAGATGGACAGGGGTAAAAGGGGGGTGGACGAGAGAATTTGGGGGAGTGTGCGAATATAAGTGTGAGTGGGCTATCCGAAGAAAGGCATCGCCGTTGGCCAAGCGTTGGGAACCGGTCGACTCGTCGAGGAACAACTGATCAATAGTAATCCGTACGTAACGGCCAGAACAGGTGAGGCGATGCGCGGCGAGGTAGGTAAGGGTAGGAGGAAGAGAGAGTAAAAGGCCAGCAGTACGAAGACTTACAAGCCGGGCAAAGCAAACCGGCGTTTGCAAGAAGAGAGCAGGAGATAATGTCTGGCCCCTATTCTCGAATGGCGGCGCAGCACGCCACCCCTGGTGCAAAAGTCTTATTTTTCTTGCTTGTCCGGTCTTTTCGTAGTTCCTCTTCTGTGCAGGACTGCAGAAAGGAATAAGATCAATATCTTGGCAGGCGTTAATTTGCTGCTGCTGCTGGTATGACCGGACGTGTCTTCTCGATTCGATGATCCCCTCAATCTGAGCCGCCTTTGAATCCCAAACAATCCAAGCGGACGCGAAGGAAAAGAAGGAAACGAGAGGATCGGTATCTGGGGCGCTGTCCTTGCCCTATAATTCTTACTTGTTCCATTCAGAATGCAATTACGCGTTGATCCATGCCCTTTTCTCTCTTCATCTCAATCCTCATAATCCCATCCCGCCAGAGGTCCGGACAACCGAAGAAACCTCCATCTTAGATCAATAAATCGTCGATTCGAGGTCCTGCTTCTAAATCGGACCGGCCCCTGGACTAGTGCGTCAATGTGCCGGTGCCCTCTCCGAGGTCTCCTGGGAACGGTGGTGTCGGCCGTCAACCCATCCCACCCTACCCATCCATCCCATCCAACCCGAATCCTGGTTTGCTGGCGTGAAAGGGTATCCGCATTTCTAGAACACGAGAAAAAAGCAGGGATAATGTGAAGATAACGGCCCTGGAAGTGGATCGGGGTCCGGACGGCCCTGGACAGGCATCCCGGGATGCGCCCGGGAGCTCGTCATTGGCAGGCGAAGCGTTCGCGGTCTCCCCCCTCCCTCTCCTCTCTCCTTGGGAAAAAAGAAAAACACTGTGAAAAAGAGCCAAGCACAGCTGAGGAGGCGTGGGAGGGCGTCAACAGGCGCGAAGGGGGCCAAGGATGGTGCTTGAATCGCTCGCCCAGTCACGGCAGCTCTGATTGATTTTGTTTATTATTTTTGCAACCATTTCTCCCCTTTTTCTTCCCGCCAATTCAACGTCCAAGTGGAGATGGTTTACCCCTGATGGATATGTTCGTCACTTTACCGAAACATCCAATCTTCTAGTATGAATTTGCGAGCGGCGCGAATGATAGAAAAAATAGACAACGCCAGAAGGAAAAATCCAGTTCAAACCAACGGCGGCCGAACCAACCAGACCTCGGGGCTTGCCATGGCTTGAAAGGCTTGCTTTGGTGTGCCTGGCAAGACAAGCTATCCGTACTCAACCCGGCGCCCGCGCGCGCCCACACACCCTTCCCATCCCACCAACAACCACACACCCCCCTTGAAAGGCTGCTCAGGCAAGCGCTTGGCTTCTTCTCTCTGTGTGCCAATGCCATGTCGTGTTAGTTGCTTTTGTCAGTCTCTCCTTTCTCGGGCCATCTCTCTGCTCAATGTCTCTCCATGCCACCCCCCTCATACCCGGGCAACGACATGGACGGACAGCCGCCAGCTCCGACACAGGCAGACAGGCGGCAGACACATCGATCAAGGCCAGTCAAGACCAGTCAAGTGGCACAGACTCGAAGGCGCAGGCGCAGGAAAATCGTGAATGTGATATGGGCCCAGAGATACACTTCCTCGCGCCAGGACTGGGCAAGCCGATGATGTGGGCTCCATCAACCCGGTCCCAACCTGGACCTCCCAATTTTAATCACGTCAGGCTTCTGGACGGATCGTAATCATGGCAGTGAGGCTTAGCGGAGTCCGAGTGGGTTCCCGTTAAGTCATGTCCAGAAACTTTCCTTGACCATGATCCCCCCCCCCCCCCCCCGAAAGCCTCCTGGCCAGATGTCTTGCTTGGAAAGGATTGTCCTCTTTCCCCCAGACTTGCCTCCCCGTCAAATCTGCAAGCTTGCTCCTCGGCTTTCTTGGTCCCTTTTCTTGTCACTCTCCCCCTCCACAGACAGAGCTTCTTCCTCCTGTCAAGTCAGGCCAGGCTTCTTGGGAAAGCAAGACGAGAGTCAGTAACCCTACCTGCATTAGCCCGAGCTCGTGTTCGATGACATACTAGTCAACCGATGCTCTTCTAGCGGACCCATCTTCTTTCTTCCCTCTTAATTCTTGTTGTGTCTTTCCAGACCATACACCACATTCGTTTACACCAGACATCCAAAACCTTCAAGCTCTCAGCTGGAGAAGAAGAAGAAGAAAGGGAGAGAGAGACGCGCGGGGGAACAACCACAATCGCTTGCTGTTTTACCTGGATTCAGCCTCTTACACGCTTCCAGCTCACAAACGCGCCCATACCACCACGCACACAAACACTTTCGCCCTTAGAGACACTATTCACTCGTTCATTCCAGCCGTCGGTTGGGCAACACCGCAATCATGATGAGGGGACACGGGGGTCAGCAGCCCGGTCAGGAGTACCCCGAGGGGGAAATGGTGGAAATCGACGTTCTTCAAGGCCATCACCACCCGCACCAGCAGCAATACCACGAACCCTACCAGAACGCCCAGGGCCAGAACCAAAACCAATATCAGGCCCAGAACCAGTATCAAAACCAGAACCAGTACCAGGAGTACTCTCAAAACCCGTACGGCAGCCCCAGCCCGTACGAGAACGACGTCAACCAGTCCCAGGACTTCCCGTTCGCCCGCGCCCTCACGAACAACGCGCCCTCGCCGCAACCCCAACACCTCCAGCAGTTCCCGACGCCGCCTCAGCAGGCTCAGTTCGCCCAACCTCCCGCCATCTCCGGCGGCGACGAGTACGGTCCTCCCGGCTGGGCAAACCGACACTCGTTCGGCATGTCGGGTGCGCCGTCAATCGGGCCCTCCATCTCGGGGATGGACACGCCCGTCGAGTCTCGCGCGGCCACGCCGACGTTGAAGAGCGGACAGCAGACGCCATTCGACCACCTGCCTCCGCCGAGGCATCCGTGGTCTACGGACTCAGCGCCGAACAGCCCAATGGTATGGACTTTTCATCGAATATCGTGCCCCGTGAGATTGACTGACTTTTTGTGAACAGAACCAGAGCCACCAGAGTTTGGCTGCTCTTCTTCCGGGACAATCATCGCCGGCTCTCACCAAGGAATGGGTGGAAGGCAGCGACCAGATCGCGAGGCTTCACAAGCGCGATGACGCCGAAACCTGGAACGGTTGGAAACGCAAGTTCTTCAAGATGGTTCCTCTCCTCATCATCCTCGCTACCGCCATGTACCTCGTCTACCTCGCCCTGCGCATCTACTGCGTTATCTCTGCCCAGCAGCTCGCCAAGGAAATCTACGCCCAGGCCTGGGTGTTCATCGCCGTCGAGATCGCGGTCGCCATCCCCTCGCTCATGCACAACATCTGGACCATGTGGTCGATGAAGAAGCGCCACCGCCCCAAGCTCCGCCTCCAGGGCGACGACGTCCCCACCGTCGACGCTCTGGTTACGTGCTGCGGTGAAGAAGACGACCTGGTTCTCGACACCGTCCGCGCTGCTTGCGACATCGACTACCCCAAGGACCGATTCCGTGTTATCGTGTGCGACGACGGCAAGTCGGCCGGCTTGGAGGCTGGAATCGCGGCGCTGGCAATGACCTACCCTAACGTCTACTACCTCGCCCGTCCCAAGTACCCCGGAGTTCCTCACCACTTCAAGGCCGGTAACCTCAACTACGCCCTGGACTTCGTGCACACGATGCCCGGCGGTGCCGGTCAGTTCATGGCTGCTCTCGACGCCGACATGGTACGTCATATTTGCACCCTTCATCTCATCATACCCTACCATCCGTGCAATAAGCTTCGGCCAAAATCCAATATCATCTCAACTAAACTTCGTGCCTGCAGATCCCCGAGCGCGACTGGCTCCGTGCCATCCTGCCTCACATGCTCATTGACCCCAAGGTTGCTCTCGCGTGTCCCCCGCAGCTCTTCTACAACACTCCGCCTTCCGACCCGTTGGCCCAGAGTTTGGACTTCTTCGTTCACGTTATTGAGCCCGTCAAGGACGCCCTTGGTGTCGCCTGGTGCACTGGTTCCGGTTATGTCGTCCGTCGTGAGGCTCTGGATGAGATTGGCAACTTCCCTCTCGGTTCTCTGGCTGAGGACGTCGCGACTTCGACTTTGATGCTTGGTAAGGGCTGGAAGACGGCCTACATCCACGAGGCTCTTCAGTTTGGTACCGTTCCCGAGGACTATGGCGGCCATCTTAAGCAGCGTACCCGTTGGGCCATCGGAACCGTCGACACCTCGTTCAAGCTCAACTTCTGCTTGTACGGTGACAAGGTCAAGCAGATGACCGCTGCCCAGCGCTTCTCCGGTTTCCTGTACGCGACGCTCAGCTTGTACACCATCCTCCTGACCATCTCCATGTTCGCCATCCCCATCATTCTGGTCATGGGCAAGCCCCTGGTCGCCTACGCCAACTACGAACAGCTCCGCTGGCTCATCCGCGCCTGCTTCGCCGCCACCATCACCAACCGTCTCTGCGAGTTCGCCCTCTTCATCCCGGCCGGGTACCACACCGGACAGCGCGGCTCCCGCTACCAGCTCTGGATGTCGCCGTACATCGCCCTCTGCATCATCCGCTCCTTCATCCTGCCCACCTGGCTCGGAGGCCAGACCCAGGCCTTCAAGCCCACCGGTTCCCTCGGTTCCGCCCTGAACGAGCGTGACGCCAAGACCCGCAAGAACATGTTCCGCCGCCTCTGGGGTGTCCTGATCAACTACATGGCCATCTTCCACCTCTCCTTCGTCTACCTCACCCTGGTCGGCGTCGTCCTGACCTCGTACCGCTCCTTCTACCAGAACGACGAGCTCCGCGACATCCTCCTCAGCCTGGTGACGCACGCCTTCTGGCCCCCTCTGACCTTCATCTTCATCTGCAGCTCGCTGTGGACGCCGATCGCTTACGCCATCGACCCGCCTACCATGCCGGACCGCGAGCAGCTCCTCGACCGCGACCCCAAGACCTTTGTCGCCCACCCGACAAAGCAGAGCAAGAAGATCGCCTTCGGCGGCCAGGCCGCGTGGTTCGAGACGGAGCTGACCATCACGACGGCGTACACCATTCTCGTCTTCGTCTGCTCGTTCTTGTTTTAAAGAATGAGAGCCGGTTCTTTTCGCCAACGCAAAACTTCTTTTCAAAACACATACGCAAGTTTCAATCATACAAATGGCGCAGGCAGCAAGCAGCGGTGCTTCCGAGGTCAGGAAGAGGGGAGGCACGAAATGACGCATTTACACCAAGCACACACGCGAGCAAACCAATGCGACATACAACGTACAAAAACTCAGAAGATGACTGTCACGATAATGTAATGCCTGTAAACTACTGCACATAGATCAGTATAGAAAGTACGCACAATGGGTGGGCAGGGAACTCGAGGCGCAGAGATCTTTCTCCCTGCTGGAAGGGATGAGAGCACGCAAACATTCATACATACTTTTTTCTTGTTTATACCAGAAATACACATAAACATTCATAAAACAACTCCAAGAGTCTCATATTCTCATCATTCTTTCTCATTTGTGACCAGCTGGGAGGAAGCTCTTGGCGTGCTCAGCCAAGAGTTCGAGATATGCGCTCTTCCGCCGAGTAATCGACCCATTGTTCCCGAGGCTATCAACGGCTTCCAACCGGCGCGCATGCGTGGTGTAACCGGCTCCTGTGGCGCGCGGGAGGCTGTGTTCCAAGACAAGGTGTCACCTATTCACTCTGCTCGAGTCCTCCTCGTCATCGTCGGTCGCCCGCTCAAACATTGTCGCTAAAAGGCCCGGGCTCCAATTCACCATGTTTCTCGTTTTGCGGATACGCCGCCCCCCCCCCCCCGGGGGGGGGGGGGGGGGGGGGGGGGGGGGGGGGGGGG